GAGCGGAGATCGTAAGCGATCCTGGGCTTCTCGAGACTCGCTTACGCGGTCGATTGCGAGCAATAGCCGTGATCGCGGGCTGACTGACGACAACTTTGTTGGGGCGACCAGCGCTGCCTCGAATCGCCCTGAGTCGCCTCTCGACGAGTACGGAGCTGGAGCCGGCGCCCGACCACCCCTGCAGCACCTGGCTCCCGAGGTAAATCGCCCGCTGCCGGACGCTCCACCTCCCTTCATCTTCCGAGATGCATCGGGAGATCCGAGTTCAGCATCCGCGATGCGCGCGAGCAGCTCAGCCCGGCAGACATGGGCGGACCTGACCCGTGTGTGGCAGGAGTGGCTGAACCTGGCGCCGGCCGCTGACGTCTCGGGTACATATCGACAGATCGCCGAGGAGATGGGTTCGGCGGAGCGCTCATTGAGACGTGCTGCGAAGCACTTGCCGGCGATAGGAACCAGTCCCCATGCTGTGAAGTGCCGATTAGTCCCCCAAGGCGAGGAGATCACCCCTCAGTGAAACGACGGCGGTCACCGCCTGTACCGAAGTGGGTTGTGTCCACTGCAATGACGTTCACTAACGGCCAGTGCACCACTTGGGCCACTGTATGCTCGATGAAGATGTGGGATACGGACACCTGCCGCAACGTCGACAACCTGGGATACGATTATCTCGGTAGATGGGGCAGCTTTAGCAGCACATTTATGTAGACGAACCATGCCAAAGTTGTTCACACACAGTGTTCTCGAAGCATGAAGCGCACTGTCTGGCCAGCCCCCGGTCTTCGGGAGAGCGACGAAGGCAACTGCAGTCACTGATAAGCAGGTTCACACGCAACCACGATGTTTACTAATGTGGAGACCGGCTCTTCGCACGCAGCTCAGTCCAACAGTTTCGGGACTGAACAATATATCGAAACCAGCCGTTATCCTCCATGCTGCCACACAGCTGAGCTGTTACTCTGCCTGTCCGCAACCCGCTCGATACGTTACGCAACGAAGTGTGAAGTAGACAGTGAAGCCTAGTCTCTGCTAGCAGCAAGCCGCTCCGTCTTGATGTGGGTACGAGGGGCGTAACAGGCGCAGCAGTGGAGTTCCACAGTGAAACAGGTGACGGCAACGTGCTACGCGAAGCCGCGGCCGAGAGGTGTCCGGGTAAAGAGTCACCGCAACTGGAGAGAACAAGCGGGCGCTCGGTGAGAGGGACACTGCACACAACATTGCATTCATTCTATCTATCTATCAACAGAGCGAGCTGCACAAACTCTGGCGTCGAGACGGTCGTCAGCAACCGCCTAACCACCCCAGGTGAACTTGTCTGTCGTGAGCTTCAGAACCGCGACTTCACTCACCAGGGTCGTAGTGGCAGTCGATCTGGTCCTCGTCCTCCATCTCATACTTCTCGGGACACTCGTAGTCCTTCAAACGCTTGCCGTCGAACATGAGGCTGGGACATCAGCATACACCACGATAAAGCCACAAGAGACCAACATGAGGGGTCCAGGACCCTTCTGGGGATAGTAGCGGAAGGCAATGTAGGCCTGCGAGGGTGTCAGCTGAGAATCACCACGATGTCACGCCGCACTCACCTTGATGGACTTGAAGCGGATACGGGGGCTGACAAAAACCATACAAGACTTCTCTCCTACGCACACCTTCAGCGATACTTGGCCTGGGGTGAGCGCCTCTCGCGTCTTCTGGGGACCAACTTACCTGGCTTCTTCCCGTCATGACCCCAGGACTTGGCGTCACGGACCCAGGGCTTGACATCCTCGGGAATTGGAATGCATTTGGCCGTTTTCGACTTTGTAGTGAATCGCTTCTTGATGGCGCCGGACTTGTCGACATCGGGGACCGTTGCGGAGGAGAGAACAGCATGCATGCTGATAAAAACGACGAGTGGTTGACAATGATTGCACGAGGGGGATGGAGATGTACAGTATCTGTAGACAAGCCGTACACACCCCAGTCAGCTAATGTCGATCATCACCCCAGGTCGACATTCTGAAGTCACCGCCGCCTCAACGCTACAAACTCCTGGATGATGCTGTTTACTGAGTACCTTCTCCACATGACAATCTAGCCTTCTGTAGTTGCGAAGGAGGTGTGGTCGTGCTCTGGCTCCGGCAACAAGAGATCGAATTCTATCGACCTCGAGCCAACCGCCTCTGCAGTGATGAACCCTGATCGAGACAAGCTGACTGGGGTGTGTAGATATACGGTGGCGGTGAACTTCAGGGCAGACGGTGTCTCGATACGGGGGTCGAGCATGCAGCTCTGGTCTGGCAGACATCTGGTGCCATTCGGCTCTTTCGGGGCTGGCTGTTCAGCTGTCAGTGTGGAAGACGACACTGCTACCGACGCCCTTCCGTGAGACAGCTGGCTCTGGATCGGGCGGCAGCTATGCTCAGTTGACCGTAGGTTCTGTCGACGACCGTTCCCCCTTTCCTGGGGCACCTTGCTCCCGAGTTATGAGCGCATGGTGTCTCGCGCGCTTGGGTCAGGTATTCGGTCATCGGGCGTCTCGGGATGAACATGAACATCTGCATCGTAGTCTTGTCACAAGCTGAAAACTAACGTATACGCTACCCCTGCGGAGGACGGGAAAGGCTGAGGGCCTTGCGTTAAGTACAGTCGAGAAGGAGCCTTGAGAGGGAGGTGGGAGGCAACGGTGAACCTAACCAGCCGCAACTACCCCGAAAGATCCATCTTGCCTGTTTTCGTCAGTCCCCGGCATGGTGCGCGCTACTCACGGCGGTCGTAGTAGATGTCGATGATATCGCCCTCCTCCATCTCATACTCCTTTACGGTGCCCTCGTCAGGGAGACGCTGACCGTCATAGTACATGCTGAGACGTCAGGGAAGACTGTGAATCCGCAACTCACGTCAGGGACGAAGGCGACATGCCGGGCCAGGTGAACAACTTGCGGTTCCTGTATGCAAAGCACGCCTCGTTGTCAGCGGCTGAGAAAGCCTTTGCTCACCTTCATGGACTCAAAGCGAATTTCAGGCGAGCACAAGAAAGAGCAGGTCTTGCTTCCGAAGCGCATATACAGCGTGATGTGACCTGGAGTTAGCATTGCAGTGCAGCCTTGAAGGCACGACCGCTCATACCTGGTTTACGTTTCCAGGTTGTTTCCCAAGTTTTAGCCTCTTGGACCCAGGGCTTCTTCTCGAAGGGGATACGACGGGAGGACGAGAAAGGAGACAGCGCGGCAAAGGCGCGGGAAAGAGCGGTCTGCTCGTCGTTGACCATGTTGAATGGGGTTGTCAGTGAATCAGGAGGCGGTGGAAGGATGGGCGAGCTGGCCAAGGTAGGACAGGCGTTTTGGAAGGAGTGAATGATGGATGGTTAGGTGGAGAGCCCGATGACGAGTTTGGAAGTACTTAAGCATCGGGGAACCAGAGTGTTCCAGGGTGCGCAGCGGCCCCACGAGGTGGTAGCGTTGTCCGGCGCATGATATCATGCTACTACGGGCCTGGACCGCAGACAAGGGGGCGCCCGACGCCCTTCTGATCTGAGGGCGCAAGCTACCGTCAGCGATACTGACAACACCAATTGCAGCAGTGTCAAGCGTCAACTTTTGTCTGCATCTATCCCATCCAGTCAAGCAGAGTGAGGAGGCGAGGTCCAGAGCATCCTTCCATGGCCTCGAAATCTCAGAAAAGCCAGTATAATCCAGAGACTTGCCACATCTGGCTTTGGTGGCAGCGTCATCCAACTGAATAAATGGCGAAACGTCAAAGCCGGCTCGAGGAGCAACTGAGTATGCATAGCAGGTATTGAGTCGTTGCATTGGACTTCAAACACGGGCTTGGATCTTGCTATCGGCTCCTCACTGCCACCATTGCACAATACGAAACAAATTAGTCACAGAAGGCGAGTCACCCGCTCAGATCCCACTGCCCTGGGCTTGTCAGAAGCCAAGGTGACAAGACACTCACGAGGGTCACGGAAGGCATCAATTATGTCGTCGTCTTCGACTTCGTACTGCTTAATGGTTCCATCATCGGGCAGCTTCTGGCCATCGAAGTTGAAACTGGGCTGTCAGCTGGGCGACCGCTGCAACGACCTCACGTGAGAGCCGAAGGCGACAACTTCTGGCCGTCGATGATCATCGAGCGGAGATCGTAAGCGAACCTGGCCTGCATTGTGAGTGATGTCCAACACGAGGACGTACTTTGATCTCTCCGAAGGTGCACTCAGGGTGGACTCGGTATATCTTCTTGAAGTTCCCCGCCCGAACGTAAAGGTCAATGAAACCTGGAGTTCATGAGCTGAGTAGACTGGTGCGCGTACCAGGAGGCTTCCTTGCGTCGTGAATCCAGGTTCTTGCCGATTGGACCCAAGGCTTTTCATCGAAAGGGACGGGAGGCGGGCCGACGATGGACTTCGTGGCCGACGAGCCCGTGCAAGGGAAGAAGAAGTCGAAGGAGACAGACGAAGGAGGTGTGGTCTTGAGCGGCATACTGAATGTGAGTGTGGAGTGAACCGCAAGGCAGTAGAAGTTCTGCATTTATGCGCTGCTGTATGTTGAGATTCGTCGCCATAGTTCGGTGCCCCTGACTTGCAGAGCCCTCGTCAAGATTGCAAGGGCGTCCGTGACGCTTGTTTCCAAAGCCCCTCCGTATTGTCGAGGGCGCAATCTACACATCAGGTGGGCACTCGCCAAGTTGTTGAGAGCAGTAGTGTTGAGTTCGTGGACCCAATCTCGCCTTCAGTGCGTGACAGCCCCCTAGATTAGGATAAAGTGACCTCAATCTTCGTTAAGCAGATGTCCACGCTTATACATTGCTGTGTGCATTCTTCATCCTGACTCTGACCGTCAGGGTGAGAGTTCGTGGTCAGTTCCCGAAGTTGAGGTCGCCCCCGATCTCAGCAAACGGGGCTGGGACCTTCGTCGGCCGCGGGATGAGCTAAGTCGCTCTCTGGAACGTTGTCGCAGAGTGATGTAGGGCCTTGACAGGATGCATCGTCTCAACTGTCCTTGTAGAAGGCGTCAATCAGGTCACCAGACTCCATGTCGTACTGCCCGGGCGTCGAGTCGTCACGGAGACGGTGGCCGTCAAAACGCAGCCTGCGGGGTCAGCTGTCTCAATGAACTAACATACGCACGTCAGAGCCTGGGCGCCTCCGTCGAGGTTGAGGTCCTCCGCGAACGTGGCCTGTCAGGTGAGTCTCGCAGCGGCATGTTCGTCTCACCTTGATGAGGCTGATCGGGCATTCGGCCGCATCGACGTAGTAGCGCTTGCGTTTCTGTCTCGCTTCCATGCGCACATTCAACTGGATGAGACCTAGGCGTCGGCGCTGGCAGTCAGAGGGGTTCACATACCGTTCGCCTGCGTCTCGGAGATCAGCGTCTCGGCTGGGAGCGAGGGGCTGGGGTCTTCAGGGCGAGCAGGGCTACTCCTCGCCGCCGCCTCGGTCGACGTTTGGTCTCGGGCCGCGACCTGCTTTGCCACCACGCCACTTGCGTTCGCCTGAGTCGTCCTGTTCCTCTGCGGCGTGTTCTGCTCTGGCACGGTCTCCTGGTTGTTCTTCTTCCTCCTGAACAGCGTCTTGAAGCGGGAAGCGGCCCTCTTGATCTTGGAAGGACGCCTGGCGTTCAGGCCAGCTGCAGTCCCGTTTGCAGCCGCTGTCGGCTGAGCATGAGAAGGCGGCATCGGTGGTCGAGCAATGGTCTGGTTGTCAACGTGACTTGGGAAAGGAAGGATGGAGATGTCTCATGGCGGTCGTTTCGTCGCCGGACAGCAAAGTTGATCGAGGGCGCAGATTGCGCAGGCGGATGGAGGGCGCTGTTGTCAGTAGAATCTGCATGAGCGCATGAGGCGAGGGCGTTGCTAGTCAAGATGTGCAGATTGTTGAGTATTAGATGGTGAATGTCAGGAAGGAAGGAGGCAAACGCAAGCGGGACACCTGATGTGAACAACGAAGGCATGAAGGCAGTTGCGCAGTTGAGGTGTGCAACGGAACCAACAACAACCTGCGCCCGCGGTCTTGGGGGCGCATGGTCGCACGGACGTTTCAGAACCTGGAGCGCTTCCATGGCCTCCACATCCCGACCCTCCTAGTGCTCCGTCGCCGTCCTGCACGTTCAGTCGGTCTTCGCGAGAGTCCAGCCATAAGCACCTCCAGGCGAGAGATAGAGAACCAGGTCGCCGTTCGCTTATCGCAGCCAGCGCCAGGGTGGACAGGTCGCTATATTTGGAACTGCGCAATTCAAATCGGTATCGTTACCAGCAGCTCACAGAACAGACCCACGCGGTCGCGATCCTCCTTGCGGCCTGCGGGCCGACTTGCACCCATCCTTCGCACTCTTCTGGATCAGGGGCGCAGCAGGCATCGGAGTGTAGTGACGATTGGCGACAATTGCGGAGCGGAGCTGTTAGTATTGCGTCTGGAGACTGGAACGGAGTGCGGAGCCAAGTTTCCACACGGCGATGGCTCCACCTGGTCCACAGGTCCCGAGGTGAAGCGAGCTGTTCAACTTCGATGACCATTCCAGCTTGGCAAGATAGGCGCAGGAATGTGGAGCCGCGGCCGATCGTGCCCGTGTACGTTATCAGCATCGTTGCGTTATCGGATGCAAGAGACAGTTGTGGACCTTTGGGGTAAGCAGCACACGCTGGTCAGCGAGCGTTATCGCGGATCATCGTTCATCGCTGGTGGACGACGGATATATCGCGGTTCTACCGATGCAGCCGACGTAGCCGTGGTTCGGACGTCGGCTCTTAACCAGAGTGAGCGGCGTACGGTTGCGCGGCGTGCGGGGATCGATCTCGACCCGAGGATGCGGAATCGCAGGGCGTGTCTCACAGGTCGTAGGGCTAGCTCCGGCCGGTGACTTTCAACGGCGCTAACGAGGCCGCGACACGGCCGTCGAGAGGGGCGTCGAAGGGGCGCAGCCGGCGCGGGAAGGAGGCCAGGAGGAATGCAGCTCGGCCTCCCTATCGAGCTTAAGCGTGAGATGGGAGGCACTGATAATTAGGCACCGCAATCGTTCCTTCGTTCCTGGGTTCCTCCAGGGTCGGGCCCCTCGGGGTCGTGTGCACGGGGCCTGCGCTGTGCCAAGGGACGGTCACGTTTCCCTTTCTCCGTACTGCCGCAGTACGCAGTGCCGTAGTGCTGTAATTCTGCCCGATCCGCGTCGTACGTGGGACGTGTCGTGATTTGGCTGTTTGTGTTACATGGCCGGCGAAAACGCCGTCTTGTGGGGCATCTGACTATTTGCTCTTCACCCCACTGTGGGGGCTGCTGGGGGGCCTGTATAGCTAGTATAGCGTCAGCCAAGCAAAGCTCACTCCACTGCGGTGACGGTGACAGGAACGCCGCCACCAATGTCCGTCGACGGCCAGCGATGCGTGGCACAGCGCCATATGGAGCGCCGCTGTGAGCCCCGCTATCCGCTACCGCTCGCTACCGGCGACGGAGAAGGACACCGAGGCGGATGAAACGAGTGGCTCGGTGAACGGTCCCGCTGGGCCCGGAGGGAACGCCGGACATGAGCACTCGTGACACTGGCGCGTGCTTGGCCAATTGTAGGACGAAAAGCGCAGGAAAGCGCGTGATAGCGCGTGATGATGCCGTCGGCCTCTCTTCAGGAGGGCCATCTCTGTTGACCGCTGTCACGTGCAGGCTCATTATGATCACGTCCTCTTCCTTTCTGTGCTGTTCTATGCTGCTCGCTGCTGAGCGTCGTAGGTCACAAGATTGTCATGGAGATGACATGCCCGGGTTCTAAACTACAATTACGGATTGGATTACGATAAGGAGAGAGGGGGTTTTGTTTAATTATGCTAGTCTGCTGAGTGCGCAGGCCGCAGTGGTCGACACGGCCTGGCCCAATTGCTTATGCCCTGGGACGGAGGCAGATTAGAACTTCTCGTGGTCGGCAGGAGCCGCGGCAGGGGCGGACAGGGACGCGCGTGGCGAAGCCTCCAGGTCGTGCTTCTTGACGTCCGCAACCTGGGCACGCTCGTCCTCCTTCCACTCGAATTGGAAGTCGTCGAGGTGGCGGAAGTAGGTGGGGAAGACGAAGGCGCAGGCAAAAGTGACCGCAGCGATAACCATCCAGACAATGGCGAGGTTAGGGTCGGTCAGGGCAGATGAAACAGCCATGGAAATCGCAGCCGCCACACATGAGTTGAACAGGGCGAGCGAGTAGACCAGTCCACGCATCGACGGAGGAGCACGAGTGTAAGCCAGCTCGTACGAGGTGACGTTCACAAAGATCTCGCCGATAGCAGGGAGGGCCACGACAGGGATCTGGAGCCAGAGAGAGACGGGAGAAACGCCGGCGTTGCCGTCAACCATACAGGTGGAGGCGTACTTGCCACATGGCGAAGTCTTGTAAATCTTGTCCTGCAACTTTTTGTCAACACTTCTTCTTCGTTTCTCTTCGATTTTTTTACTCACATAAGCCCCGACAGCGCATCCAACGGCGCCGAGCACGAAGCCGATGGCCATGCGCATCATGGGTTTGATGGGGTAGCCGATCTTGACGAAGAAAGGATAGATGAAATAGTTGATGATGGGCGAGGCGACGATGATGGCGATGGAGTTAAAGTTGGTAAGGAGATCGTTGGGAACTCCGTTCTTGGTCATACCGACGGACATGTCGTTGAACATGTTACCGAGACCTCCAGAGCCCGCGTCGGAGATGACGAAGATGGGAATGAGCATGAAAACACCACAGGCCGAGATGGTCTGACGGACCTCCTCAACGAAGCGGTCATCCCAGTGAACCTTCGACTCGTCAACGTAGCCCTCGGTCTCGCGGAGGTGCGAGGGGCGAGCGCTGGCCCAGAACTTGTCACCGCCCTTGAGCCAGCCGAAGGCGCCGCCCTTCTTGATGCACATGCCGATGACACGGAAAGTGTCGGGGATGACCGAACCGGAAGGAGGGAGCTTGACGAGGCGCTTGTTAGCCCAAACAAGGACGATGGGCATAAGCATGTAGAGGATACCGGGGAGAAGGAAGGCGAGCCAGAAGCCAATGTCGTGGGCGGCGTACTGGGTAGCAAGCTGGAAGAGGGCACCGATGTTGATACACAGGTAGAACGTGTTGAGGTAGCTCGAAACGGTGAACTGAGGGTCGATGACGACACGCTCGCCCTTCTTGGTCGTCTTGATCGTCGGGGCCTTCACGGGCGACTGGTCACACAGCAGGGGACCAAGCGAGGGCTTAATAAAACCGGCAGCGAAGGCGAGGACGATGATAGAGATGATGAAACCAGCGAGCGAACCCTTGGGGTCCTTCTGAATAACCGAGGGGAGGGCGGGGAAAATGAGGATGACGTGAGCAATGGCACCAACAAAGGTTCCAATGCAGATCGTCTTGAAACGACCGAGCTTGTTGTCGGCAACGATACCACCGTAGATAGGGGTGAGGTAGGCAAGGAAAGTGAACATCTTCGTGACAGCAGAGGTCGTGACGGAGCCCTGGTTAAGAGCACCGGCGCTCTGCTGCTCGCCCATGGGGCCCTTGGCGACGGCACCGGCGCCGTTGCCTCCAGGAGGAAGGGGGTGAGCCTGAATGTCAGCGGCGTGCTCAAGGAGCTGGAAAACGGCTAGCGAGCCGGTTGCGAACACGTTCTGCGACGCGGATGCCACAGGCTCGTGGAAGAGATTGTGGCGCCACTTCGTCTAACGCCACCAGCCAACGACGCTAGTCGTCTACTCACCAGGAAGTTGTTGAAGGGTCCCTGCGAGCCGTAGTACGAGGCACGCTCAGAGAACTCGATCAGACACATCGCGAGACCGACGAGGGGCATGGCGGCGGGCACCTTGCGAAGGGTGCGAAGCTCCTCGGCGGTGGGAATCGTGTCGGGGTCCTGGTCGGGGTGACCGATGATTTGGCGAACGTCGGCCTCATCGTCGTACTCCTTCTTCTCGTCGTTGACGGCGTGGACGTCCGTGACCACGTCGTGGTGCTTCAGCTCCTCCTGGACGGCGGGCATGATGTCTGTTTGAGGGGTTGAAAAAACGGGTGGGTCCTCGATCTCGCGACTTTATATTGTGATGGGGTCAGTGCAGGATGCATGGCGGCCCCAGGTCCGAGGCTGTGGGTTCGCTCCGCGTCCTGTGGGTGCACCTAGCCAGCAGCGCGACGGGCCAACGGGCTTGGTTTGGCCAGATACGAGCGGAAGAGGCAGGAGCGGCAGAAGGAGCAAAGGCGAGGTATCGCTTCGATGTCCGGATAACGGACGCAGGGTTTACAGTTGGCTCCACATGGTGCACTAGATGGTGCCTGAGTGTGTTAAGGGCGGGATCGCCCAGGATGCCTCCACCGGCCGGGCTGAGAGCCGAGCACGCCCAGAGGACGGCAATAGAACCACCCCCGGACCCTGAATGTCCACCCACTCGTCGAGACTTTTGGGTCGCCGGACGGCCCTCCCGCGTCCTTAGCCCTCCTGTGGTCCTTCTGGCCATCTCCTCGCCGCCTGGCCTGCCCGGCCTGCCTGGCCTGTCCGGCGAACACTGCGCGAGCGAGCGGGGAAGCGAACCGAGGCACCGAACTGAGGCCTGAGGCCCGAGGCCAGTGAGGCCTTTTGCATTTCTCACTCTAGTAAGCGCACACTGCTCTCCGCACACCGCTTGGGGACGCTCGGTGGGGACGTCCCTTCGCGGCCCTGCTTCCCCCCTTCATGCCTCGCCTCGCGATCGCTCGGGATGAACCTTGGAGTCCCGGATCTTGGTCAAGTGGGGCTCAACGAGCTCCGGATTCACATAGCCCCCGCCTGGCCTCTCCATGCACCTGCAGTAGACCCATCATGGATCCGAAGCCGAACAAATGCTCAACATCGCAGTCATTAGACCTCCTCTGGTCGTGTGCAGCCACTTACCACCCCCGACTGGTCCGCCACGGCGAGGCTTGGACAGCTGATCCTAGATCCTAGATTTTTCCAGCTGCCATGAACCAACCCTGAGACAAGCATCTCTGCAAGTCGGTGACACCCCCTCTTGCAGCAGACGAGGTCCACTGCACAGAAACCTGTCAGATATGGCGTGCTCCTCTCTGAGGCTGGCCATTTGTCACAACAGCGTCCGGGTATATGACCACAAGGCAATCCAATAGCATTGCGCAGACGTCGGTCTTAGCCCTGCTCAACCGTCCGCTTGCGTTTGCTTGTTGCTAAGGTTTGCAGCCCCGATCAGTACTGGGAGGCAGAGCAGGAGCCGGGCACGTGAGAAAGGGGCTTCGGCGACCAAAGGCTCGTGCCGTGCAGCATAGTCGCCGTTGCACCCTGGGACACCCTGAGCCTCGTGTCCAATAAGCTTTACGAACTGCAAAGGACGCTGGATCTCACTTTCTTAAGGCCAATAGACTGCACACCCGGCAGAATCGGGCAGGGCCAAAGGATGGGCGGAAAAACATTGCGATAGGAACGATGAGTACGATGGGTAAGCCTTTGGCGTTCGCTGCATCCCTGTCTCTCTCTATCTCGACCGTTCTGCGGCCCAATCAAGCATTCTTGTACAATGTCGACCGACGCCCATGACACGGTCGCACGAACCATTTTCCTCAATGGTACCGTCGGCTCGGGGAAAACAACCACTGCCACCGCCATAGGCAGTGTCTTGGAAGAGCGGCAGGTTCCCCACGCAGTCATCGACATTGATCAGCTGTCGACGCGCTGGCCCTCGCCGGCCGATGACCCTTTCGATTTCCGGTTAACGCTCGCGAATGTGATTTCCGTGGCTGCGAACTACAGGGCCGCAGGCGTGCAGATCGTCGTCCTAGCCGGAGTCATCGAGACGACGCATCAGCTGCGACAATACGAAGAAGGCCTTGGAGTGGGGGGAGCGATCTTCGACCACGTAAAGCTTGTGGCCCCACCCAGCGTTGTCAAGCAAAGGCTGCTTGCACGGCATGAAGACGAGGACGAGTTGCAGTGGCACGTCAAGAGGGCCCCGGAACTTGCCATGATCCTGGATTCGGCCGGTTTACCGGGCCCCACCTTCGACACCAACCAGCCCTTGAAACCCCTCGCCCAGCGCATTATTCAGACCGTTCTGGATCCTTGAACCCGGAGGCGGAGGCGCGGGGCTGCAAGGGGCCGTCTCGGGGTTTGGGCGACGTCTCGGAAGGGGCTCAAGGGCGCGATTCATCAGCATTCACAGAGCCAGCACTTGTCCTGGGCCTCCCTCCTTCCGTTTTATCCAAGAGGCCGCCTGATGAGACAGCCCGGGCTGATGGAAACGCCTCAGCCCGGCCTCAGACCGACTTCTGGCGCCGCCTTGTTCGGCAGAGCAAGCACAGACACCATGCACCACATGCTACACCAGCGCCTCTATCTTGGCACTCGCAGGTCAGCTGCGCACAGAGGCGTTATCGGACTCTATCATTTGTATCAGCCAGTGGCTTGTCTCGATACGGGCCAGATCGCACGACCATCCTCCGCGGCCCGCCCGACGTCATCGGTCGCTCGACCACTACTCCGTGACTTCTCGTCAAAGCCGCAACTCCGGCCTTTGCCGATCACTGTTGAGCTTAATGCTCAGCGAGCGGCGGTGCGGCGACGACTGCGGGCAATTCCGCTGTGCCGAACGAGGGGACTCCGCAGATCGGCCCGTTAATCGCGTGCCGGGCTCCACGGATTGTGAAGCTTGCACCGGCAGCTGCCCCGCTGTCTCCGCAGACCGCAGACCGCAAACCGCAAACCCACGGTCATGCCACGGCCATGCGTTGTCGATGTGGCTTCGGATTGTGGCTTGCCCGCTGGGAAAGCGATCTGCCGGCGCCTCTGCATGAGCGCTTAGCACCTGCCTGCTGCGCCCAGTGCACCAAGGAATGTGGACGATTAGAATAGCATCGCCGGATGTCCATGCACCGATCTGAATCTCGGCGAGTCCGAGCCCACGTCCGTTCGCCGGCTCTGTTCTCCACACCACATGTGACTCCCGGCGCGGGATAACGGCTTGGCAGGATGAGAAACGTCCTCGCGCGGAGACCCCATGTTCCGAACCGGGTGGGCAGGCGGGCACGCAGCGGGCAGATGACCTCGAGATGACAGCAGATGACCTCTGCCAAGCGCGTAGAGGACGACAGTGGGGAAGCCAAGTCGCGCGTCTGATCAGCTGAGCGAGGTGCTCCTTGGCAAGAGTTCAGCCCATCTCTATCTTGCACATCTTGCCAAAACGCCGTGTTGGCCGACAACGTGGGATCGGCCCCGCACCAGACTAATCACCGCAGCCACCATGAAACCGGACTTGAGATGCGATTCATAGCATTTCGGAATCCATCTTCGATGTTTACTCACCTCATCTCACATGCCGCAACGCTGACATACATCGCAATCATCCACTCCGCATCCATCTTCTACAACCCTGGACGCCCACTTACTCAGTTGATCGAGCAGCGTCATCCACGGACACCCGCTCGCCCCCTTACCCCCTCATGTCGCTACGCCTTGACATCTAGCGCCCCAGATCCACCCATCGCAACCTATGGCCATGCCTTGTGGTTTGTTCACATCTTGCTCGAACTGGTCAAAGGCAAAAAGGAATTCTCCGCCAGGGAGTCGAACCCTGCTCTATCGCGAACACTTTGAGGTGAACTCTCACTTGAGAGGCGATTATACTAACCGATATACTAGCGAAGATTGCTGGATCAGCTCGTTGGTAGGGGGATCCTGTTTCGGCTATCAATGCTGTCAGCGTCACAGGATCTGCGGGGCCAGCGGGAGATCTCTGAGGTTTTGCCCGTTGCATGAGTACAGCTGCTACTAACATAGCTGTTTGAACGACAGAAGGCGGGCTAATCTGGCAGAGATCGATGGCCGGTTGACGACATGGCAGGCTTAACGACAGGGCGCAGACGAGGGCGTGCGCCAATGCCGCTGGAACGCATCAGGAACACGAGCCTCTCGGAGCCGGACTTGCTCAAGGTGTCCTCCTCTCAGGTTCCTGCTGATCAAGAAGCTGTGGGGGTGGTCGACCGCGGACGCCATGGATTGTGGGGATGGAAGAGCTTAGCTCGGGGGCGCTGGCCGTGTCCCCTATGACGTGCAGCGGACTCACGGGAGGATCAGAGGAGTCGTGAAGTGCATTCGCCCGGGCACGACGGGGACATCTCGACTTACACCCTCATCTTACGCCCTCATGAAAGGATCGTGATGTGAAAGGGGTTGCGCGCACAGCAAGACGTTGCATCCTCCCATCTCCTCACAGCTTGTGCCAACCAAGATGACCGTCACCGCTCCCTTCCAGCCGGCTTCCAAGCTCACCGCCTCTGGGTTGCTCAAGGAAGAGATCGCAGTCCGGACCGAAATTGGCGTCTTGGGCCAACGTCTCCGTGAAATCGAGCAGAAGAAAGCAGCAATGACCCCTCTGCCGGAAGATAAGAAGGAATGGGTCAAGGAAGCGGATTCCTGGACCACCGTTAGCACAACGCCTCCCGGTGCGTCGAGTCTGCAGGCGGATGTACTCATTGCCAGGTAAGATCCGCGTCGTCGTTCGGATGGGTACTGTCAGCCGTCGATACTGGCTCGACCCTCGCATTAGCACTTTCGGCGGCCTCAGGGTGAGATTCGATTCACAGTGACCCCGGATGTTAATGGCAGTATCGCTTCGCGCGCGAGCTGCGCTGTGAAGGTGGCCCCGGGGCACTCATGTGAGTAGCCCAACCGACGATGTCTTACCGGCAGTCTTCGCTTTGACGGTATGGTTCTCAAGGACGACCAGACTCCTGCAGACGTCGACATGGAGGACGGTGACATCATCGACTGTGACCTGGACCCCAGTGAGCGTCCCTTGTTTGCTGAAACTAATCACAGATGCCATTGTCTGGAGCGGTTAACGAGGCCTGCCTCGATCAATCGTTCCTCTGTTTTCTGTGACTGTTTCAGACGTACGTGCTGTTTCGTAAGCGTGAGTGAGTGTGTTAGGTGTGATATGCACATATTTGTTGCGTCGTCGCGTGCCATCTTCGGAAGATTGGACGAAGATGTAATCGACTACGACTCTCATCATCATATTGAGCTCCCCATCCAGGGCTCTAGATGCTGGCCGCCATCGGCTGAGCCATCAAGGTAACCCTCTGAACACTTGCCTTACCTGGCATTGGAGCGACCAGTCCTCACAGACTGACTTTGCGCTTGCGCATAGAATGGGCGCGGCCACCACCGAGGGTGTCCAAGACTATGTTACGTAATCCGCGACCGGTCCGCGTCGGCGCGTCGCGTTTCTTGACCAGGTACCCTGGATCGATCAGCACGTCACAACAAGCTCGTTCGAGCACAGCTTGTCCTCATTTCGACCAACTCCACCGAGCTCACGCCCGCGATGACGGTCATCGACCACAATGTGTTCCCGCACATCATGGAGGCGATCTACTCGTACGCCGACTTTGACACGCTGCTCGCCATGCGACCGACCTCGAAGACGTACCGCGACTGGTCCGACGCCCGGCTATCAGAGCATGTCGTCGTTCACGTGCGGCGTCCCAAGAATGAGCAAGGCAAGCCGATATGGGCTGCGGGATCTCGCTCGGTCGAAATTCATGCACCCGGTGGAAGACGGTTGCCATTCTTGCGCTCTTGGAAGAGAGCGAACGGTGACGACCTGTCGCAATGGCGCGCATTCGGCAAGTACTTTGGGCGAACTACGACACTCGACCTTGCAGACGAGGGCTTGATGCGCGGACGAACTGAGTGTATCAAGGCCGTTTGTCCCAAGCTGCATACGCTGCGCATGCTGAACAACTACGAGTCGGAACGGGAAGTCGCCAACATGTCATCATCGGCCGTCTCCTTCCCCGGTAATGCGAAGGACGGGACGTTCGTGCAGTTCTGCTATGCTGCGAAACCGGCGGACCCGATGGCAGAGGGAAGGGTATCGCGTGCTCTATTCGTCAACCCGATCCCCCGCGGAGTGCGCCGATGTGTCGTCAACCTCATCGGTGACATGCGCGACCCGAAGCTCATCTTCATCGCGAACACGACCTTACCGCCTGAGCTGCGCGAGCTCGTTCTTGTCTTTCACCAGATCGCCGGCCCGACACCAGAAGTGAAGGACGACTACCAGATTCCGAGCGCGACGCTGCACTGCTTCCACAGCTTCGCCCAACTCATCGCGCAGAACGCTCACAAGTGCAAGATCACCATGGCCGGGGCGCTTGGCGTGAGCGAGCGGGTGTACGGATTCGAATACATGGAAGATCAGAACGAGCTTCGGGACACTCTCGTCGAGTTTCTGGGTCATATCGCAGACGAACAGACACCGATGGGTCCCGACGAGATCAAGAAGGCGAATGCCGCTTTCCACGACATCCCATGGCCGTCCGTTGCCCAGTACCGGAAGACGCTTGCGCCCGGGCAGTGGGAGAACGAGTCCGTTCCGAGGCCTTGGTACTCAAGCCCGGAGCTGTCGTGGTACACGAAGTGATCAAGCCACGCTGTCGCGCTGTCATCCCTCAATACGTCACAATGCATAATCCTAAGCCTACAACACTATAACACCATTACTCTCTCTCGTCTTTCAACCGTCAAGAGCCTTAACGCTCTTCGCCCACGACTGCGGACCATAGGCACCAGGGGCCTCGCCATCGAAAAGGGAGGCGTACACGACACGATCGCTTTGCTCGCCCTTCCATGGGTGGCGTCCGTGCTGTGTAATAACGTTGTCGTACACGAGAAGGTCACCCTCCTGCCACTTGTGCAGGACGGTGATCTCGTCCGTGATTTCGGCGAGGCGCTTGATGTACTCCTCGGGAATGGGCTCACCATCGCCATACGTCTGCGACACGCCATAGCGCTGCTTCCCGTTGACAACGAGGTTGCGATAGTAAGCTGCCAAACCAGTGAATAGAACGGGGAGGCCAGTGCCGGGCTGAGTGCGGATGGCGGGGAGGATGTGCGTGACGATCACGCCTCCGTCATCGGTCCACTCCCACGTCGTATCCTCTCCACGCCCGTAGCGGCGGATCTGGTCTTCTACTTTGCGCCGCTTTGTCTCCTCGTCATCATCCTCGGCCCATTCCTTGCCAAACGCCTGCTGCATCGTTGTGCCGCCCGCGTACTGGCGGCCGCGCTTGTACGTGACGCTGGACCGGACACCACGCTTTCCAAGCTGTTCGATGAATTCGGGAATCTCTTCCTGAGCACGGCGGAAGAGCTCAAGCGACGAAGAGACGGGCGTCTCACCACCCTCCTTGGGCGCGCGGTGCCCGTAGAAGAAGATGTACTCGGGCGCGTGCGGCACCTGCGGCGACTCATTGTGGTTGAAGATCAATGTCTCCTTCGAGCTCTCGTTCGCCGGCGACACGTTCGGCGCGAGCTCACCACGCTCGACCACAAGGCCAATGATCTCGTGCGGAGCATAACCGAACGCGTGCGCGAAGCGGGAGAAGTCGGCGGGGTTGCGCACTGGCACACCGCGAAAGAGCAGGGCGCCGTGCTGCGACAGCAAGGACGTCAAGACGCCTGTCTTCTGCAGGTTGCTGATCGTCGAGACGGCCTCGTCAAGGGTAATCTCCTTGCTGGGGCGGAGCGCAAGAGGAGCAACAGATCCAGGCGCATGCGGAGCACTGAGTTGGCGCTGGTTCGAAGCTGGCAGCGCGAACGGCTCGAAGTATGCCGCTGCTTCAGTCGGGAGGGTGCCCAGAGGCGTGTCGGGTGCGGTTGCGACGGCTGCCATGGTGTCGTATAAGATGTGTGGCAAGCAACGGCGCTCCGGCATCCTATTTATGCAGCGGTTCTGCCTGCCCACCACTCCGCTCTGGCGAATGCCGATGCGGGCAACGGAGGTTGCCGAGATGGGAGATGAGACCATCCTGCCGAAAATGTCGTGCTCGGTATGGCTTGACGCCGAGGCTTGGGTTGGATGGGGGGCGACCCGGCCGTGTCCCTGAGCGGGAATCGTATGATAAGATAAACTGCGGCTTGGGTTGTGTCACCATTCGTGCTTGCTTTTAGCGCGCTTTTCTCCACTTTCTCATTCATTGCCTACTTCTCATTCACACAACCTTTCTCCCTTCGCGTTCCGCGTGAGTCACTAGATCTGAAACAGCGCTAACAGCTCAGCCAGTCGTCGCTTAGCCCCGAGTCCGCCAGTGATGACGTGCCAACATTGCGCAAGTTGCGTTTCCGAGCTCCTATTGGAGCGATAAGATGAGAGCAAAGCGGAGGTGACCACTTCTCCTTTGAAAGCCGGCTCTTAAAAGATCAATCCGTCAGTCACTATCCACACTTACCCATACTGGCACATCCACCATGAGTGGTAAGTCACGACACTTGACGAAATCGCTCACTTTAGGGCTATCGAAGTTCTATCGCTCGACTCTGTTCCAGATCCTGATCGTCGGGCTCTGTGCCTTCTGCGCACCAGGTATCTGGAGTGCGATGAACGGCCTCGGTGTCGGCGGCTCACAATCTCCTGATCTCGTGAATGCAGCCAACGCTCTGCTGTACGCATTCATGACTGTCTTCTGCTTCCTCGGGCCATGGTTCACGAACGTCCTCGGATTCAAATACACCCTCGCACTCGGCGCACTCGGCTACCCGCTGTACGCTGCTGGACTCTACGTCAACAACCGCACTGGTGCTACGTGGTTTGTCTACTTCGGCAGCGTTGTCTGCGGCATCACGGCAGGGTTGTTCTGGAGTGTCGAGGGTGCTGTCGCGACTGGTTACCCCGAGGCCCATAAGCGAGGACGGTATGTCGCCACCTGGTTCACCTTCCGAAACGCTGGAAACATCATCGGCGGATCGGTTAGTCTGGCGCTGAACCATGCTGTGGCCAAGCGAGGCAAGGTCGGGTACGAAACGTACCTCGCCTTCATCGCGATCCAATGCCTAGGCTTCTTCTTCGCCCTCTTCCTCTCCAACCCAGAGAAGGTGACCCGCGACGATGGTACGAAGATCGCGGCTCCGCGTGGTACGAAGCCTCTTGCCGAAGCAAAGGAGATGTGGCGACTCATAACGTCGCGCCAGATCTTGCTCCTCACACCGCTCTTCGTGTACTTTGGCTGGCTGCAGGCATACCCCGGAACGTTCCTCGCGACGTACTTCACGGTACGCTCCCGCGCTCTCGGCAGTTTGTGCTACGCCCTCATGGGCAACGTCGGCACGTGGCTGGGCGGATTGCTCGTCGACGTTCGCTGGCATCCGTCACGCAAGGTTCGCGCCATCACTACCTTCGTGCTCCTCGCGGTGATGAACACGGCAACATGGATCTGGGCTGTGATAATCCAGGAAGAGTACTCCCGCACGCACCCCCTCCTGGACTGGGCGGACCAGAGTACCTTCGGCCGCGGCTTTGGTGTGTTCATGTTTGAGCGCCTCAGCTTCGCCCTCGTCGAAAACTACGTCTACTGGTGCATCGGCAACCTTTCCGACTCCCCCGGTGACCAGATCCGATACTCGTCTCTCCTGCGTGGGATCGAGACTGCCTCTGTCGCTGTAAGCTTCGGTGTGCAGGCTGTCCCGACACCGCTCCTCATCACTGCAGCGCTCAACCTGGGCATCTGGTTTGCTGCACTGCCGTTTGCATTCTACGCTACGCTCCAAGTTGTCCGCAAGTTTGAAGAGCTCAACCGAAGGGGTTCGGAGAGCACTGAGACGGACAGCACCGACTTTGAGGGCAAGGCGGAGGAGAAGGTCTGAGATGCCATCAGAGCAAATGTACAACTATGCATGCACTACGAGGTAGATATCGTCAAACCCAGATCTCGTAATCGAAACAGTTTATCGTCTTGACTGGATCCCAAGCTTTGTTCCAGCCTCCGGTACGGGCGGCGAAATATCTCATCGTCTTCTTCTCGAACTCAGGCCAAATCTTTGGCTCCGGTGGGGGTCTCTGTCCCAGCTCCTTGTACCTCACAATCGCCCAGCGGTCAACCATGCCCACCCTTGTGGTATATCGTCGAACGTGCTTCCACAGGCGGAGAAGCTGGTCATCGTACCCCGCATTCCTCATCTGAAGGAGCTCCTTATCCGTGAGGTTCTTCATGACGTCGCGGACGCGGGTATTCCACTTCACTGCGTGATCGTTCTTGATGTACGGATAGAGGTAGTTATAGGGAGGACAAGGCGCCAAACAAGCTGCGACGAGGATTGTAGTGGTCGATAGACAGGCTTTCTTCGATTCTGACGAGAGCGACGTTGAGGAAGAGCGTTTTAGCAGCGTGTCGAGCATGCTCTCGATCTCTTCCGCAATGCCCCTAGCCACCTTCGGAAGCGAGTCCATGCGGGAGTACTTTCCGGTGTTGCCCCTCTTCCGCAACAAGAACTTGGCCCGCCGCAAGAAGTGTTCGCCCATCTCCTCGACTTCATCATCGTCCAAACACTTTTCGATGATATGGCTTGGGGTTTCAACCAGCACATTCTCCTCTACGTCCGGATGGGCAAGTGCAGCGTCCAGGCAGATCTTCCTCACAGCGGCGTGTTTCATTTTCTTCATCTGAGCTTCGCAATGCAGGCGCAGAGAATACCATAGCATCTCGTCCTTGTCCTCTCCAAAGACATCGACCACATCCGTATGTTTGGTAGCACTCAGAACGCAGCCGCGCACGGTGGCTATCGCTAGGCCCTTAATGATGGCGGTAAGGAAGGCCACCCGCTTACTGTCGCTGGAGACTTCGGAGGGAACGATCGAGAGGTATCGGCGTGGCGGAGTGTCCATTACTGACCTTGGTGAAGGTGAAGCATAGAAGTTGTAGTGAGGTTCGGGCGAGCCGCTCTCTGGAGTCCCAACCGCGTCGATCGGGTCCGGTGAGCTGGACACTCGATAGTAGGGTTCTCGCTTGGTGACTTTGGGAGTGTGCACCGTAATCGTCGTCGACGCTCTACGCTTGCGAGACCGCGAACGTGTTGCGTCCTTGTCACTCGTCGATCTGCGAGCCTGCTGGGGGGCGGCTGATTCGGGGCTAGCGCTCTCCTTCAGGCATGCACTGACCCAGGAAAGGACTGCCGGGGTCGAGGGAAGCGTGTTCGCGACTTCTCTGAACTTGGACACTTCACCGTTCGCTGCGTACTGTGCAGGCATTAGCTTTTCTCTTGTCTCCAAAAGGGCGTCAAATTCTGGGCGCACTCACAGCCCTCATGATGGTCGCATCCATCAGGCTGATGCCCTCTGGGAGACCGGTCATAGTGGATATGCTCCCCATAAGGCGCCGGCGAGGAGAGTTTAGGGAGTAAGAGGAAAGTCTATTGCATGAAGAGAAGGTGTCGACACAGTGTCTGGCAGGTGCCAAGCTGGCAGGGGAATGTGGAGGTTCGAAAGTGAGACGCGTCGCGCGTTAGGAGTCGTGAGGATCGAAGCTCGGGGCTGTTCCTGGACCTGCCGTCACCTTCCCCTCGTTGGTGCATCGTGCGTAACCTCAAAAGCAGTCTGGAGTATAACTTGGCGTTTGTAACCCGTCCCAAAGCCGGGCAAACATTCCCGATTTATGCCACCAGATCCGCAAACAAGAGCCCGACCGGGATAGCGTACGCTGAGAGAGCGTGTCAATACAGGACGAATGTGTGGTTCTTCGAAGCAGCGGGGATGACCGTAACCACGTACACAGCTACTTTGATACTTTGACCTCGGGGCCTGAATCTATCTAGTCCCACGCCTCGTCCCATCCTCCAGTGCGGTCGGCGAAGTAGACCATCGTCTTCTCCTCGAACCCCGGCCACATCACATAAACATTTGGCTGGCTCGGAGGTGGGGGACGTGGGGAGGGGCTGGGGCGATAGTCGGGGTGAGCTTCCCGCAATGCATCGCGGTCCACTTGCCGCTGCCGCTGCTGCTGTTCTTGTTCTTGTCGGAGCTTCTCCAGTTCATGTTGTTGTCGCAACCTCTCCGCGGCCTCACGCTCGCGGAATACCGCGATAGACTTCCGAACGCTGAGCAGCAAGTCCGTGTACGATGTACGGCGCATCCGAGTGAGTTCGGCGTCCGTCATCACCGCCATGGTGGTACGAATATGGTCCTTCCAGCGAGCCGCATACTCCCACTTCAGGTGGGTCTCCATGCGATTGTTGTCGTTGCACCGAGCCAACAGTATCGATAAGATGGCAGTCGTGGAGCGGAGGCAGGCAGCCTTGGCGTCGAACGTCTCCATGCTAGGCAGTACCTCTGACATGGTGCAAAGCATTTCGTCTACCGCGTTTCCAAGGCTATTGGCCGCTGTCCGGGTGATTGTCCTGTCGGAGCGCGGGAGCCTCTCTCCTTCCAGGTACTCAGCCCTGGTGACAAAGTGGCCACACATCTCTTCAAAGTCACCGCCTGGTACGCACGCCATGATCAGCTTGATCGGAGATTCGCCGATGACACGTTTCTCGAGAGATTCATGGGCCAGCGCAGTCTCAAGCAAGAGTCTCGCCATCGGGCGACAGCCCTCTTCATGTCGTCCTGCGAGCCATGGATCCATGGGTCGATTTTACCCTTCGGGAGGGCGGGGTTCTCGGGCCACTGTTGCGAAGCCCAGCGGAGGGCTTCCCGGACCTTATCAAACGCGATGCCTTTGACCAACGCGGCCAGAAACTCTCGGCTCACTCTCGGACGTCCCTCCTCGTACGGGCGTGCTAGGGAGTGGGTGCTGCCGTTGCGAACCGGCACAGAGGTGCGTACTCGTGAGGTCGACGGTCCACTGGTAGAATTCCGATCAATCGCCCTCAAGGGGGGAGTCAGACTGTTGGAAGAAGACCGACTGCGCTTGAGTCGTAGCGTATGTCCAGTATCCTCAGGACTCGGTGACAATGCGGAAATGTAGTCGGTTGTGGTCCCAGAGGTTGTCCCATCAACAGCAGGTGCTGTCGGTGAAGGGGGAACGGAGGGCTGATTCTCTCGCTCACTGGACTGAGCATCCAGACATCTGCTAATCCACGCCAGTACAGCAGGTGTTGTCGGAAGAGTGTTCGCGACCTCTCTGAACTGCAAGATGTTCCCGCCCCGGGCAAGCTGGAGTCAGTGCCCTACACGCCGTGACTGTGTACACATACCGCTTTCAGGATAGTCGCATCCATGGCATTGATGCCCTCTGGGAGATCTGTTATAGACATATTGGCTGTCTCTTGGTCATTAGGAGGATATGTGTGGAGACCGATGGACGGCCGATGGAGAGAACGATGTTGACATTGACGGACGTTGGTAGCAAAAGTGGAGGTTCGAAACGTGGCTGATAGCAGATCTCCGTCAGATGCGCTTGTCCCTGGACCTTTCATATCGGCGTAAAGCTGGCACATGCATATCCTGCACAATTGGTAGAAGCAAGGCGTGCCATTGAGTCGTCTATGCATGATGTCTCAAGCAACTTGCTTGGGGACAGGTGATCTAATGTACACTTCTATTACCATACTCCTCCATCATGTCGTAGATCAGCTTGAGCTGCTGCGGCGCCTGGACGAGGATGTTGCGAGATCGTCGAATGACCTCGACGGTCTCAGCAATGGGGTCGCCACCGAGAGCTTCCAGGTCGTCCGTCTCATACGTTCTCGGCTGGGGATAGAACAGCGAAGACAGTGCGATGAATGTACCCGTGCGGCCGACGCCGGCAGAACAGTGCACCCAGACCTCGCACTCCTGCTCGCCTCGATCCGTGCCACTCTGACGGGCGATGTCCTCGACGAGGCGGCGCAGACACTCGACATTTTCACCCTCCGGAACGCCATGGTCGGGCCACGATGAGAAGAAGTAGTGATGGACGACTTTGGCCGCATCTCCATCGGTAACTTCCAGCTCTGAGTACACCGAGCCGAGTTCCGGCTTGCGCTCCTGCTTCTTCAGCCTGAGGTGGATCTCGTCGCCGTGTTTGGATTTAAAAGTCAGGCTGTCGGAATCGCCCTTCCTGTCCATCAGCTACAGTCGCTAAAGCGGCTCACGGCATGTATGGACACGCCTTCTCAATGCCCCGCTCAACCCATCCAGTGAGCTGAATGAGGATGACGTCCTTCTTGTTTCTTGTCTTGAGGAGATGCGGATCCCGCTCAGCAGCCTCCGAAGCCGAGTTGTCGAGAAGCGCCCTGAAGAATATATACCGGGTGTGGTCTAGCGGAGCCTGCAGTTAGCTAACGCCGCCTCGTGTAGTCTCACTTGTGCAGCGACCCACCACCGTCCTGTGCCGTCGCCGACGATATTGGCGTTGAGGAACTCGCCGCCCGGCTTGACAGCGGTCTGGTCGTACGCATTCACGTCCGAGTACCGGTTGTCGGCCCGGTGCAGCTTCGAATTGTGAATCGAATACCGCTGCACGTTGCTGAGTCCGGGCCGAAGCGGGATGTCGACGCCCCGCGCAATTCGGTACCGCTCATGCTCGCGCTGCTCAAGCAACTCCCACGCTCTCCGCAAAGGGAGGCGGTTTGGTCGCGGGCTGGCAGACATACTGCGTGGCGTCTTGAGGGTCTGTCCTATCGTGCGCGTGGAGGGGTCGAGAAGGCGGGGAAGACGAGGAAGACGCGAGCTTCGCCTGCGATCGATGACGGAACGCGGTCCGGTCATCTCGAGCTCGGTGCGGTGCCTTGCTTGTTTGGTCCCGCGTCAGCTTGATAATCCACACCCCAAGGTTACGTAAAACATGTCGCACAAGTCCGAGACTTGAGTCGAGACTCGCTCGGTAAAGGTCGGGGATCTTCGCTCTGCTCGCTTGTGCACAGACTTCGGAGACAGATGTGTCCGCCGATCTTCTGGAAGAAAGCTGCTCGTCGTTCCTCTCTCTTACGGTTACCACCCTAGCTATAAGTTGCTGCCAGTTCTTCTTGCCTCTGCACTCACCTTCTCACCAGCCCTTACCCCTTCGACTCACTGCAGCCCACCTATCCATGAGCTCCGACATCCATCTCCGCGCAATAACCCGCAGCCAATCTCGAGACGGTGTCACGGAACCGGAAGCCGTGCACGTAACGGACCTGCGCCGGGTATGCACGTCTCTCGAGTCCAACACTGTGAAGTACTGTGGCCCTGAGCCACTTGCGACACTCCCGACCGCGCTCGACGTTGAGGGAAGTGCGACCTTCGCCTCTCATCCTTCAACCGAAGCGCTACCTGCTCTTCCGGCTCTTCCTGACGACGACGCCGATGTATTCGCCTCGCTGCCTCCTGTCGACGGGGGCCGAAGAGCATGGACGTTCCTCGCTGCCGCCACCGTGATGGAGACCATCACGTGGGGCCTGACGTACAGCGTAGGCGTGCTGCACGCGTACTGGGTGAAGGAGATGTTCCCCAACAACGAAAGCACAGTCACACTCGCCGCGACGCTGATGAACGGAATGCTCCTCGTCGCGGGCGGACTGTTTGCACCAGTGCTCACCTTCTTCGCCTACCACACGACATATCTTCAGCTCCTCGGACTGGCCTGTGGAACCGCTGCCCTCGTTGGGTCAGCCTTTGTAACCGAGGCATGGCACCTCATCATCACGCTTGGATTCCTGTACCCCATGTCTATGCGTAAGTATCGCTCAGTGTAGCAATGCAGCTGACCCCAGTCATGTGGCTGCCCTGCGCGACGTTCCTGTACGAATGGTTCCACGCGCGCCGTGGGTTCGCGTTCGGCATTCTGTGTTCAGGCGCCGCCGTCGGCGGTGTCGTGTTCCCGCTCATGGGCGAAAGTCTTCTCAATCGCATCGGCTACAAGGGCACAATGTACTCGCTCGGCGGCCTGTTCGGCGGAGCCAACGCCGCGTCCATGATCTTCGTCACGCGCCGCATTCCCCTCCCCTCAAAACGATCGGGACGGCGTGCGCAGACCTTCTGGCCGAAGCTCGACTACGGCTTCCTGAAGCACCGCGCAGTGTACATGATGGGCCTGTGGGTGCTGGTGTCGGCGATGGCGGCCTTCCTGCCCTCGCTGTGGATGACGACCTTTGCCTCGGACGTCGGTGCGATGAACGGCACCTCACTCGTGGCGATCATGTACGCGTGCTCTGTCGTCGGCAACATCGCGACCGGATGGTTGGTCGACCGGTATCAGCCGCGCATCGTTGTGTTCACCGCATGCGTGTCGGCGGGCTTGGCGGCGTGGCTCCTATGGGGCTTCGGCACGAGCAACGCTTGCCTCGTCGCATTCTGCGTCATCTGGGGCCTCACAGCGCTCTGCTCCGCGTCGGCGTGGGGCCGCATGGTCGCCTACATCGGCAAGGACGACCACACCCTGCCCGGGCTCCTGACGAGTCTCATGATGATGCTCCGCGGCGTCGGCAGCTTTGTCTCTGGCCCTCTGTCCACGGCTCTCCTGAGCCAGGGCGCGCTCAAAGGCGCAGTCTCGGCTTACCGCTCTAACTATGGCGCCATGCTCATGTTCACGGGCGTCGTCACTTTTGTTGGCGGCGTGATCGGCGGTGGCTTCCCGACCGTCTGATCTTGCAACTGAAATCCGATGCCGAGCGGCGCAATTCTCGAAACCAAAACTGAAACCGGGTCGGCCAGAACACGGTTTCAGCATGGCCCCGTTGCCTTAATGTGAAACTTTCTGTACAATCTGTAGTCACGAGCGGTTTATGCACAATGCCCATACATGTGGATATCTTACTTTACAACACGGCCGAGGTGGCCTGCACCTCGTAGCAAATCGGCACCAGAAGCGCTAGAACGCGATAGGACTCGATCTTGGATGATTGGGGGGTGATAGTGTCCAGGGCGGCAGGGACGATGAAGCGCCAGGGTCCTATGAATCCTGCGCCCAGGGCAGGGGTCGATCAATGTTTGACGAAAAGACGAAAATGGGGTCTGGCTCAGATCTCCTCTTGGCCTATCTGTCGACCAATGGAGTATCGCACTGTTTGGAGGCACCCGGCAGCTTTTGCGCCTCGGCGTCAACAAACAGAGACAGTGACAGCCCGGGGCGCACTGACAGTGCCGGGCGGTGGTGACTGCGATGCAGCGGTCTAGGCGTAGATGGTTGCGCTGCGGTTCGCAGTCTTGCCTGCGGGGAGCGCGCCATACTTGATGTGTTTGTTCGACTTGGGACGGGGGGCGTCGGCGCCGGTGGAGCGAAGGATGTCGTTGAGGAGAGCATCTATCTGCGCCTTGAGCTCGACAACGTACGCCGGCTGTCCCTTGTGTTTACGCCGGTTGACAGCCGCGGCGACACGGAATGCATAGTCGTCGATCTGCCCATCGATGACCTCCATCGTCTGCTGGGTCGTGTGTGTCTCGTCCGGGTCCGATGGGAAAGGACGCCAGCGGTCCTTCGGCAGGCGGCCCGCGTCCTCACAGTCGGACAGGAAGGAGAGGTACTGCCCGAAGAGCTCCGCCGCCCAGAGTGCGCGTAGGCGAGCCTCAGCGAGCTTCTGCTTCAGAGCCGTCAGACGGACGGCAAGCTGCGGCTCGAGCTTGGGCAGCTCGTCCAGCATGCGGCCGGCGTTGTGCAGCTCCTGGAAGATTGAGACGAGGCGCTCGAAAGCAGCACACAGGTCCTCGCGGGTGCACACGCGGCGGACGTCGTCGTCCTCCTCGTAGTGGATGAAGGCGGTAAAGAAGAGCTTGTTACGCAGAAGCTTCTTGCCGCCGGAAACGTAGAGAATACGCTGGTCCAGGCCGACTGCCTGCGGTGCGGTCGCCGCCGGCGCGGGCTTGTGGACAAAGTCGTGTCGGTACGGGTAGGCCGGATAGTCGGACCACTTGCGGCCGTTGAACAATGGCATGGGTGGGGGTTAAACGAGTGACTAGGGTGAAGAGAGCAATGTTGAGAACACAAGAAGGAAGCTCTGCTGCAATCGACACAAGAAGCAGCCAGTCGTCCGCAATACCAAGAACTCCTGGAGATCCTGGGGTAGCTTGGCGCGCACGGATGGTGCCTCGTGTGCCTTCCTGAAGCATTATCTGCGGCCGACAGGGCCCGTACATTGGCCGGTGCAGCAGGGCGAGGAACGAATCAGAGTTTCATCCCAGGCTGTCGCTGTGAACCTTAGTGAACAGCCTCGCGACCGCGCACACTGCGGCGATGAGCCGTTGACAGCCGCCGCCGAAGTCGCCGCTGGGAGGTTGAGAATAGCTGCGACTCAGTTGACAGCCGAGGCTTTCGCGTATCATCTATCGCGCGCAGCATGAATTCCACGAGATAGCCCATCCTACAGGCCGGAAAAACAGGACACAATCTATTCAACACGCCACAGTTAGGGCGCGTCCAGGGACCTCCACCAGGGATCTGGTAAGAATCTGGCACCGCATCCATACCTCGCCTTCCTCGCCACCATCGATCGGCCAAAGCCTACATACGTCACGTCCGCAACTTTCGTCTTCCTCATCATCTCTCTCAGCCGACAAGATGCCGACTTCGACAGTCGACGGAGCAGGCTTGACCGGCACCTTTCCGCAACGTCTGCGTGCAGTTGGCCATTACGCCCGCCAGCAAACCCCGGACGAGCAGGACGCCCTCATCAAGAAGCTCGAAGCTGGCTCGCCGCAAGACCAGTACCTTGCTGGCTTAGCTGCAGTTGCGACGCAGAATAAGGCCTGGATCGCGAAGCATGTCACGGATAAAACCCCTGGTCTACAGCATCTGGCCCTCCGATACTCTCATCTCGTCGCAGGCAGCGTGATCGAGGACGCTCTTGCCGGAGATCCCAGTGACTTCACGAGGAAGGCACTCGTTCGTCATGGTCTAAGCGGACGCCCCCAACTTGCTGACAAGCTCTTCCCTATTCTTAGGAATGCCTGGGGTGATCACTTTGCTATCCGAGTCCTCGCGCATTGCTCCCCGAGTGTAATTGAGCGACACTTGCCCCAGCTTCTGCCCTCCGCATCTGTGACTTCGCTCTGGACCTTGCTCGCAAACAAGCACGCCGGTATTCTCATGGCCGTGCTAAAGAACAGCCTCGATGATGCAGCCGAGTTTGGTATCATGCCTTCGACTTGGTGGGGCGAGTTTGGAGTTGCGGTGACCGCGCTTCTCAAGGTCGATGCTACTTTTGCGCCCAGCGTGTTGGACATGGTGGACAAGCACAAGCTCGCTGCCTTCCCCCACGTTCTCAACTCTCAGCTGAACACCTTTGCTCGCCAAGATCCATCTCGCATGCTGGAGTATCTTTCCAGGCCCAACTGGCTGTCGGGCCGCAGTCTCTCTCGCCGTGCTATGCGCCGCATCGCCCGCCCCGCTACTGGCACTCCAGCTCTGATTAAGTATGCCGAGACGTTCATCGACGGGGCCTGGGGCTGTCACGCTCTGCTTCAAGCACTCCGACCGCGTGACCGCCTGCCCATCTATGAGGCTGTGAAGATTGACGGCACAGCGTTCTTGGACTATCTACAACGTCAGGACCAGATCCGTCTCGCAACGAGCATGGTCGAGAAGAACAAGCGCTTGCCCGTGAGCCGGTCGAATGAGCTCTCCGCTGTTTCCTATTTGGAGCCTTCCGACGCTGCCCCGGCGCTCGAGAAGTTTATGATGGTCTCAGACATGGAAATTAGAAGGCATGCGATTCAGTGCTACGTTAAAAACGCTGCTCGCGCCCGTTCGCCGGACGTCTGGGATGCTGCACTGGGAAAGCTCTCTACACGCCTTCGCAACCAGCCTCAACCCGTCCGCGAGCCTGTTATCGACACAATCTGCGATGTGTCTCCTCTGACATGGACCACTACCTCTCTACCGTTCATCCGCAAGATTGCCGAGGACGCTCTCGATGCTCCCGACATGAGCTCAGTGGTATCGACTCTCATCAGCTATGCGTTGAACACAATGCGCGAGCGGCCAGAGTTCGAAGCCTGGTGTCTGGAGCTGCTTCAGGCGATCAACAAGGTGGACCCTGTCTATCTGTCTGAGAAGGTGCGCCACGGGCAGGTCCTCAAAGTGGTTCAGGCGCTTGAGCCGGACCTGCAGGCAGGCTTGAAGAAGAAGAACTTCAATCCAATCTACACAGTGGCGAACTGGACTGGCAAGCGCTTGAAGGATATTCCAGAGCTGCAACACATGCTACAGGACATCACCGTCCATGTTGGAGCCGTGAGCTACAACGTCATGGAAGCCCTGCAATTGCTAGTCGATGTCGACAAGTCCTACGCCGTCAAGGCTGTCCAGGACGAGCGCTCTACGCTGGAGTTCGAAAGCGTTGCCAACGTCATTGCGCGATACTACCCCGAACTGTTGGACCTTGGAAACCCCCCCAAGGGTCGTTGGCTGGAGGACACCACGGACTGGACGTTCCCATGCGACGCATACCTTAGCAAGTTCTGGCCGGAAGATCAAATCGCGATCTTTTTGGAGCAGCTCAAGCGCGATGTCGAGACCGGCGACACGTGGAACCGTGCGATGCGTCTTCGTAAGCTGAAGCATGTTCCCGGTGGTATCTCCACTGCGAAGGAGTATACGCAGGACAAGGACACGCGGATCGCGGAAGCGGCGCTTAGTGTGCTCGCCAGTGACCCGAAGGAGCTGCCTACGCTCCTCAGCTACGCGTCTACCGACTCGGCCCGCGTCGCAATGTACTGCGCTGGCCGTGCAGCGAAGCATGTGCCAACAACTGAATTGCAGCCGATGTTGATTGGTGTCCTGAAGGGTGAAAAGACTAAAATTACGAGCAAGAAGGAAGTCCTGCGGCTGATCGCTCGCCTGCTGCCCGTGGAAGTCGCTTCCGGGATCCTGTCGGAGACGGCCAGTGCTCCGAATGCACACCGCGACGTCATCACTGCGACCGCGATTGCCGCCTTGGACTTCCTGCAGAGCAGCCCCGCCGGCAGGGTGATCGTCGAGGAAACGGCCGCGAAGAACAAGGAGGCGTCCATGGCCATCGCTAAGCGCTCTCCTCTGCTTGTCAACGACCGTGCGCGGTACGCCAAGCTGGTCACCTCTCTTGCAAAAGCTGAGGATGACGATGTTGCCTCAGCCGTGCTCGGCAACCTGGGAAACTGGGCCTCCTTCGATCCGTTCGCATGGACCATTCTGAAGGACGCGATCACCAACTTGGACAGGCGCAAGGTGTGGAAATCGGCGGTGCAGGCGCTCACTGGGCGTGCCAGTGACCCGAAGGGACAGGAGACACTGTGTGAGACGATCGCTGAGCTGCTTGCTATGAAGGAGAAACCGGAGGACAACGCGGGAGAAGACTCGGATTTGCCTGTATTCCGCCGCGTTCAGGATATTGCGCAGCGCCTGTGGTCGCTGACTCGCGCACTGCCCTCGAAATACGGCCAGGCAACGCGTGCCGTCCTCAAGGTCATCGATAACAGCGGCAGCAGGGATTATGAGGAGGAGTACTGCGACCTCCTGCTGTCGCTGTGGAAGCTCGATCACCGTGTGCTCGACATAGCGATCGCGCGCCTTGACGGCCGCCCTATCCTTGCCCAACGCTTTGCGGAGACGATGCGCAACTGGCTGCAGCCTAGCGAGGCACTGCCGGTGGCAACCAAGCTGGCGAGCGGCGGGTACACGGGCGCGCTCTTTGCAGTTGCGCTGGCCGGTAGAATGGGACCTAAGTGTCGCTGGGAGAAGGAGTGGAAGGACGTCGTGAAGACCTTGCGTGGGCACGACAGTCCCGAGATTCGTGACCTCGCACGCCACATCAAGGCAGTGCAGCAAGACACCATGTAAGTGGTGCAAATGATACCATGTAGACTATCAATGTTGTACATAGATGTATGTGATTAGAGTTTTGACTGGCTAGCGCAGCACGCCGTCTTGCGGCAGTAACATGATGACTCGATCGGGACGTCGGCAACAGCAAGCGCGAGCGTGAGCTCGGGCTTGAGCATGTCCGCCTCGGCTTGTCGTCCAAGCCTGGTGAGGCACTCATGGTATCCGTGGAGCGCCCAGACATTGTTCGGATGCCTGGTAGCCCGAGGCAGAGTCGTGAGGAAACCAAGGTCCTCGGCATATGCACGCGCGGCCTCCTCGACATTGCCCTGCTCGAGCTGAAGCGCAGCATAAGCGTGTCGCGGCGGCTGCATGAATCCCCACGGCTCAGCGTACACGAGGTTGTCGCAGCGGTTGATACTGAGCCTCAAGAGATCGAACGCCTCGTCGTACTTCTTGGCGCGGTACGCCATCTCGCCCGCAAGCATGGCGTCGGCGACGTCGAAGATGTCGCTCCACGTATTCGGGATGGCCTGGCGGGTGGGCTTGACGCGAGTGCGGGCGTCACGGAACTCTTGCTGCTCCCTCTGCGCCTCCTCGGGACGGTCGGTAAGGGCGAACGCGAGTGCGCGTCCGTAGTGGAGGAACGCGGTCGTGACGCAGTAAAACCCCCGGTCCTCGGGGAAGGGGAGGGCGAGGATGTCCTCCCACTTTCCGAAACGCACCAACACATGCACGCGGAAGGTGCAGAAACCCTCCATCCAGTCGATCATGGGCGGGGACTCGATCCGGAGGAAGTCGTCCGTGAGCCACGCCTCCATCCGGTCCAGTGTTTTCATCGCCACGCCGAACTGCCCGTTGAACATGGCTGCGTAGATTGGGAACGTGTAGTCGTGCAGGATGTAGAACATGTAGAAGCTGTCTGCGCCCGCGTGAGCCATGTACTTTTCGTCGGCGGCGATGGCCTCGAAGTTGCTGCTGATCATCGCGCGGTAGTCGCCCACGACGGCGTAGATGTGCCCCGACATGTGCGTCAGGTGGCCGCTGTCGGGAACGAGCCCGCGGAGCGCGTCAGCGGGCACGAGGGCGAGTTCGGGCGTTGGCGACAGCTCCATGAGATGAATGTAGAAGTGCAGGATACCCGGATGACGCATCGCCTCGGGACGCTTGAGCGCGGCGTCGAGCGCCTCCTTCACGCGCAGAGTCTGGGACACCTCGCGGGGCTCGCCTGCATGTCAGTTGGACCGGATGGCAGACGCAACTCACCGGTCTGAAGGTCCCACAGGTCCCACGCAGCCAAACCCATGAGACTGTCAGCGAACACAGTCGTGACGTCCAGGTCGGCCTTATGTCCCTCGTAGACCTCGCCCATGCGGTCCGCGAACGCTTGGTTCCACCTCGCAAACTCCTTCTCGCCGCCCTCCTCCGCGCGGCTGGAGGGGAAGCGGGCCGCAATAGCCTCGCACAGCTCCTTCTCTAGCGGTTCCTCTGCAAGTTCAACAGCGCGCTTCGAGGCAGCATGGCACAGAGCCAGCGTGGCCCTCAGCTCGGCCTTGTCGAACAGCTCCCAGGGCTTATTGTAGTTCGGTCCCGAGGCGTATGCGACACCCCAGTACGCCATGGCAAAGTTCGGGTCATGGTGAAGTGCGTACCGGTAGCACCGCACCGCTTCTTCGTGGTGGAACCCATAGGTCCAGTTCAGCGCGCGCTGGAACCAGCGCTCCGCCTCCGGCGAGCTGGTCTGGACCTTCCATTCGTACTTCCCGAGCTCGTAGGGATACTCCGCGGGAGGAGGGAGAGAGAGGTCAGTCGGCACGGTCGGCGCGTCGGTCTTCGACGCCGTCATGTTGAACGTGAGTTAGTGGGAGAAATGAGAAGAGTGACAGCGAGGCAAGGCAAGAAGGTTCGCTGGGAGGTTCGGAATCCAAACGGCTGGAGATGGTGCCCCGGAACGTCTGCGGCGCACGTGGGAGAGCTCGGAGCTGCCCGACGCCCACCGCGTCTTCTGCCGAGAATGTTGCGCCACCGATCGTGCTTTGCGCAGGCACCGGGGAGCTTGCACCATGCGCAGCAGCTATGCTCCGGAAGGTCACATGCAGGTGTGTGGTATAGACGCTGAGATGGCTCCTCAACCTTTAGTGAAGGGTCAGCTTTGCTGGAATGGAGATGAGTGCACGTGCTGCCGCGTATCTCAGGGCTCGATCTCCGAATCTGTTATCAGTGCCTTGCTCTGTAGACTTGCTAGCTCTGCAGAAGCTGGAGGGCAGTGAGCATTATGCGATCTGCGCTTGCACGTTAGCGCTTGAGCCACGGGCGCATAGATCTTATCTTGAGGCTGAGGCAGGCCACAGAAGTCGATGGCAGAGTGGTGGCGATCGTGGGAAATCTTGGATTTCGACCAGGCGCCCTCCGACGTCGAGACTCCCAGAACGAAACCAATGCACATAAGGAACAACGGCTCTCCGTGGGAGAGCTCGAATCTGGAGGACAACTCCTTCTGCCTCGAGCCAAAATCGAGTCAAAGTTCCCTGTGGGTGGCTAAGCGTTGATCCTTGCGGAACTTGTGCTCTTGCGCGGCATCTCCGATCGTCGAACGATTAATATCCCTATCTTACCAATCTGGTACCCTGCACCTTGCTCTTTGAAACTTGAAGGAAGCTCGAAGAGAGAGAGAGAGAGAGAGAGCACTAATCTTCTCGCACTTCCATGGCTATGCATAACTCTGCTTGAGCATTGCATGTTGCATGAAGGCGCAGTGCTGTGACCTCGAATGACAAGGTCTGAGTGTAGGAACCCACAGACTGAGGCATAGGTGGAGGTCGACCGTGGGAAACCATGAAACTGCAAGAGGCGTCCTCCGACCTCGATAGTACCCACAAAAGTCTCCATGTATTCCGACAGCGCCTGGAACGAAACCGATACACATTTTGCACTTATCCACCCACCACTGAACCCATGCGGCCCAGTGCGACTGACATGCATCCTCAAGCGTCCAGAGTACCAGAACCCGTTCCCCACTCTCAACTAGCATGCATCAGTCGCCGTCTGCGTGCGCCGCACGTGCAGACCACGACACCCTCAGGGTCAAGCTGTCCGAATTGTTATCAGAATTGGACATGCCGCAGAACCTTCCGAATGTCACCCAGAACGCCCAGAGGCCGGACCCGGTCCGCGGAGCAGAGTGGCGCGCAATGCACGAGTGGCGGCTCGGCGACTGCCGACGCGTGTGCTATCCGCTGGCTCGGCGTCTGCTTGCACATGTGACGTTCGGCGTCTGGGTTCGGTGACTGCCTCTCGGCGTCTGGGACTGCGCGCAGGCAGGGTGTGTTGTCACTCTCACTCTAGGTCTAGGTTCGGCGTCTGCTTGTAGTATGTTCTTGGCACATGCATGTCCATACATGCGTAAGTGCGGATACGATGCTGAGGTTGAATGGCAGTAGAACGAGGGGCAGGCCGGGGACTGACGAGGAGCGGCGACTGACTGAAGCACAACGCTATCTCAGCCCGGTCGGTGCGAACTCGCATCGTCGCTCCATTGGCCGAGTCGGCCAGTATTCCGATGACACATGTAGCCGCTGTCGATCAGGTGTTGCTCCAGGTTCTTGGTGGAACGGCGAGCCTTCGCAGGCAGGCCGTACTACTCTGCAACAACAGACCTCCACTGATTTATGCCTCGCGATCAAGTTACCGAGCCCTTTCTTGGCCTATGCCGATCCGCCTCGGAGCATTGAAACGTGCTTGCCGGCGGGTAACGCTACATGCATGAGGATCATGTGGACGATGTCGCGGCGTTTGACTGTAGTATGTTACATGATTGCATATGCGCAGGGCCTACGGCGACTGACTGGGTGAGCAGTACAGGATGAAATTACAGGCGAGAATGAAATGAAAATGGCTATGTGGAGGTGTATTACGTAAATGCTAGTTTTGGTGGTGGAGGTGGAGGCGAATGTGGCGGACGTTGGATTTTGATGAATTTCCACTTCCCAACGACGTCTTCTACTCAATTTCGACGCCGTTTCTCAAGGGTGACGCTGGAAATAGAGCGCGAAGTAGAGACACACTCTGTATATGCAAATGATCGCCACAAGGATTCCCGCGTAGCCGCCCACCGAAATTCCGCCAAACTCAAGGTAGTCGATAACGTCCTGGCCAGACACGCGGCACTGGCCGTAGAGCTCGAGGGAGGTGGCACTGGCGGGGTAAACACAGTTGCAGTCTCCGCTGGGGATGAAGGCCGAGTTGCACTTGAAAACCTCGCCGACCAGGTCATTCTTGACGAGGATGTCGAACGCGAACGTCTGGAAGTCCATGAAGTGGAAGCTGTAGTACCAGAAGCGAGGCAGCGAACGGGCCTTGATGAAGTATCCCTGGACGCACATCCAGAAACCGTTCATGAAAGCAGTAAGGGCGAGAGCGGCGATGAAGATGGGCACAAGGGCGGCGATGACCTGCGCCTGAGCCTCAGCGCAGAGGACGGCCAGGTAGAGGAAGGCGACGAAACGCCAGAACGCGTTGGCTCCGGGGTGCAGTCCAATGGCCCAGTAGATGATGACCGAGAAGGCAAATGCACAGATGAACATGAACGGGAGCATGACAACGGTGTTGGAGAGGACGAAGGGGAGGGGGCCGTAGAGACCATTCTTGCGCTCGCGGAGGAAGACGGAACGCTCCTCGAGGAAGGACGGGATACCGGCGACGGACATGAAACCGAGGAAAGCGACGGAGAAGAAGTGGACGGAGAGGCGATCGTTGATGATCGAGTCCGAGTCACCGAGGCGAATCCAGATGGTAGCGAGGAGAAGGGCCATGCCAAGGTACATGCCGAAACGAACACCGTAGGCGAGGAGGTTGCGGGAGTAGTTGAGGAGCGTGCGCTCGGAGAGGATGAGGGTGGCGTTGATGTTGGCGCTCCACGGGCGTTTCCTCAGGGCAACAGGCGCGCCGAAGCTCTTCGGCTCCGGGAGAGGCTCCTCGACGTGGGCGGCGAGCAGGCGCTCCAGCGCCGTCGCTTTGTCCTCGTGCATAAAGTCGGTGCCGACGAGGTCGAGCAGATGATTGGCGGGGTTCATGTACTCGGGGATGGGGAAGCCGATGGCGTTGCAGCGGTCGTTCGCCTGCTGGAGCGTGCCGAGGAAGGCGGTGCGGCCCTGAGCGAGAATCATCATCTTGTCGAAGAGCGACAGAGCCTCGATCGAGGGCGCGTGGATCGTGGCGATGACAATGATTCCCTCGGCCTCGGCGATACGCTTAATCGAGGCCATGACCTCACGGGCCGAGGTCGAGTCGAGACCCGAAGTCGGCTCGTCGAGGAAGAGGACGCGGGGGAAGGTGACAAGGCCGGTTCCGACGGTGACTCGTCGTCGCTGGCCACCAGAGATACCGCGCTGAATGGGGGTGCCGATCTTGAGGTCGGCGCAGGACTGGAGACCGAGATCAGTGATGATCTGGTCGACACGGGTTCGGATCTCGCCCTTCGTCATTCCGCTCTGAGTCAGGCGGGCGGCGTAGGTGATCGTCTCGCGCACAGTCAGGACACCGAGGTGCTGGTCGTCCTGCTCGACGTAAGACGAGACCTGGGCCATAGTCATGGCCGACAGAGGCTGGTTGTTCAGCGTGATGGAGCCGCCGTCCATGTGCTTCTTGCGGAAGGACATGACATCGAGCAGCGTCGACTTTCCGGCACCGGAGGGACCGAGGATGGCGAGCATCTGCACGTTAGCCGACAGTGCCAAGATGAAGTGGGGATCGGGGTACTCACCTGACCCTGCTTGACGGTGACAGAGACGTTGTCAACAAGTCGCTTCGTTCCGTGCTTGTTCTTGACTTCGTAGGAGAGGTTGGAGAAAGTGATGGAGGATCCGCCCTCAGTGAGGGACGGGGAGGGCATGCCGCTGAGCTGGACAAACTGTCCAGATTCTTCGTTGCTCATGGTGGTGGGGAGGTGAGTGTGTGGTGATGGGTGATGGGGGCGGCAAGAAGCAAGCCGAGCATGTTCTTTATAGGTCTTGGGTCGGGCAAAAGGATGCGAGGGTGTGGGCAGGCGCAAACAGGCGCAGATTCTGCGGCGAGAGAGTGCAAGGGAGGGAGAATCGGTATGTGAGTACGGTGTCTGAAGATCACGGTGTCTGACCGCCGGTCCAGGGACGGGGTTTGCTGGGTTTGCACGAGATCGGATCGTCTGGATCTCCCAGTGCTATCTTTTCCATGTTCGGCTCGCTCTGGCCCAGGCGCGTGCGCTGGGCGGTGGGGGGCGCCGGCGGGCAGCGGTGTCTGAACCCAAACCAGCACGGCACGGTGGGAGGGGATACCGTTACCTGCTGGGAAGGATAGAGTTGGAGTGCAGTCGAAACAAAGCTTTGCACGCAGGGTCCACAGGGTCCTCACCTTCCAGGCACGGCTCGTTGTTCTCATCCTTGGTCCGGGGTGCTTGCAGTCAGTGACGACGCTGCCACGTGGTCCGACGACGGCGTCTGGATTAGGCGCCATTAGCTCAGCCTAATTCACCGATTATCTTGGCCATGTCGGCCTTTGAGATCCTATAGCGAGCCGGCGTCTGCTGCACCAAGGGGCCCATTCCGAACACAGCAGCGCCGCATTCCGAACCACCTGCGACCTGCACTGCGCACTAGACAGCACTCGCCGCTACTCCGACTGTCAGCTCTACGCTTATCAATATTCTTAGTCAGACAAACATACTCCGCTCCGAGATTCAGACACCATAGACCGCCGACCCACGACGAGCGCGGACTAGAATCATCCGCTATAGTCTGTGCAAGTGTGCAAACCCGCCGTGGGCACAGCCTGTCAGGCTCTGTGCCGGTGGTGCGGTGCTGGGGGGGCAGAGGGAGCGTGCGGTCAGGACCCCCAGTCCTGCCTGTCCTGGTGCCTCTCGTAGTACCTCGTACCTGTGCCTCGTCTCCCGCGACCGGGCCCTCTCTGGCAAGTGAGACGATGCACCAAGAAAAGCAATCCTGCCTGGCCCATGCATACGCCTACAGTGGGGTGTGGTTGAGCCAGGCGGCCAGCATCGGAGGAGGTGGCCGCGGGCACCTGTCCCTCCTCTCGAGAGCGTTTCGCCGCACTGTACACCCCTCTTCTGCAGTGCTCGTCCGCTTTTTCACTTCAAGCTTCTCGATATTTCGTTCTCGGGGCATTGGCAAGCTCTGGCCCGGACCTGGCGGACCTGCCGGGGCGTAGCGGCCCGGGACGCCGTGCGCAGGCGGCACTCTGGAAGCGGTGACAGCTGGGCACGACCGCAAAACCTTGATTTCCTGTGCATCCGCATTCATGCATGCGCAGCGTGCATCGCTGTTACCAGACGAACATTTCGGGTCGATCCCGCCGTCGCATCTAGTCGTATCCGTCGAACGCGACAGGCGCGACCGGCGTCTGCAGTGCGGGCATGCGGGCGCGCACCGCCGCCATGGGGCAGCCGCTAGACGACGGAGGCACCGAAGCTTGCAGAGTTCGAAGATCTTGGAAGCCGTTGACGGGTTCCCGAACACTGCATTTGGACGTGTCGGCGCGGACCTCGACACCTGCATACATTTGTCACTGGACTTGTGACTGGCTGAAGTCGGCGTTTGGGTCACGGCATACTGACCATGCCCGCTACCCCTGCTGTCAGCGGTGCTGCCAAGGTAAGCCTCCCTGCAGGTCATATCGGTTGTCAGTCGCTTGCACCGTGCATGTATCCTGGGCGCGTGAGAGCCTCCCTCCAGCGAAAGTCCGTACGGTATTTGGCAGACACAACTGACTGCCCAAAGGCATGCACGACGCTGTAATATTATGTGACTATTCAGGTTGGTTCTATGGTGGGCTTGTGAATTGCTGCAGTGTGCAGCCAACAGCGGCGCGGCGCGGGGGCGCGGAGGCCCCGGACCGAAACGAAAATAAACGATGTACGAAACCTACGGCACACCCTTACTGAGCCGTACGAGCCGTGGATATCGAGACACCCGCCGAGCCTGCTGTCCTTCTCAAGTGGGCCAAGTCACAGCACCAGGGTTTCGAAAGTTGCGTTACAAGGTGCCGTACTTTGTCTTCGTACGTCGCCCGCCCACTGCACGCACCGCCCAGACCACATAAGCCCCGCAAGGACCTCCAACCTCCGAGCCACGCTCTGTCAAAGTCAGGTATGCGACCGAGCGCTGCACGCACGAAGGACACTAAGGGCACGCGCCCACTCCGGCATGGTTAAGGTTGTTCACTTGGAGGGCCTAATGAGCAATTCAAGTTATGCTTGCGCCTGAGTCTTGCTGGGGTCTGACTCTGTTCACTGGGTCAGGCGCGTGTCGGCGCACTCCTGTTTCTGCAATGTCGGTGCAATGTATCGGACGTCGCACGACGGAATGTACACCCACACTTGCACTTAGGGCTCACTCGGGGTCGTTGTCGCTAATCTGTAAGTCCGACAGCCTACTGCGCGCCCATTGTGCGCATGTCTGTTGTCTCAGGAGCGAGTCAGTCAGGAGCAGGTCAGGCGATTACGATTACGAGAGTACGAGAACGTGGACGATAGGGGCGAGTGTACAGTGCTTTGCATGGGTACACGCTCTACTTTGGATTTAGTGGGCTGGTTGGGATCTGTGAAGGCGGGGGAGCGCATGGGGCGTTCCATCTAGTCTATGATAACGAGCGGCGAGCCTAGCTAGGCATCACGATCTACATGTGTCTGCTATAACGGGATATAGTCCATAGTATAATATAGTTGGTTGAAGCGGAAACTGAACAGCTGGTTGTGGTTGGGGTGGTGCTTGTTCACTTGCAAAGGGTTGAGCAGCGGCGTGCGGTCACATCCTGCGGTAGTCTAATGGTGAAGAAGGGTTGGGGGCAGGGGCGCACGCCGCGCTGGGCGGGTCGAATCAAGTGTCCTAGGACAGCGTTTAGGCGAGGAAGGGGAGGACGACGAGGACGACAGCGGCCCACGAGTAAGTCATGGGGAACGCGGCGCTCGCGGGCTTCTCGGACGGCTTGGCGTCCTTGTCAGCCTTGTCGGCGGTGGAGGCGCCGGTCGACTTGGCGTCCGAGGCGGGCTTGGAAGCCGAGCCAGAGGCGGTCGAGTTGGAGCCGGTCGTGGTGGTCGAGGAGGCGGCGTTGGCGTAGGCGGCCTTGATGACATCGGCACCCTTCTCGGCAACACCGTAGGTGGGACCCATGGTGTGGGCCGAGACCTGGATGGGGACGACGGACGAGTCAATGACACGGACGTTCTTGGTGCCGTAGACGAGCAGGTTGGTGTCAACGACACCACCCTTGTCCTGCGGAAGCATGGGGCAGGTACCGATGGGTTGGTACTCGGAACCGCAGTTCTGGCGCATCCAGGCGCCGAGGTCGGCGTTCTCGAGACCAGGCGAGAGCTCGTCGGTCAGGACGTCACCGAAGGGAGCGGTGTTGGCCATCTTGCGTACAAAGTCGATACCGGCCTGGAGGAGCTTGACATCAGCGTCGACACCGAGGTAGTTCGGGTTGATCTTGGGCATGTCGAAGGGGTTGGCGGACGAGACAAAGACGGAACCACGCGACCACGGGTGCTGAACGGCAGCCTCGAACTTGATCGACGAAGTCTGCGAGCCCCAAAGGTTCATGATGCACTCGAGCTGGGTGTTGTCCTGGAGCCAGCCCTGCATGATCTCGTACTGGGCCTTGTAGCCGGCCTTGACGTTCTCGGGGAGCTCGCCGTGGGCGTTGATGACATCGTCAACATTGACCTCGACAGTGGCGCCGGCGTCGGAGAGCTTCAGGTACGAAGTGGCCTCGTTGATGTAGGTGAGCTTTCCGCCCTTGGTCTCCTGCCAGATGGCAATCTCAGCCTCCTGAGCCTCGCGGTTCATGCAGAGGGGGTTCCAGGTCTCAGTGCCCTCGACAGAGTTGTACTCGACAAGAACCATGACGTGGTCCTGGAAGTTGTAACCGACGGGGAGGTCGAGCTTGGTGGTGATGCCAAGGGGCTCAAGGACAGACTTGGGGCCGATACCAGAGAGCTGGAGGACCTTGGGGGAGCCGACGGCACCGGCAGTGACAATAACCTCCTTCTTGGCCTTGACCTGGAAGGGGGTCTCGTTCATAGCCGAGGCAAACTCGACACCGGTGGCGACGAGCTGGTCCTTCGAAGCCTCATCGAAGACGAGCTTGGTAACGTGCTGACCAGTGAGGAGAACGAGGTTCTGCTTGTCCTGGGCAACGTACTTGTTGCGAGGGCACGAGCGGGTACCGGCTTCAGAGTCCAGGGTCGAGGGGATAATGGCAGCACCGTGGTTGTCACCGCCGGCGATGTCGATCGACTTGACGCCAAGAGCCTCAAAGGTGGGGATCCAGTGAGAAGTAACACCGTAGATGTAGTCAGACCAGCCGACCTTGAGGGGACCCTCGTGGCCGTGAGCGGCATCGTCGTTGACAATGTGGAACTGCTCCTGGTTCTCAGCCTTGGGCGGGATAATGTTCTCGGCCTTCTTGATGTAGTTGTTCAGGTCGTCCCAGTTCCAGCTGTCGCCACCGTTCAGCGAGGCCCAAGCGTTGAAGTCGCGAGCCTCCGGACGGGTCCAGAACATGCCGTTGACGGCGGCACCTCCGCCGAGACCACGACCGAGGGGGAAGTTCTTCTGGGCGCCCTCGCCCTCAAGACCGCACTGGGCGGTCGTCGTGTAGTTCCAACCGTAGTCGGAGCCGTACGCGATACCGCGCATGTACGAGAAGCCTGTCGTTGTCAGCATTCATCACTGTTTGAAGGGAAAGGGGCACGTGCGGACCTGCGCGGACCCCGGGCCTTCACGGTCCGAGCGAAAAGTTGGAGAACGTGGGGACAATCATCGTGACAATCACACACGGTCCGGCGCCCGGGGCCACAAGTGGCACTGTGTCACACATGGCTGCGGATCCACTAAGGCTGAAATGTCCGAAACTTACCGGGCACATCGTGCTGAAGCTGGACGTCCGTTCCGTCCTTACCGGCCTCAACGACGAGAACCGTGGTGTTGTCCCACTCCGCGAGACGGGCGGCGACAACGAGACCAGCGAGACCACCACCGACGATAACAAAATCGAATTCCTTGTCCTTAACGTCGGCTACATTGGCAGTAGCCGCGCGTTCGAAAATGCTTCCTGCCGGGTAGGCGAGGGCGGCAGGAGCGACTGCTGAAAGAACAGTGAGCACGGATGTGAGCGCGCTTCTCATGTGTGATAGATGTAAGTGGGGGAAAGTTGAGGGATGAGAAAAGTGATTCTTCTTGGACAGAGTGCCAGAGAGCAGAGTATATATCTCCCAGCTTGAAGGAAGAGGACAATGCGCTTCGAGTGTGGAGAACAGGGTCGGACCGGGGCTCGTGTGCGCCTAGGCATCACATTGCTGTGCTAGATCTTGATTCTGAGCCCCGAGAGCGGGTAGGAGCGGCAGTTGCTGCGGCACGGATCACAGTTGGTCCAGTCTGGTCGTCGCAGCAAGTATGGGCGGGTGACGATGCGGGAGGGTCGGGGGCCAGATTGTGACATCGGATAGGGTTGAGCACATCGTTGAAGGTCGCAAGTGTCCATGCGCACCAGGTACGGGTGTTCATGGAATCATAGCGGCAAGGCGGTGTTTATGGCTGGCGTGGCTTGCCGACCGGCCCTCAAGTGAGGAACTGGCCGTCAGTTTGTCGGGTGCTGGGCGCAAGGCTGGAAAGGGGTGGCCATGGGGGGTGGCTTGCGTCGCGCGTCGCAAGTTGCGGCGCATAGGAGGCCACCAGGAGGCCGGAGTGATAAGACACCGCTCAAACATGCAACCAAGCCGCAGAGGGTATAGGGAGTGGGGCTAACAACGATCCAGGTGTTGGCTGCGAGGACTCGGCCATGAAGCCTCGTGACGAACGAACTTATCGAATCAGAACTACAACGCCACAGGGTGCGCACTTCTGGGCGTCGCGCTGACCTGGGGCCGTTTCACGTCGAGACCACCCACTTGACCGAATTGGCCGAGCTTTACTGTTTTGAAGGCTTTCCTAAGGCCCGCCCGCCATACCATCAGCCTTAGTAAAGCATAGCTCGTTGTCGGATTGCCTATGCGGTTCGCCCCATCCTCTCAACAAACCATCCGCCCCGGACATGAGCTTGGACCCCAACAAGCGTCAGTTGACCCCGTCCTCGCCATAACAAATTCGATCGAGCGCATTGGATGAGGTGAAAAGGACGGCAATGCAATGATGCTGCGTACACGATCCCCTGTGAAGAGGCGTACGCCGATCACACTCCCCTCACAGTGCGAACAGCTCATTGTCTTCGCATCAATCGACGCTCCGTCACCCCGCGCCCCTCGGAGCCTCTCGGGGGTCAATGTGTGTTGAGGCGACACAGTTCGGGTACAGAGGAAAGGCAGGTGCCAAATCCTGCATGCATTGGGTAGCCCCCCGCCCCCGCATCGGTGATCTGCTGCAAGCAGTGCCTGGGGAGAAGGCAGTTACTGAGGACTTGGAGGCGCCTGACGAGAAACTCTTCGGGTTGCGCCTGAAGGGATGAACACCTGTTTGCTCGAACTCATCATGTTCGCGGCTCTTCAGGGATGCTCCAAGCTGATCTCCGATCGGCTGAGATCCCGAAGCGGGAGCTGCCTCTGTTGCAACAGTCCATAGAAATGAGGAGTACGAGAGATTACTTCTGAGCGATTAAAGCAAGCGAGAGCCATCTGTGGGGAACCTAATAGCCTTGAGAGCATTCTCCACGTTAGCTGAGACAGGGCTGTTGAAACTCACCACCAGGAGGCGCAGCAGCGGCCAGTACGGCAGCCACCCCAGTAGCTGTGGCTGCAGGTGTGACAGATGTTGCAAGCCCTGCCGCGCCACCTGCTCCAGCTGTTCCAGTAGAGCCAGCCGAGCAAGAACCGCTTGTCCTTGTCACCATTCTTGGGGACGTCGGCAACGACGTCGGGGTCGTTGTAGAAGACGGTGGCGTCACCGATATCCTGAGCCTTGCCGTCCCAGGTGTAGAACGTGAGCTTCTTGACCTGCTTGGGCTCCTCGGCGCGAATCTCAAGCCCATCCCTCTCCACGCTGGGAGCAGCTGCGGCGACAGCAGCGAGGGCGGTAAGAGCAACGAGGCTGAACTTCATGGTGTGTGGGTCGTGGGATAGTTGGAGGTGGTGATGGAGGATGAGATGAGATAACTTGGCCTCAAGAGGGCCTGTTTTATACCTTACAGGGGCCTCCGACGCCTCACTTGCTGTATCACAGGGAAGAGCGCATGAGCTGAGACCTAGAACAACATCATAGCAGATCGTCCCAGCAACTCGAAGCAACGTTCGTAGTGGCAAAACGGCTTCATTCCAAGAACGCGGGAAGGTTCGTCTCCAAGCGAGGATCTGGATGTGGTTGCTCGGCGCTGCTGCCCGCTGCCGTCCTTGTCCTCATTCTTCGCACTCACAAGCTGCCGAGCTGAAGCACATCAATGATATCATCGGTAACACGTTCACGACGGCGACACCCGCTCAGCGATTCTGCCTCGCCACAGGCTGGCGCGATTGATTTCAACGAGTGGGGATCGGGAGTCCGCTTTCGAGATCATGGAGTAGTATGTGCTTCCCAGGCTCCTCTTTCTCAGTATCTGACGAGAATTAAAATGGGTCTTGCTGCCCGTTAACGGCAAGGACAGGTGGTCAGGGCAACAGTCTTGATCTTGATGGCCCTGGTCCTAGAGCTGCCTCCTCGTGTGTGAGCGGAGTGACTCTACAACCGCGGGCCCAACAGCTTTTGAAGCCGCAACAGTGGGTGTATCGGTCTTGGATCTCTCATGAGGGAGACCAAAGCTGCACATGATGCAGGCGCTAGCGCCCAGGCTCGGGAACGCAGTCGGAAGAAGGAAGCCACTCGCGGTCGTCGGCCAAGAACCCGACTGGGCTGCACTGCTGAGGCATCAAGGCCGTGATTCAATCACTCAGAGGCTCTGTTGGAAACGGGGAGGGGACAGAAGAGCATGCTCCTCTTGGGCTGAGACCCAGAGGAGGACATAGCTATGACGCTCTGCCAGAGCAACCGCAATAGCTCCTGACACTCGTATTGTTAGGACTCCGAATGGCTCTGGGTTCCTGGGTACCCAGGCAGCTGCAGCTGGGGCCAGCGCAGTACCACCGAGCAGTCTACAATGGTACATTGCGGCTGTACCAGCCCAAAAACTGGCGTGCAACAGAGAACGACTCGCAAGCTATCGGCACAGCCTTGGACAGCTGATAAGATGAGGATGATCTGGCCAGACGTCAACGGCACCAAGCACCGAGGAATGCGGGAACCAGATCCGACACCGCGTCGAGAAGGTCAGGAACGGATCAATTGGAATCGTTTCGGCAGCAGATACTCGCACGCCGTCAATCACAGTCCCGCTCATGAAACAAGTCATTTCAATCTTACGCTTTCTTACGGTACAAGCGTCGGATAGTGCCTCACGTGGGGTCGACGACAGGAGCTAGTGCGATCTGTTCATCACAATACTCCGCGCCACAAGGTCGATAGCACATGCATCCCGGCTCAACTTCCCAAGTTGTGACACAGGGTCAAATGAGGGCTCAGTATGCAAAGTATGCATGATTCGGTGGGTTGGCCAGATGAGCATGAGAGTGGAACCACCCCCAGGTGACACTCCCAGGTGGCGATATGAGGTAAGCGGGGCAAGAAGATCGGTGATCTGGCCAAGCGCAACGTAATCAAAATGGCTTCCGATACCGATAGAATTGTTTGGGAAAGTTCATCGTCCCGTTATCATAATAACCATAACGGGATGACCTCATGCTCTGGAACGCGCACCACCTTCATTGTGCACCCAAGCAGCACCACATCGCATGCCCCGTTGCTCTTGGCTTGCGGCGGATCTCGGCATGTGGTCTCGGAACGATACCTGTTGGAGATATCTGTCGGTGCATGACAGAATCTATGCCGGCAACCTCTGCCCACATCTCGCTCCTACATCGGTGCGTCCTCGCATATCCCCCGACTCCATCTCGTTCCCAGCACCACATGCAAGGGTCGGTGATGACACAACTCAAGACCCACATTTGAAACAGAGTTCAGACCATTGAGTAAGAGCAGCTTAGTGCGGTTAATGTTCTGGGTCCGAGGCCCCAAACGTTGCCACATTGGTGCTTCGATGTGTTCTCAGCAGACTCTCCGTCGTGGTGAGTGGTTGGGTATGGATATCAGACTCTCAGCTGACCTCTCGGTCAAGGGAATAACCAGGGATTGGCCCGAATCGGAGCTCTGGACTCTCTCTCGCAAGGTGGGCCCTTCAGCTCCCTCTCGTCCGCGCCAGATGTCCAGACCATCGACCACCGAGACCTCACAGCACAAGCGAAGCGATGCGGTGCCGACAACGACTTCCTCCATGGATACAACCGTTGCCGCCTATTTACTAGTCGTAAGGCGGGGGGGTAATGAGTTGGTGAGACTGGGATGTTGGGACCACAAATCGACAGGGCGAATACCACCGACCGACATCGTTACGACTTGCACTTCGCCTTTGGGTGAATAACATCTCGAGCACGCTTCCTCGTGCTGCTCATCGCCAAGGAAGCGTGTTGCTCATCGCCAGACTTGGCAAGCTACCTGGGGTTTCGATACTGCAGCGTGGCGACCACCGAACACATGACCCGCGAGGTATTGTGAGACACCGATGACTCGTGACGCACCCAAGTCCGATCCGCAGAAAGCTTCCACATCGTCTGCCTGACGACGGGCCAGCCGATGCCGAACAACTTGCAAGTTTCCATCCCGCCATGCCCGAGTTACCACAATGTGACCCGAGCTTGCTTTCCGCAGCTGAGTGCGTTCCAGCGTTCCAGCGGGGATTAGATAAGTGGAGAGTTCCCATGCGCTGCAGGCTCCGCATCGATCGGTGTGAGTTGCACGGAGGCTGTCCAGAGATAGAGTTGCATGCTAACTGCTCTTGGTATATTCAGCTTCTGACTCGCTATGCATAACCGATCCTCCGAGGTTCGTATTCCCCGGTGCGCTCCACTCTCACTCCAACAGGGAGTGCACGGTGCGCTCGTCCCCATTTCTGGGAGTTCTTGGCAGGTGGGCTGTTCACTCGGTCGCCTCGTCAAAGACGAATGCCGTCTTGCCAATCTTGTTGGCGGCAAACTGGGTGTAGTACTCGGGCGCGTCGTCGAGCTTGATCTTGTGCTGGATGAACTTGGAGAAGAGTTCGTTGTTGTCCTCAATAACACCAACCGCTCCCTTGAAGTACGTCGGCACGGAGCACTGGCCGAACTGGAAGCGGAGGTTCTTCTTGTACAGCATGTACGCGTGCGTCGTGAACATCTCCGAGTGGACACCGCACGAGCTCACGATACCGAAGGGGCGCACAAGGTCGATCGCGGTCGTCAGCGGGTCGGAGTGGCCGACCACCTCGAGCGCGACATCGGCTCCGCGGCCGTCAGTCGCCTTCTCCAGCTCGACCTTGAGCTCCTCGAGCGGGAGCGCGATCGCACCGTGCTGCTTCGCCTGCTCGAGACGAGCGGGGGCGAGGTCGGTGGCGAACACCTTGTCGAACATGCGCACGGCGGACGAGATCGCGCACAGGCCCACAGGACCACAGCCGACAACGACACAGACACCCTCCTTCTTGCCCTCGACGTCCTTGACCAGGTCACCGGTGGAAGCGCGGCCCTCGCCCTCGAGCATCAGGCGCTTGCCGCCGGCAGCAACAAAGTAGCCAGTAGGAAGGATGTCCGCGAGCAGAAGCGCAGTCGTTGAGGGAACGTTGGGGTGGGGGAAGACGAAACCGTCCGCTTGCGGGACACGGACGTACTCCGCCTGGCAGCCTTCGAGGCCCTGACCCACACCAAAGACGAGACCCTCGGGGCAGCGCGAGGTTTGGCCCTTCGAGCAGTAGAAGCAGGTGTCTGCGGTCAGTTACGTGGGCATAGTGGATGAGCGCAACCTCGCGGAATCACACTGCAGCCTCTCACATTCCTCTCGGGCACGGGGAAGGTGAAGGTGGAAGGTGAAGGTGTGTGCACTCGAACCATGCGCGTGCCTTCATTAGGTCACGCCAGGCGTAATGCTGAGCCCTTCGCATCGATTTCCTCCATGGCTGGGAGAACCACCGCTCCAGCCGCCTGGAATATCGGCCATCGAGCCGACATCGCGAGCAGCGGGCAGGATTGCGGAGAGTAAATTAGGGTAAACTGGAAGCGAGGGATCCGGGATAGGAGACAGATAAGAAGGCCAACACTCACCCTTGCCACAGTTGGTCGAGAAGGGCACGACGACCTTGTCCCCGACCTTGAACTTGGTCACATCCTTGCCGACCTGGATGACCTGGCCGACGACCTCGTGTCCGACAGTCGAGCCGGGCTTGAGCGGGAGATGGCCGCGGTAGAAGTGGAGGTCGGAGCCTGTTGTCAGCTAGACGTTCTTGATGCCTCGTGTTCTGCTATGTGCCATCCGTGGCATGGGCTGAGAGCTGCATGCTGCAGAGCTTGGCCGAGCGGGTCATCGTGCGGAAGATGAGAAGGTGATGTGCGGAATCTGGCCGACAACGCATCGGAGCCCCACGGTGGGCTTCTGATCCCGGCCAGATGAGCGCAATAGCCGGACAACGTGGTGCGGACTCCCCAGTGTGCAACCCCAGCCAAGACCGAGAGTGCGCCGCTCGGGCCCAGAGCTGCCGCAGGCCGCAGAGGCGCAATAGGGGCTCCAGTGGGGCGTCACTGCCTGCAGGGCGCAGAGAACGATGGCCGCCCAATCCACCAAACATCTTGAAGAGAAGATGAGATGGAAGCGAGGAAAAAGGAAAGAAGGGGACAGACACCCCACGCTTGGGCACGGAGGGGGACTCACCACACAAGCCCGCAGTGATAGTCTTCAGGATGATGTCGGACTCGGCCTCGATCTTGGGCGTCGGGCGCTCGACGACCTCGACCTTGTTGGGCTCGACGAACGCGACCGCCTTCATCGTTTCAGGCATGGATCCAATCGTCATGGCGTGTAGAGCGTGCGTGCGGGTGCGGTGGATGTATCGAGTGGTGTGTCTGAGTGTACGTGTGTGCCGAGGACTACGCGATGTTTCGGGGAAAGCGTGCACGACGACCTGCCTACTGCTTATAAGCTTCTGAATGCACGCTGGAATGCCCGACTAGCCCACATTGCCTACGCGACTGGTACGGCAGAGTGAGCGACTTTTCCGCATTCTGTAGGCTCATTGTCGACCCCCACTCCTCCAGCCGGCTGGAAGCGTGCACGTCGGTATGCACACGGCCTTGTCCGGTCGCTATCTCTCTCCGCCGGAGCTAGCGACCCTAAGTCTACTTCCCCAGCAGCCGGAATGTCGTCCAGCTGCAATCCAGCGGGCAAGTTCAGCTGGCCCAGCTGGCCCAGCAGGCGCCAAGGAGATCATGTGACGACGTCACGACTACGCCGGATTTCGGCACTTGGGCCTGTCACCATGCCGTCCACCTTGAGCCATTCCAGGATCCAGCAGCGACACGGCCGCCGGTGCTGCCTACGTTTCCACTGCGCTTATTTCACACGAGCAACAACCGGCGCGGCATGCAGAGTATAACACGGAGCTTTGTGCCGGTCACGACATCGCGTTTGACTAATAATGCATTTTTTCTCTATCTACAAAGGTTCAGAGGGCTTACACTCGGTGCACGTAAGTTGGTTTACGTCGCGCACTCGATTCGGGGTTGGGTAGTCGATACTCGCGCAGATGCGATGCGTGTTGATTGATATAATGCGGAAAACGATTCGGATTAATGGTTTCGATGATTCGATTCAGGTGCGGCCTCGCCTCGTACTCGACGTGCTCGTACTCGTACGCGCGCACCTCAGTCACTCCTCGGAGATCGTGGGGAGCGGGACCGGGGCGATCCAGATCCTCGCGAACCACCGGGAGAACTTGGAGGACGTGGTGAGACCCGATCCCGGTGATCGAGCCCTGCGATGGGTCAACACCTCAAGCACACACACTTAAACCAAGATCAAAGAAATCAAGACGCACTCGCGAGTTCCTATTGTTCCGCGTCGCCATCGTCGATCGCACGGTAGTGTCCGAGAGAGGAGCGGCGAGTTTTCCTTCCGCCGCTGATCATGTCCTGCACGCGACCGAAGAGCGAGTTGCCCATGCGTGCAGGAGACGGCGAGGCGGACCGCGTGCTTGTTCTGCTGATCGGAAGGATAGAGCCGGGCCGGCGGTGGCCGACGAGTGTCGACGTCTCCGACTCTGAGAAGCCCTCGTCCTCCGTCTCTGTCTCCGTCACTTCGACAACCTCGTCGCCGAACAGCTTGTCCATCTCCTCCAGAGGAACACCACGTGTCTCCGGGTAGAGGAAGTACACGAGGATGAACGACACGACACAGAAGAACGCGTGCATGATGTAGAGGCGCCATCCGATCAGCTCCTGGAACACCGGGGTCGTGACACCGACCCAGTAGTTTGAGAGCCAGTTGGTCGCCGTCGACAGCGAGACGCCCTTCGCGCGGAAGGGCAACGGCATGATCTCAGGGGGGTAGAGCCACGGGATGGGGCCCCAGGACATGCCGAACGCGAAGTTGTACACGACAACGCACACCACGACCGCGTTAGGAGTGATGGCCTGGTCAATGTAGATCCAGTATCCGGTGGCCGTTAGAGCGATGGCCATCGCGAGCGCACCAAACAGCAAGATCGGTCTGCGACCCGCCGCGTCAGTGAGCCACCAGGGCGGAATCGAGGACGCCACATAGAAGAGCGAGTTGATACCTGTCATGAGGATGGCGTCGCGACCAATCCAGCCGGCCTCTGTCTGTCAGCTGAGAACGCCACCTGCCGTACTCACGTTCGAACACCTGTAGAGAGCACGTCAGTACACTGTTTCAAGTAAACATTCCACACAGGGATTACGTACAAGAGCTGAGGTTGTCAGTGCTGATAACGGTACTTCTCCAAGATGACTCACGAGCATAGTATGAGATAACGTTGATACCATTTAGCTGAGCGAAGAGCTGGCTGCTCATGGCGATGAGCACACGCGAACGGTAGCGCGTCCAAAGAGCCTTGTACGAGCGATCTCCCACAGCACGCTGAGGTCAGCTTCGAGTTTCCAACTGTCAGCTCCTCCGTGTGACTCACGTCGGCAATGACGCCTTCCCTGATCTCGTTGTACTCCGCTTGCACCTTCGGGTCATCGATGTCGCGGCCCTGGAAATCGGAAATGACTTGCAGTCCCATGGCGTCCTGGTCGGTGTCGATGAGATAACGGGGCGACTCTGGGCACACGAAGCTTCCGAGGCCGAGGATGACTCCTCCGAGAACCTGGATCGAGAGCGGCAGGCGCCAGCTCCAGTCGGACTGGATGTACGAGCAAGCGTAATCGATCCACTGGCCAAGTTAGCGCGATCTGAGGAAGATCAAATTTCGACTCACGACAGACGAAGAGTATCCCACGATGTTGCCGGTGAACTCGAGAGCACCCAGGAATCCACGCTGCTCCGTCAGCTGCTGCGTAATGGAAGCCAAGAACAACTCACATGATCGGCAGGTGAGATTTCGGCCTGGTAGATAGGCACAATCATACTGAGCATGCCTACTCCGCAGCCACTGATGAAGCGCCCGATCACCATGCTCGTATACCCGGCGCAGTAGGTCTGGAACACTCCTCCGATAGAGAACAGTGTTGCACCAATGCGCATCGTCATGCGGCGGCCGTACTTGTCGGCGAGGTAGGCGGCACAAAGCGAGGTGACTGTGGTCGTCAGGCGCGTTTTTTTACGATGGGCTCGGCTACTCACTGAAAGCGCCAATCTCCAGGATAGCGACCATGTTACCGATCTCGCCAGCCGTGGGCTGGTTGACTTCGGGTCAGCACGTTATCGGCGGGCGCAGGGCTTACAGAACGCTTTGAAGTATGGGCCCGTAATAACGCCTTCGTGGTCAGCACATCGCCTAGCGGCAAATGGACTCACCAGACATCACACTACAGAAGGCGGCGGTTAGTATCCACACACGACCGCACACTCTCAGACGTACCCTTGATCATATCTATAGTCAGCTTAAAAGACGAAGAAAACTCACCCGAAGAGCCAGACTCCTATACTCAGGAAGACAGAGACTGAGTAGAGCAGGCTATGCCCGCGGAGCCCGGTAGCGTTCACTGCCGTCGGGGCTGGCATGTCGACGTGGACGGAGGTGGATGGAGCGAGGAAAACAGTTTGTCGGCGGTGTGTAGTAGGTTGCTAATAGTACAGTTTGCCACTGACATTCAGTGGGTGATGCGAGGAGTGATGCGACCCGGTGTTTAAGAGATGTGTGGATGGAGAAGAGTCAAGAGACAAGCACAGAAGGTGTGACTGCGTGATCGTGCCGTATCGTGTGGGTGAATCGGTAGTGCAGCGGTGAACGGAGGTGGTGAATTCCCCACCCCCGCATTTCGTCCCAGCCCTAATCGCCCTCACGACCCTGGTTACCCTTCATCTTATCCTATCTAAGTGCCCAGATGACCGTCCTACGTGACACACATGCGACCGTGACAGTGGTCATGCTCCATCTCAGCCGGTCCACCCCTGGCGCACGCGCGCATACATGCGACCGGACCGACGGTGCGGCGACTGCGACTGTGCACTGCAAGAATGTGCTGCCATGCAGAACCACGCAACATCCACTGTATACATAAAAGGAAACGCCGAAGAGCCCATCTGGTATCTATACAAATCGTAAAAGAGGTATTGGAGTGCCCAAAGGTCTGGTATTAGCAGGCACAGCCCGAGGCCTGAGGAGGCTCCTCGGCGGGTGCGGAGACGTCGATCTCTACGATATGTTAGCTACCGTTGAGTCGCTTCACTCACTTTGGTTGGCGGTGGTTGACGCTTCGACGTTGCCGCCAGGAAGAGCCATCGCAATCTTCTTGAACAGAGCCTTGACGTTGTGTCCAGCCTTGGCGCTAGTCTCGATGCTCATAACGCCCAGCTCCTTCGCACGCTTATCGAGGTCTTCCGGGGTGACCTGGCGCTTGTCGTTCAGATCCGTCTTGTTGCCGACAAGCACAATGATCACGTCGTCTCCGCGCTCGTTGCGGACGTCGTCCACCCACTTCGTCGTGTTGAGGAAGGAGTTGCGGTCTGTAGTCAGCTATGGATCGCACTGAGTCGAGCTTACTCGTGATGTCGTACACGATAACCGCGACCGAGGAGTCTCGGATGTAAGAGGGAATGAGGGAGCGGAAACGTTCCTGCTGTCAGCTTGCCCTATGTACTCCACAAGGCCGACTCACTTGTCTGTACGTCACACGCAGAGTCAGTGTCAGTAACCAGAGAGATAGACATTCCCTACTCACCCTGCAGTGTCCCACAGCTGCAGGCGTACTGTCCTGTCCTCGAGGTACATGGTCTTCGAGAGGAAATCGATGCCTGCTGTCAGTGTCGGAGCACGAGCGGGCGCTAACCGATGGTGGCCTGGTACGTGTTGTCGAAGGTGTCATACATCTCACTGTCAGCGCGTGCTTGGCCGGGTAAGCTCACGAAGCGGGTAATCAGACTCGTCTTTCCGACGCTCTGCTCTCCGAGGAAGACGAGCTTGAACTTCTTGAGGGGAGAAGAAGCGGGGAACTCGCTGCCACCGGCGTTCGTCGGCGTCGCGGGGGCGGACATGATGCTGGAGGGCGTGGTGGGGAGGGTGGAGAAGGCGAGCGACGCTTGGAGGTGGAGAAATCTTGTTCGAGTTTGAGACAGCTAGGTGGCAACGCGGACACGTACGTCCTTGGCTCCGGCCCTAAAGGGTCGAGCCCAAAACGCAAATAGCCGTTTGGTTCCGCTAATCAGCCATTAGCCTGCTCGTTATTGGGGCCAGGCTCGAATCTCCCTGCGCCGGCCGGGCGCGCTTGATTCGGTCGCTGGCTTCCGAACTGGCAGTGCGATGTGCATTCCGCAAGGAGCGCGGCGTCCGGTGGCTGCTGAATAGGGGCTCGTGCGCGCCGCCTCCCGCCTTCCATCCTTCCTCCACATATTAGCTGACGCCGAGCAAATGATTCTGATGATCGCAGAGCTCTTGGTCGCAGAACGATGAATCGATGGTGCACGAATCAGGGAGTACGACCAAGCAGACAACTATGTGGGATGTGTGAGGGCTTCACCTCCGGCGCTGTGAAATCGACGAGCAAACAGCATAGCGGTCGCGATGAGGAGCCTCAGAGTCTGAGGACCAACCTGTGGATCTGTAGACATACATCGGCCACTGTCAGCAACGATTTGCAGGAAAGCATGCAGGATTGTGTAGGAAAGGGTCCGACCGAACCTGAAACGTCGGGAAGACAGTCAACGCTGCCCTCGGCGATTCCGCTGGACAGTGGCTGTTCCTCGAACGCGTCGCGTTTTGCCAAACCTCGGGATCACCAGCAGCAAAGGGAAGTCAGAGGAAGGTCAACTCTGTTCATGAACTCGTGCTCTGCTGGAATACAAGCGGGGATCAGCTGACCATCAGGAGCACATCAGCTGTCCATAGATGCAAGGGTGCACTCCTGCTTGGTTCCCCGATTATCTGATCTGGGTAGCACCCCAAGGTCCCAAGACGGTCGAGGAGCTCCGCACCCCCTAACAAAGAGAACGTGACCTCCGTGACATGACTGTCGATCACCTTCAGCACGCGACAAGAACGCAGGTCTGCAGACTACATGCCGCGCCACTTGAAGCTACCAGGTGGAAGGCTGCGCAGGCGACTGATTGTGTCACGCAGGCGCACGTTCGAGTTGCTCTATGGCTGCTCCACAACATGTCAATTGCCGGCCGCTATTGCAAGCTCGACGCCGCTGGACACATCGTATGCAGACCACATGCAACAGTGAGGACGGCCACCTGGCCACCATGAGGATGGAACCATCGGTATCTTCCCTGGGTCGGCAACCAGCCAAGGGCGCTCGGTTATTGTCGGCGTATGCTGCGTGACACAACCGGGTATCCGGTCCATCCACTCGGATTCATGACCATCCTTCATTAACAACCCCGGCCATGATCACGCTTCTACGACCCCGGCCACATGTCTTTCGGCATGTGCGATCCTCGCTCTTGGCGACGCACGTGCGGCACAACTCGACTCGCGAGGTCTGCAACGGCGAGCTGATCTACGAGGAGCGCGGCGGCGCGCGCATCTTCACGCTGAACCGACCGAAGCAGCTGAACGCGATCAGCGGGGAGATGTTCCACTCTCTCATCGACACCATTGGAGTAAGTTGGGCCAAACTTGCTGAGCTGACGCCAGGAATGGGCGAAGGACCCCTCAGTCAAGGTCGTGCTCGGACAGGGTGTCGGCCGCGCGTTCGCTTCGGGTGGTGACATCAAGTCTGTCGTGCACTACATCTCGTCGACCAAGGACTCGGAGAGGAAGATTGGGGAGAGCTTCCTCTGCGCTTCGCTCACAGCTAATTGGGAGGCCGCACATCTCGAGGTGCCTTACGTCTCGTTCATGGACGGCATCACCAGTGAGTCTCGACCAAGCTTTGCGGTCGCCTTTGTAAGCTAACGATGCAGTGGGCGGTGGCGCCGGTCTCAGCCTCCCCGCGAACATCCGCATCGCGACTCCGCGGACACAGTTTGCCATGCCCGAGTGCAAGATCGGCTACTGTCCCGATGTCGCCAGCAGCTACTGGCTGATGCAGCTGGACGGATACATCGGTGCTTGGATGGCAGTCACTTCTGCGGACATCTTTGGACGCATGGCCTACGAGCTCGGCATCTGCACGCACTACGTATCCGAGGAGTCGGTCCCGGAGATCGAGGACCGCATCGCCTCCCTCTCATCTCCTACTCCTGCGGAGATCTCGGCGCTTGTGTCCGAGTACCACCTCGAGGGTAACGGCGAACCGTCGTCGAAGGCGAACCGCGGTGGCCGCAGCACTCTTACGCCCGCGATCAGGCGCTACCTCGACAACGTGTTCAGTCTGCCCTCCATTGCTCAAATTTACGACACGCTCGGCTTGACATCTGGTCTCGAGCCCGAGGTCGCCGAGTGGGCGCTGCAGCAGCGCGCCGCAATGTCCGAGCGCGGTCCGACGGGTATGGCCGTCGCGCTCGCCAACTACCAGGACGCGCTCAAGGCCAAGTCGCTGTACGAGAGCGTTCACCGGGACACGCTTCTTGCGGCCTCATTTGCCGGCCCGCACAGGAGGACAAACGACCTCGTCATCGGGTGTAACCACAGCTTGATCGAGAAGAAGCCGCCGCCTATCCCCTTTGACCCGTCGATCGACCGGATCCGCGAACTCGACCCCGACATTGTGCGCGAGAAGTTCTGCAGTCACAACCCGGACGCGATCCAGCTGCCCCTCGTGCCCAAGCCTGAGGGCGCGAATACGACGTGGGGCGAGTTCAGGCGGTGGGGTGTGCCGTCTGAAGAGGCCGTGAGGGCTGCCATGCACCATGGCCTGAAGGGAGAGGACCTCGACAATGAGCTCGTGAAGGAGGACAGCAAGCGTACCCCCGAGCTGAAGCAGGCGGTGCGCGATATTGAGCAGTATGTCGATGGTACAAACCAGTAGACTAAGCTAGGATGGCCGAGAACCGTGGGAAGGCTGCATGGTGTGTTGGGTCACAAACCGCTGAACCAAGATACTCGCTGGTGAACATCGTGGGAGACAGGTGATCCTCCACGATACAAACCGCTGTGCTAAGCTATGGCCGAAGCCGGCCTGAGGGATACAAACCGCTAGACCAAGCCGTCGTCTGCCCTTTCAGAAGGTACAAACCGCTGCACCACGCCCTCTCTCCGAACGACGGTGGGAAACTAGACACATAGAAGGCATGAACGCATAGCCCACTTGCACGTGTGAGCCGAGACACAGGCGAGAGCCCCACCTCTTCGTCAGGCGCCATGGGGACCTCGAGACGAACGTGCCGACACGATCGTGTGAGCGTGCGTGAGCGCGTGAGACGTACGAAGCCACTGCCGAGAGCCCATGAATGCCATGACGATGCCGAGAGCCGAGTCTCACTTTGTCCTCTGTCTTACAGTTCTGGCATGACTGGCAGATGGTGACTCAGGCCCCGCCGAGAGCCTGCGCACTACCACGAACACGGAGGTGCCACAGTGTACGCCGCCATGCCTCCGTCTGAGCCTAAGTGCCACCGGATCTGGGTCCGCGACTCCGTCACCACTGCACAGCAGGTAGGGCCCGGCACCAAGCGGTCTTCACCGAGAGCTGCGAGGGTCCGTCCTCTTGCTCCCGAGCTTGATGGGAACAAACCCGTCCCTATGAGAGAGTTGGGTTTTCGGAGTATAGCTGGATGTACATTGCTGTCCCAGGGAGAGGAGCAGGGATGGTGGAGGCGTGGAGGCGGCCCGTCAAGGCCCGGTGGTGCGAGTCGCTTGCCTCCGCCGGGCCGCCAGACTGGCCGGCATTGGGCTGTTGGGCTGCTGACTGGCGTTACGCAACGGACACTTTGATAAGCCACCACCGGCCAACCCCAATGGCGCCGGTGCACCGCCCGTCGCGCGGTCGACTCCGGAAGCGCATACGCCGCGGACACGAGTGTCATTCTCCTATTCAGCTTCTGCATGTTCCGGCGATCCGCCAAGTGCGAGCGCAAGGGTTGGAGCCGAGCGAGCTCTGCCCTGGGCTTGAAATCTCCAGAAAGAATGGAACTCAACAGAGTTTATCGAGTGGTAGGTCGGTTCGTACACCGGTCCGCCCTGCCTCTTGCCCTGTTCCTCCAATTCTCGTTCCTCACCGTCCCCAAAGACGATGTGTGGTGGGTCAAAAGTTAGGCGTGCAAGAATCTTGGAGCTACTCGATTATCGAGAGATCGCGAGACCGAGGTTCCGAGAGGTTTGCCGGAGGGGCGGAATGTCACCTCGCCCAGGTCCAGACTTACGAGAGCTGGCTCACATGACTTGCAGCCGTAAATGTGACAGCAGCCCGATCGCAAGTAACAATAGAGTTAGTCGCAGGTCCACTCTTGATCCGCAGCACTGCCTCGCCGACCCTTCTTCCGCTGGTCCTTGAATATTCTGTTTCTGAAAGGAAACCTTTTCATGACTACCGAATATACCGAAGCCAACCAAACTGGGGTACGGTTATCTGTATTCGAATTGTAGTCAAGTTGCGAGGTCGGAAGCGATGTGGGGTGAGACCAGTGCCGGCTGTTCCTCGGATTGACCCAAGGTAGGGCACACGTGACGTCCAACTCTTACTGACGTAGCTTTCGCCCAGGTCGCTCAGGCGGACATGCTTAATGTCTGCAGGCATACTGAGTGCCTTCTGCGTCATTGCCCAGTTGGGTTTTGGCCGCGGTGTTTGCTGCAGCTAGCCAGTGGGCAGTGGGCAAGAATGCGCGCGCCGTGCCAGTGCGTCGCACGTCCAGCAGCACGCACGGAAAGTTGAGAACAGACGATTCGGCGTTCTGGAGGCGTACGGAAATCTGGGTTCAACTTTGCCCGAACAAGCGGACAAGCGACGGGCGACGCAACGGGCAGAAGCGTACGGATTATCAAGGTATACGAGGTCTGCAGTGTGCGCCACGGCCTACCCTATGGGGGCCCTCTCGGCGATGCGCAACCCTGTCCTCTTCGCACGGACGATCTCGCTCGGCTTGCTCTCTGCCCAGTCAGAGCTGTCAAAGGGTCATGACGGAGTTACTTTCTGTGTGGGCACCCTGGGATGCAGTCTATGACTTCACTGGCAGCCAGACGACAGTGTTCTCCACAACTGCCAAGACGTAGGTCTCCGCTGACCGACGCAGGCATGCAGGCACCGTGGTCCTCTGCGGTTCTCCGCAAGAGATCGTGTGTCCCAGGTACTGACAGGTACGACAGATGTACGTGAACATGAGCAGCTGAGTGCGAGAACATGGTATGCTGTGAGCATGCGCTTGCGCTTGCAGGTCGCTTCCTGCTTATCAGACCTCTCGGGTCCGCCGTCTGCTGACCGATCACCGCTGGAAGATGGGAGAGGGGAAGAGGCAGATCGCGAATAGCGAAGCTTCGCTGCGTTACATCCACTGTGTGCCCGGATTCTTCGACCCCACAATGTCCAGAAAATCCATAGCCCCACCACTACTTGGTCATCAACGAGATGCACTGCCCCTCGCCTGCCCACTCCTGTACCTCTCATGTACTTTCCCCCAAGGTTGCCCGCTGAATGCATCCGCAATAGACCGACGTGCGATCTATTCTGGACTCGTTAGGTCTCACGAGAGACGTAACGGTCTCACGACTTTTGAGTAATCTAATGCGAGACGAGATCCGAGACAGGAAGCATGCAGAGCTGTGCGCTCGTACATCCGTGCTCATCCGTGCGCACGGTTCTGCTCGGTCGGAACGGAGAGTGATCGTGAGGGTCTACATCGGTATGCACTTGCACCTGACGCCGTTGACGTAGAGGATCACTGGGTGCACCTGGCCGACGTCGAATGCTGTGCACTGCCTGGCTCCTGCTCGGCCCCGACGGCAGTGGGCTCGGAGCGCGCCGGTAGGACCACCCCTACACTCGTTCACTCCGCCAGGACTGCCGGCCGAGCGTCAGCTGCCGTGAAGGTCAGGACGCCCGTACGCCATGCCCATCAGGTCCTGCCTGGCAGACCTGGCAGAACCCGCTTGATCGCAGGATTACCCACGCCTGCTGGCGATTACAGAATACAGACAGGGCCTGATCAATTGGGGCAAGGCCCTGACTTGAGCAACATGTCCTACAGCGGTGCGGCAGGAGTCAAGTCACCTTGGAATGCAAGACGGATGACGGAGACGGACAGTCAGTGACGGGGGCTCTGTGCGGGAATGCCCAGCGGCAGGTGATCGGGTGAGCTTGAGCCCACGTTGATGGAAGGATGGTTGTCAGTCGGTCGATGCGGTGGGAGAGTGGGAGTTCACACTGGCAAGAAGCAGGCTGAGGGCTGTCGGATCCGGAGCATCGAATGCAACGACAGCCAAGAGCAGCCGGAAGCAAACAAGAGGAGGTGCTCGGCAGGAGCGAGGAGGAGCACAGGAACAAGGCCCTGGAATGGCCAGGGCACCAGGCCATGGTCGGAGGAACGACGCACTCACACACAGAGCGTACGAGGGCAGAGTGACCGAATTTCGACCTTTGGACGCCCGCCCTTGCGATCCGAGTGCCCTGACTCACCGTAGACCAACTCTAACGTTATGCCTGCCTGGCCTTGCCCCTCTGCGCCCTCTGTGCCCTCTGCACCTCTGCTCCCACCGCTGCTCTCTCACCTCACTCACACTCTCCCTGTTCTCCAAGAATATATAACAAACACCCCGCCCGACCCCTTGCTCCTCCCCACCACACCAGACTCCAGACCACTTCCAACACTCGAACACTCACTCTCTCGCTCACCTTCTCAACAAGCTACCACGATGCTTTCCATCCTCGCCCAGATCACCGTCCTCTGCGCCCTCGTCGCTGCCCAGTGCGAGCCCTCCGGCCCCACCTCGTCCTCGTCCTCCAAGGGCCCCGAGCCCACCGGCGGATCCGTCCAGTTCCACCCCTCCAAGGCCAACAACAAGTGCATTGACGTCGAGGCCGCCAACTTCTCCAACGGCGCCAAGGTCCAGGTGTAAGTGTCGCTTTGCCATCAGGTCATTGCTGCTCCGAGTGACGGTGTTTGGTGCGGTGGTCCGTGTACCGGATGTGGCCGCCCCACCGATCTGGGGCGCTCCAGACGCGGATCAAACCACCGCCGCGCCAGCCGAAACCAGAAGTCCCGGGGCGCAAGTGGTCCAGACATCGAAAGAGCATTCGCTGACAATGCCAGCTACGACTGCAACGGCTCTGCTGCCCAGAACTTCGAGGCCAAGCGCGGCCCCACTCAGATCAAGGTCAAGGGCCAGAACCTCTGCCTCGACGCCGGCACCGACCCCAAGTCGGGCTCCAAGGTCCACCTCTGGCAGTGCTACCCCGGCCTTAAGCAGCAGGTGAGTAGAGATCGGCAGCGGCACGGCAGAAGGAATGCGCAGAGGCGGTTTCGAGGGTGAAGCGAACTGCGGATTCTTGCGGTTCCGGCCGTAGCATTTCATTTCCACTACGCGTCGAGCCGCAGTCCCCGAATTTCGGCCATACCCCAACCAGCCGCGTCCCATTCCCGCGTCGCGCGGCATGCACATCCAGCCAGCCCTTCCTTGCCTCCCACATCAGAACGACAACTGACATGCACAGTCGTGGTACATCACCGGCGACAACCGTCTCGCCCTCGAGAACCAGGGTCTCTGCCTCGACCTCACCGACGGCTCGACCGCCAACGGCAACGGCCTCCAGGTCTGGGAGTGCGGCACCGGCAACAAGAACCAGGAGTGGAACGGTGCCGGCCTCGCCAATGCTCGCCGCCGCCGCACCTTTGACAACTAAGCGTGCTCGCCGTCTAGTGGCGCGCGCCGTGATGCTGCTCCCGCCCGTGCCCGCGCCGTGTATGTAGTCATCGCTTGAAAACGGACAATTTCAACAGCATAATTTACATGGACAATCTTACAGCCTTGGGGGCACTCACCCAGGCTCTCTATATAGTCGATTAGTGGACACTCTCACCCCGCTTACAGGCGGGGGCTTATGAATGAACAGATGCCTACGACTTTTCGAGACGTGGAAGCAGGCGGCGTGCTCATTGACGACGCCGAGAGTGACGAGAACGCCCGAGCAAGCGGCAAGCCCAGAACGCTTTTAGCTCGCAAGGCGAACCTTGCCTGTGGTGCCTGGAGGCTAAGTGGTTCATGGCTATTCAAGCCATTTGACTTGTCTTCGATTGCAGCATTACGCATGAACCTTGCTGTTTGCTTTTTGTGTGCGTGTGCATCCTGGTCGTACTCTACACACCTAACCCATGTTCTAATCTACACAGTGCACCCTATACAGCCTATCCATCGCCTACGCACACTGAAGAGTAATCACAGTCCGAATCGGAGCTCTAGGCCTTGTCGGGGTCGTCGACGACGGTCGTTGTCTCGGAGTGAATCGAGCGGCCGGCGGGATCGTGCTTGTCGTCCCACTCCTGCAGCTCGTCAAGGGGCACACGCACAAGCTCGTGCCCAACAGCCCCGTCGGGCCACGTCGTGACCCGGCGCCGGATAGCATAAGAGCGCCAGCGAGGCAGGAGCTGTCCCCAGACCCAGAAGTATCCTCCCGAGATGGCAATGATGGCGAGGCCGACAATGCTCGGCGTGGCATAGAAGAAGTGGAAGCTGGAGGCATTGATGCCCTCGCTGGGCGGGACCCAGGGCATAATCAAGAGATAGATCTTGCTAGCGAGGAAGAGGAGGACACTTGCCGTCCAAGCCCGATACTCACTCCTGGGCAAGCCCAGCTTGGCCCTCTTGCGCCGGATCACGAACAGGCCCACGGTCATGAGTGCGAAGAAGGCGCTCTCGGGATAGTTCTGCAGCGCAATCACAAAGTTGAACGCATCCCCCGCCGGCGGCGCCAGGATCATGACCGTCGTCACGAGCCAGATCGTGATGACTGGGCCGATCGGCGTGCCGAACGGGCGGATGTTGACCCACCACCTGTTCCAGGGGAGGACGCCCTGGCGGCCGATTTCGCGGATGATGCGCGCCTGTCCCACAATGACGGCGAGGATGTTGCCAATCGCAGATAGCACGGGGAGGATGGTGAGGCCCTGTGCGGCGCGGGCGCCGAAAAGGCGCTCGAAGAACAGCGTCGCTGTCACTTGCGCACTAGAGGCGAGCTCGGCCTTGGGGATCGCGGCGAAGTAGGCAATGTTCACGAGCGTGTACAGGATCGCGACGACAATGACGGCCGCGTTGCTGGCTTTCTTGAGGGTTGGGACCGGGTTGCGCACCTCGTTCGCGACGTTGAACGTGTTCTGGAACCCCTGGTAGGAGTAGATGATGGACACGAGCGCATTGGCTTGCGCGTACCCGTCACTCCTCGTTCCCGCGAAGGCGTTGTGGAAGTTTTGTTTCGGGTTCTGGATACTCGTCTTGCCGCCGAGCACGACGAAGCCTGCGATCGCAATGAAGACGAGCGTCAGCAGCTTGATCGTGCCAAAGACGTTGACGGCGAACAGCGAGAAGCGCGTGGACAAGATAGGCACGAGTGAGATGGCCGCAAAGGCGCCGATGGCGGTGCCCTTCAGCGCCCACTCGGAGCCCGTGTGTCCGCAGAGACGGAAGATCCATGTCGCAAGCACGATCGCGTTGCCGGACGTGAAGGAAAGAATGATCGTCTGCACCGCGAACGCGACGGGGAAGAAGAAGCGCGGCCGAGGAAACGCCTGCTCAAGATACACCACTTCGGAGCCGGAGCGCGAGGGGAAGTACGACAACAGCTCGAGGTAGACTGAGAGGCCTGCGAGGGTGAGCACGAATCCGATCGCCCAGTACACGAGCGAGAGGCCGATGCTGCCCGTTGACTGCAGGATGCTGGATGCTGGCATTAGCAACTGTTCATGTCTCTCGCGTGTGCACAAGGTTTACAAGGTTCACCTCGGAACCTTGCCTTCGTAGCTTTGACCGGCGCAAAGGAAAGTTTCGCTGGAAACGATCTTCCCGGTCTCGTGCCGGTCCCCGCCTTGACGACGGGACACGAGGGGCGAGTCTGCAGACTATTGCGGTTACTCACGCGTGGAGAAGATACCAGTGCCGACGATCATGGACACGTTCAGGAAGAGCGCTGTCCACGTGCCGACCGAGTAGCCCAGAGGCGAGCGCGCCTCGACTGGCGCACCTGAGGCGGACTGATACGTGACTCCGGCTCCGTTCTCGCCCTTCTCGCCGATCACCACGCCGCTGTCCGTGTACAAGACCTCATGGACGGGGTCGTTGACCGACGCCGCGTGCACTGAGGCCGCGTAGTTGGCCGACTTGCTGTCGCTGGAGAGCTTCTCGGAGCTCATCGATGCTTCCTTCTAAGTTTCGCGATTTGTTGGGTTCTCGGAGCAGAGGTTTTGGGCGGTCGTAGGTGCCGAGTCCTTGGGAATTCTTGAGTGATGTCTGGAGCTATTACGCTCGTCGCTGCGCATTTATACCCCATCGCCTTTTGGAGCGGTATGCATGCATGCATGCATGCGGATCAGCATTGGAGTGAGCACAAGTGCGGACAGTGACGAGCTAAGTTTGGTGGAATCACGCCATTTCAGAGGCCACTTAGCCTCTTTCGCTCGTCGTTCTCTCGTCAACCATCGCTGCGCCGTGCCTTACCACCCATTTCAGTGAGAGGGAGATCGGCAGCCTACCCGGCAGCGGATATCCTGATCTCCGCGTACAGCGAGGTTGCACCATCGTTGGAATGTATGCGTGATCGCTTATCAGAGCTTCAGAGGCTCAGCTTGCTCCAACCCGAGCATCGGTGGCCAACCCCACGTCCCGGGGTGTCGGCAAACGACCCAGAGGAACTCCGCATACCCGGCTGGTGTCTAAAGCTGCAGGTCATAGAAGAACGCTGATTCGCTGCATTGTGTTCTCAAACGAGAACAGGTGTTGCCAAATCTGAGACTTAGCGCAGTTCCTTGCCGGATCTTGGTCGTCTGCAGACTGCGTACGACAGATCGCGTGAGTTCCCGACTCACGATCAGATTGAAATCAATATTGCTGAAGGACGTGTGACACTCGTTCTTGCACATCGCTTTCTTGCCCGACGAGGACTCTCTCGAGTCTGGTCACGTGCTAAGAGATGTGCAGGTGAAGGCCGAGATTACCGACGGACCCGAAGTCGACGTTGCACCATCCACGCTCCTCCCAGTGCTTTTCGATGATCGATGAACGCAAAGCCGCCCTTACCATCGAACGGTCAACGTGGACGAGCATGACGTTGCCGACAATCTTTGCGCGTCCAGTGCAGTCGATCGACACACCAAAGACCCCGCAAGACAGATGACGATCGCACGAACCAGGGCCCCGCACTGACCAGCCTCCGGCGCCGTGGGGAGCAGGCAGCCGTCGTCCGCAGATGCTGACGACCTCTGCAAGTCACTAACGCATCCTGCCAGCGACCACGCCAAGAAAGGCTTGTGTGAGTGCGAAGCTGGTGCGCTGACAGTGCAGCACCTTGGGTTGCCCGACCGCCTGCTGCGTCGGCTACTAGCTGCGGTCACTACGCTAGTCGCACCAGTGCGGCGGCGGGGCGAGGGCACCATGAGGGGTGCACGTCGCATGGGCGCATGGGCTAGGCTCGAGCGCGATTAACCCGGCCAACGCACATCACTTGTCTGAATGCTGTGCTGTCTACTCTTCGCGCGCTCGCACGTTTGCCTGCCCTCGACGCTCCTACATAAGCGCGCTCACGCCTGCCCTCCCGACCACACTCCACCCCATCCTCCAACTCTAGTACAATGGGCTTCTTCGACGACATCAAGGGCAAACTTACCGGCGACGACGACCACAACCGTCACGGCAACGTCTCGCCTTACCAGGGCGGCTACCAGCAGGGCTACCAGCAGCAGGGTTACCAGCAGCAGGGCTACGGCGGTCCCGGTGGCCCCGGAGGGTACCAGCAGCAGGGCTACGTCCAGCCTGGTGGATACCAGCAGCAAGGAGGCTACCAGCAGCCGGGCGGATACCAGCAGCAGGGCGGATACCAGGGTGGCTACCAGCAGCACGGCCAGCAGCCGTACCAGTCGCACGGCCCCGGCCAGCACGGCGGTCCCCACGGTGGACCGCAGGGCCAGCACGGCGGCCCTCACGGCGAGAAGAAGGACAAGGGCTGGTCGACCGGCGCCAAGGTTGCCGCTGGTGTTCTCGGCGCTGCCGCTGTCGTCGGTGTCGGCGCTTGGGGTGTCCATGTGAGTTAGATCGGCGATGTCGGACTGACAAGCAGGAGTACAACGAGCACCAGGAGGAGGAAGAGGAGGAGCGCCGTCGCCAGGAGGAGGAGCGTCGCCGCTGGGAGGAAGAGCAGGAGGCGGACCGCCGCCGCTGGGAACAGGAGCAGGGTGAGTCTAACTAGCCAGTCGTGACTGACAATCGCAGAGAAGCAGAACGACTACAACGGCGGCGGCGGTGGTGGCGACTACAACCAGAGCCGCTCGTACGGCGGCTCCAACGAGGAGCGTCAGGCCGAGCTCGACCGTCGCCAGGAGGAGCTCGACCGCCGCCAGGCCGACCTCGACTCGCAGTGGGAGAACTGCGACAACGACGACGATCGCCAGCGCCTCGAGCAGCTCCAGAACCAGAAGGACGAGGACCAGCGCCGCAAGGATGACGACCAGCGCGAGCAGGACCGCCGCTGGGAGGCGTAAGATCGTCTTTAGGCTGACGACCAACCCGGCTCACGTAGGAGTTGGGTCAAGGGCACGGCTGCTGACCCTTTGACCAGATGACAACGAGACTAGACATGGAGGAGGAGGAAGACACGCTAGAGCATAACGAATAAACATGTACATAAGTAGTTGTGATCGTCACGCAGTTCTCTCACTAGTACTCGGGCTGCTCCCCGTCCTCGGCTGACCATCCTCCCGTCTTGTCAATGAAGTACTTGACGGTGTCGGTCCCGAACTCCGGCCACATCTTCGGCTTCTTGGTGTACTTCAACGTATCAAGGAGGTTCGAGACGAAAAGGGCAGGGAGGTGCTCATTCTCTTCGTCCCTGAGCCGTTGAAGCTCCTCTTCGTCGAGTTCGTCGAGCATGCGGCGGATTTGGCTCTCCCACTCCTCGCTCTGAGCGAAGAGCTTACGGAGATTCGTTCCCTTCGCGCTCTTGTCCTTGATACACGCGGAGATGATGAGGCAAGCGGAGTCGAGAGCGTACATCTTGGTCTCGAATTCGGCGTCCGGGAGGGAGAACAGCGCCACGGCCTCCTTCATCTTCGTCCTGGCGAACTTCTCGACAGCTTCCGCGGCAGTCGCCGCCTTACCCTTCTGCGCCGGCGTGGGTGGTTTCTCTACCTGCTTCTCGACGGAAGTCACGATCGAGTGAAACGTGGCCTCCCTTGTACCAGCGCGGGGAGCGACGAGCCTCCGTCCCAAGCGGCGGTTCTCCGGGTTCGTGTATGCAAAGTATGACTCGGGGATCTTCGGGCGCGACATCAGCGGACGGCGGAGCTTCTCCTCGGTGTCATCCCACTTGCAGACCGTCTCCCATGCGCGCATCTCGTACGGCTCGGGATCGTTCGCGGCAGCAGACGGGCCAAGCACCTTTCGCCGCCGCGTCTCCGCTGCATTGCGCTGATTCGCCAGAGTGAAGTCGCGCGAAGCCTTCGCGGCCGCCTTCTCTCGGACTGCCTTGCGCTCGGCGGCACGGATCTCCGCCGGGGTCATCTTCCGGGTCACCCAGCGTACGGGCGGCATCTTGCGGTCGTTCTACGTCGAGGAAAGAAGCTTTGAGGTGCCGGTGGCGCACAAAAGGTTTTGGGGAAGAAGATAATGCTGAGATAAAATGACGCCTGCGCTTGGACATCGGACATTCAGGGTCAGATGCTCAGATATCAATCAGACGCGTCGGTGGCGACAGTTCACGGTTTGTACAAACTCGCGACTCCAATAATGCTTCACTTCAAGATGCATTTAGTACCAGCTTGACTTGGACAGGCGCGAATACTTGCTGTTGCATGTATTACCATTCGCTGATAAGCCCCGTTATGCAACGCTACACATAGCGAAGCGCTGCGACTTTGACGACGTCAGGACAAAGGCAGGCGCGTCATTGATTAGGCGCGGGATTAGGTGGCCACGTGTCTCGTTCGCCTATTCCTGAAACGCTTTCAGGCACGTCGTCATAGCATTCGGCGACCATAGATTGCGTGTCACCTGGCACTTCGCAACCTGACAACCAACTAGCAGCAATGTCCGGAGGGTACGCCATCGTCGACGTCGACGAGGACGACACAAACAATGGTCTCCAGTTCAAGACCTTCCTGAACGACTCTGCCGACGATGGCGCCGGCCCCTCCTCCGTGGCTGGACCAAGCTCATCGAGCCGGCGCCGCGACGCACCTTCGTCCATCTTCAACCTCGCCTACTACCAAGTGTACTTCGATGTGGACACGACGACAGTTTTGAAGCGCGTTGGCATGGCGATGATTCCGCGAGGTGGTTTCCTGACCGATGCGTGCGAGGGACAGGTTGACCTCTACGGTGCGCTGCCAACCATCTGTCGAAGCTGACAACAGGTCCCTTTTGGACGCTCGTGACGCTCGTGCTCGTTTTATACACGACGTCAACACTGACTGCTTCGCTGCAGGCGTACATGGCGGGCGAGCCGTCTGTGACGAACATCCCCCTGCTGTCGACAGCCACGACTCTCATCCTGATGTATGGCATGGCGTTACCCGCACTGCTGTGGGGTGCTACGCGATGGCTCGGCGTTGCAGAGTGGGGACCAGCCGAGGCCCTCGCGATCTACGGATACGGCATGGCAGTCTTCATCCCGATCAGCCTGCTGTGCTTGATTCCGTTCTCGATCGTGCGCTGGGTCCTGGTCGGCCTCGGTGCGCTCAGCTCTGGTTTCTTCCTGTAAGTCTCGACTTCCGAATGAAGCTGACGAACAGCGTGACGAACATCTACCCCGTGTTGGCGAGTGGGGAGAACAAAATGGTGCGCGGACTCGTTGTCCTTGTTGCCGTGCTCCACCTCGCGCTGGCGCTCGCCATGAAGGTCCTCTTCTATTCGTACTCTGTCGGAGGCAAAAATGTCGGCGAGGCCCTCCCGGATCCTATCGGCGACGGCAAGGCAGGAGCAGGCGACAGGCGCTGGATGTGAATATAGACTTGGAGATGTAGACTATGCTGTGTACGTATATGGGATAGCAGGGATGGTCGCTCGATCCGGAGACCCCGGAGAGGCACTCGTCACCCGGCGGGCATCGGAGGGAAGATCAACCTCTGAGCCCTTCTCCTCCAACTGAACCTTCTCGTGCACGTCGCTCTGGACGAAATGTGGATCGTTGTGCGCGACAGCGACGCCTCAAACATGCATAGCGTCCGGAACAGACGGCAATCAATCGCGCCCGCCCCGGCGCTGGCGGAAGCAGTGCTCACGTACGCCCTGCCTCTGTAGCGGAGTGGTTAATGCGTTTGTCTTGTACCTTAAGGACAACAACAAAAGATCGTGGGTTCGAATCCCACCTGAGGCCAACCACGAAAGTGAGCAACCTTTTGGACGTCGTCATGGACGTTTTTGGCTCTTAAGAAGTGCCAGCAACTGGTTAAGGTAAGAGAGGTCAACCCGGCGTGGTTGGCAGGTACGAGAGCTGGTGCTCTCGAGTTGAGGACATCGTTGTCACTTGGCCCGGAAATTGGTGTGCTGGGAAAGGCTCGCGCAGCTGAGGCAATGCATGCAGCTGGAATGTAAGGGAATATCCAGCTCCATGACTTTGCTACCTAGCACCCAAGGATACGAAACACTTGAATGCGAAGTTTGAGCGATTGATTCATTCGACTCTGACAATCCGTGGTGGCTTCTGTGAATTTCACGATATTCCGAAATTTACATAATAGAATGAGACAGCACCGGCTGTGACGCGCGGCACGGCTAATGTCGCCCTGACATTATCACCGGGCGGTGGGACCCGGTCCACAGTTAGGTTGGTTGGTCACGCTGCAAAGCCAAGTCTGGGTGCGGTGACCGGTCGCTACTTCATCCATAGGATAATTGGAGATAGTGGTCGTGGGCTTGGTGTTGGTGAAACCGGGCTTGTTCTCAAGGCCAGGCACTGAGGCCCTGTTGGGAGTGCCGTTCTTGTTCGCGTCATTCACCTGTTGCTGGGTACTGCGGTTGGGAAGGGGCCACTGCGAGACAGGCCTGCCGTCGACAGCCTTGAGATTGCCGGGGTTGCTGGTGTCCTGACCCGGCAGCACGAGGCCGTTGCGCCAGCGCAGGTTGGGCTTGACAAATCCCGGCTTGGCAGCATTTCCGGTGGGCTTCTTCTTCACGTCATTGCCCCACAGAGGGTTGTATCCGGGAAGCTGCTTCAGGGGAGTGATGGCTCCCACATCCTCAGCAACGATGTCACCCTGGCCCAGTCAACGTCTATCTTCACTTCCTTACTCACCTCCATGAGACACTGTTGAGCCGCACGATACTGAGTGCTACCGTCCTGTCCGAAAATTCTGTCGACCGGATCGACGAAAGCTTCCATCTTCTTGTCAATAGCTTGCTGAAGGATGTGGGTCGGCCATCCGTTCACGAAGTCGGCGTGCAGGGTGTCGCCATAAGTGTCCCCGTTGGCCCAGACCAGGTTCGCCTGTCCAGGACGCCAGTTGGCCTTCTGCTCGGCAGTGAGCTCATAGAAAGACTCCAGCATGACTTGGGGATAAGCAATGGGATGAGTGTCGGGACACCTGTTGGCATTGACAACCCAGTAGCTGCCTCCATGAATCGGGAAAGCCATGTGTGAGAAGTGGTCGGGTGAGTCGAGGTCCTGGCTTGCGAGGCCGCAAGACGGGAAGTGAAGCCTGGTCCTCAAATCGTCCGGGGCTGCTTTGGTGGGAAAGATCTGCGACTTCTCTCCCCACTCGGCCTTCTGCTTCCACTCAAGCCGAATACCTTGGAAGCTCTCTGATCCCTGGTCGCGCCTCATGGCATTGCCAGTGATCATGCGCATACCTTCAGGGAAGGGAACTGAGTTTTGGAACTCAGACTGGTAGTAGATGACAATGTTGTACGGCGGAACGATGGAGTAGGTGCCATCCGGGTTGATGTAGTAGAGGGCAGGTTGCCAGTAGTTGGACTTGTCCTCAGCAAACGCAACAGTGGTGCAGTTGGCCTTCAGCATATCTTGGGTTGTGTCAAGGACATCTACACTCATCAGCATTCTTCGGACTGGCTGCAGCTCCAAAGAGACTCACCGCGGAAACGAGAGCCGCCGATGACAAGGTGCACATGGTCGCTTACACCCCCGTCCTTCTGCTGGATGATAGGGTCCATGCGGGAGTATGTGAGGATGTTGCCCACCAGGCGGAAGCCCCACACTTTGGCCAGTGCCCCAGAGGACATGGCCAAGGCAGACAAGACAATTGCAGCAACGCCGAAAGGGAGCATGGTGTGAGGTTGGGATGGGGGAAGTGCTGATAGGAAGACAGCGCTTTATACCTTGCGGCACATGAATCAGGTACTTCTCGGAGTGCAACCGATGGTAGCTTACCGCCGGTGCGCCGGTGCCGTTGTTCATCACACGACTTTGCTTGTCACACAAGGGGCTCTGGTGGAGGAGTACATCCAGAACGTCCATCGGCTGTTGCCTTACGATAAACAGCTCTTCCGATCGTCATGCCTCCTGGATTTTAGCTTTCGGGGATGATGCTGTGGCCGCCGAGCGATCGTCCTGAGGGCGTCGCGCAAGGCTGTCCCTCGCAATGTGCGCATCGCCATGCGGCCTCCATGTAAGGGTGACCACTGTGAAAAGTATGGAAGGCGCGAGCCCTCCCAACCAAGCGTGAAGAAAACGGCTGTCCACCGCCCGAATGCACGTCCGAAGGATCAGGGAGGGGCAGTCAGGCAGACGAGCCCTCGTCCCGCATGCCCTTTTTCGGGAGGACAATCGCTCCACTGAACCCGGTCCTCAGAGCAGAACTGTCCAGCGCTGTAGAAGCAGCTGCCAATCTTAACGACGCGACGGGTGAGGGTGAGGGTGTGCGCCCATTGTTAGTTTGAGTAGAGCTTATTTCCTTTGTTGGATGCTTTCGCTTTGCTAAGGTTCAAGCCTGTAAGCTTTTGAGTTTACGAGTAAATCGCGAGATTCCACTATGGAGTCCCGTCAATGGCCGCGCTTCATTATCAGTGACGGCAGTGCAGAGAAGTGTCTCGGAGCATTCCTGTCTGTTGCCTCTGAGCGCTGGCCAAAAGCAAGCAGGGAACGCCAAAGAATCCCTATTGCTATCCTTGAGATCACGGATCCCGTCGCGGGCACAGATGCAATGACCGCTACTCGTGACAAGCCCGCGCGTGACCCGACGGAAGTTCGGTGGCATGGACTGAAAGCGCGCTCTCTGTCATGGGGGTTTAATGCGTGCTCAGCTGGGCTTTATCAGAGCGCCGGAAGGCTTCGCGGAGGATCAACTGTCCTGTGCATGGCTGGCGCAATCGCGAGGAGCTAAGTCCCCAGGCGCGAACAACCTCAGCCCAGCTGGGTTTCTGAGGCTGTTCAATTGGCCTGTTAAGGTTTCGAATTCTTATCGGCAACTTCCTGTCCCACTCGGCATTCAACCATCTGCAGACGTCTCTGTTGGCTCGACCAAAAACGAGCGTTCTCTGCTGTAGCTGCATGCAGAACGTCCAGAAAAAGAAAGAGCTTCCTGTCGGAGAATCGAACTCCGATCTCCCGCGATCATACGTGACAAGCGAGCATACTAACCGTTATACGAACAGGAACTGGATGACTTGGTTTCTCGTGAGGAGTGATTGAGGTGTTGTTGTGTGTCACGTGACTTCGCGCACCTTTGCAGTTGCCATCGCCCGTGCTACAGAATGCTAGGTAGCTGGGGAAGCCTCGCCGACCAGTGAAAACGTATCCGGAGGGCAAGGACGAGCGGGCGGATGAGGGTGCTCAAGGCGCGGCCGCCCTCGCGTGGAAGGATGATGTCTACGACGCCACACAACAAATCTGGTTATGTCTGTGTCAAAGGTCAACTGTCTTCGATCAATACATGGAGTTGGGGATGACCAGACGGTTGACAACAGTCTCGAGAAAGTCTTCAAGTAACGCAATAACCATAATTGCTGCCCTGGTTTGGGCGCCCGGTCCCGGTCCCGGGATAGGGGGCCTCTGCATGCCGACGTGCGCCTCACCACGGCCTAAAGTCGCTAGACTGCATGTGGCCGCACGGTCTAGTTCGCATTACGACAACGAACGTTGGATATCGTACTGCCACACTGCCACGCGGAATCGCACTCGCTTGGCTCTCCCTGGTAGTACGGCGGTCATCGCTCGTTGCCCGGACCAGGTACGCGTGATCGGGCCGTTGCCTGTAATTCTCAAAGTGAAAAGCTTAACGTGTCTCTAACAGTTCGCCGTCTTTGAGGCTAATCGGTTCACACACTGACTGTAGCAGGGTTCCACGGCTGCGGAAACTCCCGCACGCGTACATCCCTCGAAGCAGAGTTGGAGATTGCCCCTGTCTGGCTGAGCAAGTGCCGATCGCTGGCACAGCCACATAGTTTGAACGGCCTTCCACTCAAGCGGACCAAGCACATTATCGACATTGTCCGTTACTGCTCGTACGAAATGTCCATGTTCGAAATGCTACAACTTATGAGACCTAGTGTCCTGCCAAGATATCCGCCGCTATCTTCTCCGCAAACGCGTATACAACACTCTGCGGGTGCCCCGGAGGCAGGAGAGCGAAAGAGGACGCATCGACAACGCGGAGACGGTTCACGCCAATGACCTTAGCTTTGTTGTCTACGACGGCGGTGGGATCGTCCCTGCGGCCCATGCGGCAGGAGACGGCCGCGTGCCACACGCACATAACGTCTTTCCTGATAGCCGCCAGGATTTGCTCGTCCGTTTTGACGTCCAGTCCAGGGTGGTACTCAACCGGATCGGCGAGGATCCCCTTTACGGCGTCCGAGGTGAACACAGCCCTGGCTCGCTTGTACGAAGCCACCATGACGTCGATGTCGGCGGGATGGGTAAGCCAACCCGCCTCGATGACGGGCTTGTCTTCGATCCGATTGCTGCGGAGCGTGACGCTACCACGGCTCTGAGGGTTGGCGACAGCAGCCATAAGGGTGCCGTACATGTACCCGTCGCGCGGCTGGTCTAGGAGGAGAGCGCCAAAGTCACCCACATAGGCAGGCGCGGATACGTACTCGGCGTCGGGCCAAGATTCGGGGTAGCGGTCGAGGATCGAGAGCGTAGATGCCTGTAGTTGGTCGCGAGGAATCTTCTCGAATGCGATCACGTCGGCTCCGTTGTTGGTGAGAATGCCCTTGTTGCGAGAGAAGTTCAACAGGAACTCGTTGACCGCAATGAGGGGGTTTAGCGCTAAGCGCGTCAACGAGTCGACGGTGATGCGGTAGGACGGTCCCGCGAGAACGTGATCGGTGAGGTTCTGGCCAACGCCCGGACGGTCGGCGACGACAGGAATATTGCGCTCTTGCAGGTGGGCAGCAGGACCGACGCCGGAGAGCATCAGGATCTGCGGAGAGTGGAAGGCGCCAGCGGAAAGAATGACTTCCTTGCGCGCATTGATCTTGGTTCCCAACTTGAGCTCAACGCCGATGGCGTTCTTCTGGTCGTCGAACAGAATCTTTCGCACACTGCTCAGCTCGTGAACGTGCAGGTTGCTCCTTCCCCAGCGGATAGGGTCCAAGAAGGCCGACGCGGAGGACTCGCGCTTGCCGTTCTCCTTCTGGACTGTCAAGGACGCCCATGAACTGCCCATCAGGTTGCCGCCAGAGAAGCCGGGAATCTCGGGGATGTTCAGACTCTGCTGCATTCCGGGGATCATCCAGGAGCTCATCGGCTGTGCGTACGGCGGGTAGGTGACCGAGAGCGGACCACCGTTAGGGTCAAAGTCGCCGGCGTCGAACTGTGCTGAGGCGTTGCCACGCTCCTCGTTTGGCGGAGGGGTGAACTGGACCGACTTCTTGAAGAAAGGCTCGAAAGCGTCCCACCGATAGCTCTCGTCGCCAACCACATCTGCCCACATGTCCAGCGAACCCTTGTCGGGTCGCTGGTACAGCATGAGGTTTCGCGCGCTGGTGCCTCCAAGGCATTTGCCGCGCGCATAGTGCACGACTCGGTTGTCGCCTCCCTTCAGCGGTTCAGTCTTCAGGTTCCAATCCACCAGAGGGTTTGTGTCGAAGAGGTCTGACCCAGAGAACAGAGCTCCAGTCAATGGCGTGTCCGAGACGATCGGGTTGGACAGCTTGTACGTTGTGCCGGGCTCAATGACGCCAACCGAGATTGAGGGGTCCTCCGAAAGACGCGCCGCCAACGTCAACCCCGCTGTTCCGCCGCCGACGATGACATAGTCGTAGGTCTTGTCGAAGAGGCCGAGACTGAGACCACATGCCAGCTCAGCCAAAAGTAGGAGGGCCAGCATAATGGGAGATCACGAAGCAAGGCGAACGGGGACCTCAGAGCTTCGACATTCGCAGTGTTTATAACCAGATCAGAAACTCGGTCAGTTGTGTTGGGTTAGCTATCCCTGCGCGTCGCACGCACGCGCATTGCATCGCTTTCGCTCAATTCCGTTGTTCTGGTCGTCAAAACCAAGCTACTACTCCCGTTCCGCACTCTTAGTCCCGTTCCGCGCTGTAGGAGTCATGTACTCCCATGCTCCAGTCTACTTTGACGGGCAAGAAAATGCCCATTGATCACCGAGTGTTCATGCATCTAGCATTCCCCAATTGAGGGTTGCTGCACGCCTTGCGATCTATCTGGTTTCATATCAATTCAAGCGAAGATATTCGGACCTCGGCGATGGACTCCAAGACGCCCGTCCGTTAGGCTGTTGCCCACTCCAGAATGGTTCTGAAACGACGCTAAAAGCTTAGAACCGTACCAAGCGTCGCCGATAAGACGTTGGGCAGAGATGAGACCCCTAGACTGAGCGCCGATTCTCGGTAGCTCACCGAATCCGGCGAAGGTGAGGCTATCGGGAGAGCTAATTGCTGCTAGCCAGAGTCTGGACATCGAAATCGGCGCGCCAGCCAGTAGTTCCAGTGTTATGGTCTCGGAGCCATAGCGCTGTCTCGTTTCTGCTGATCTTGGTCGGGGAATCGTCTCTGGCCCATTTTAAAGGGTGGTGGACGAGTGTCCCTAGCGGGCAACTTTTCTTGAATCGTTGAGGGACTGATGGAGGGAGGTTTGAGGGAGCACGGCCGCACGGCCTGTACCCACAAACAGGATGGACTGAACATCAGTCGGCAAGCCCCCGCTTAGCAATGTCCAGTCCGAGAGCAGATGTCTCTATACAGCGCGGTGTGACCGCGGAACTAATGAATGTATTGCTGTCTATGCATGATGATTGAAGGCAGCTGCTGGCAGCAACTGCACATCCTCTTGTGGGGGAGGATCACGAGTCGTTACTCCATGTCGACGTCCGCTTCGACTTCTTCTGCCTCCTCTTCCTCGTCATCCTCGTTCATGTCCATATCGAGCACCTCGACCTCCGTCCCGCCCTTGGTCAGAACGCAGCAGGTTCTTCGTCCCTTGCGTCCGTTCAGCGCAAGCAGCCACGAGTCGGTCGATGACCGGGCAGGGCCGATAACACGGCAGCGCGCAACCGCAAGCTCCTGCGGGTTGAGGTCCTGGTACTGGAAAGGTCAGCGCAGGTTGCCAAAGAGCGACATACCAAAGAGCCCAAATTCTCCTTGACCGTTGGCAGATCGACCAGCTGCTCGCTCAGCGCCTCGACCGTGGTCGTCGCTAGATAGCGTTCGCCGCGAAGCTGGAAGACCACCGCGAGCTCCTCATCGTCGAAGAATCCCGCCTGCACGATGTCGCCCTCAGGAACGCAAAGGCGCACACCGCGGAGCGCGCCTTCTGCGTCGGAGGCTGCTAGGTCCACTATCTGTTAGCTCAAAGTAACTTTCGTCAACTGACCTGTCGAGCCTGACTGCATGAACACGAGCCACCGCACACCGTCGATTGTGCGCTCGGAAAGCAGCGTCTCCTGGGGAAGCGCGCGGAGCAGCTCATCGTTTGCTGCGTCTTCTTGCGGATGACGGGGCTTGACAGCAGTCACAATGTCACTGCATAACACGAGCAGAGTGTTTGCCCACGTCAGCGGCTCAACCTCGGGATACCGCTCAATTGGTTTGTCCTCCGTCAGCTCGGCGTCACCGCCAGCGGTGTCCGGCGAGGAAGGCACGAGACCTGGGGACACGGGGAGCGGCGATGCGGCGGCCGAGTCCAGCGACTGGTCACCGAACGGCGGCGGCGAAGACAGACCTTCGGGTGCCGGTGTCGCGCCGAGCCTGCTCAACGTCTGCCGCAGCACAGCGTCCAACGCGGACGACATCGCCGGCGCCTTCGGTGGGATGCTCGACGGAAGCACATCCTCCGCTGCGTCCGGGTCACGCGGAAAGTTAACTGCGAATCGAGGGTGCAAAAAGCCGTTCTTCATAAACGACCAGACGAGCTTGACATCGTGTGTCGGAATGGGCAGAGCGTCGTCGGCGCTAGCAGTGATGCGCGTCATTTCTGTTGTCAGCTCTGGTACGCCAATAATGGAGCTCACCGAAGCGGAGCCACTTGCACCACTCTGCGCTAGCGGCTTCCTCCAGCTCCGCCTCCTGTCGTAGATGCTCGGACAGGAGCGCAAACGCCTTCGCGATGTCGATGGCTCGCTGTGTCGCCTCGCTATCGATGCTCAGGTCACTTTCCGCTTCCTCCCCAGCCCAGCTCAGCAGCTCGTCGAGGATGAGAATAATCCGCTCGAGGGCCGGGACGATGCTGAGAGAGATAATCGACTGCAACGTAGAAAAGGCTGTCTGCAGACTTGTCTCCCATTTCGAAACGGTCTGGCGTTAATTCCATGACGAACCCATCAACTGACCCTGTTGGTCATGCGGTTGCCCAGCCACTCGTTAACGGCGGGGCCGCAACGTCCCGCCATCAGGTAGCGGAACAGATCAGCCTGGACGTCGGATTCCGACACTACTGGTCAGCTAGTTCGAGTTCACTCCACTCACTTCCCTGTTGCTGGCCACACGTCTCGAGCTCCTCGCGCCAGATCATGGTCTGCTTGTCGCCATCACGGAGCGCCGCCTCGATTGACTCGATGCCGCGGAAGAGGATGTTGATGAGGCTTGCAAGCCGATCTGACCTCTCTGACAGGCCAAGCACAGAAGGGGGTGTTGGAGAAGGTGTGCCCTCCGGCAGGCGGAAAGTACCCGTCAGCAATCTGCTTCCTTCTCTGCCTGTTTCTCGTGCGGGCGGCAAGAGCGTCAGGACGTCTGGCGGAGCACGTGGATTCGATGGCAGAAGTGACGGGAACGTCTCGACCTTCTTGTGCGGTCCAAGGTCCTTTGCTGTCGGCGGCGGGGGAGCGAAGGGGTTGATACTATCATCAGCTTCTGCTCGCAGCAGACGACGCACATGGCAGGCTTGGGCGGGTCAACCGGTGTCACGCCAGGGAGGGAGTCAATGATCATGAGAGAGGAGCCGGGCTGCCGTCAGACTCGCGACAATGAAACAGCTCACCAAAGGCTTTTCCCAGTCCGTTCCTCCGTCCACCCACTCCAGTGGCCACCACTCTGGCCGAGCTGATCGATCGGCGGCGGAAGCCCAGTCAGCCCGCGACACTTGCTTGATGACCTTCGGCGGGACAAGCACAGCTTTCGTCACCTTGCCAGTGTGGACAGAAAGGTGCTGGACTGTGCTTTTGTTCATTCCGCTGAGCTCGTGATCGGGCCATGGCTCGAGCTGTAGCACGAATAGCGAAATACACAAACCTGCCATCAGCTCAAATCAAACGCTGGACAGCTCACCGTCTCGGCTCCAGGCTAAGCCCAACACGCGTCCCGTGATGTTGACCTCCCACACCTTGCTGCCAGACATACGCCATAGCTCGACAATCGTGTGGACAGGACCCGCGCGCGCCTTCCCTTTCCCCGCCTGGTCGCCGGCGTCCTCGACGATGAGCGCGACGAGGTCCATTGTCGGGTTGCATGCCTCGGGGTGCAAAACATGCTGCTGAGAAAGCGATATCGTTGCCAGCGGCGTGAACGAGCGCAGCTCGGTGAACTCGCTCATGTCGCTGGCCGGTTGTCGTAGCTTTGTCTTTGTTGTTGTTGAGCAGCGAGCCTTTGTGCACGGCGAACAGACTTCCCTCCTCGTGACGTTGTTGACAACATCCGTGCCTGGAAGCATTAACGGGGCCAGAATGGTGAAATGGGAGTGGAGGTGTGTTGATTAGGGAGTGAGGTAATGGGGGCGCTATCCCCCGCGCTGATTTGTTACGAGATCAGTGGGCCCTCTGCCAAATCGAGGCTACTCACAGCCCAACCCAAGTCACTGCTGCAGCCTCCAGCTCGCTTTCACATCCATCCTATCATCGAGTCATCCATCAGCCCCGACACTGAGACCTTCGATTTGACCGGAAAGGGACGCATCCGCTACACCGACTGCACCCATTTTCCTGGCGCACTACCCCCCACACCCGATAACAACATGGACGCCGACCGGCCATCCGGCTCGCGCACCCGAGGCGCGGAGCGGCGCTCCCACAACGGCGAGCCGTATCGCTCGTATCTCCGCCGCGGGAAAGAGACGGAGTACGCGTCTTCCCCGCCTGCGTCTTCGGTGCGCGACGATGAGAGCGGAGGTTCTGGCGACGAGGGCGAGGGCAGCGACCGGCGGGAAATGGACGTGGATGACGAGATCGACGAGCTTCTCTCCGGCGGGGAAGGCGGCGATGACGGCGACGACGGCGGTGACGGTGACGATGGAGATGACGGAGGAGACGGCGATGACGCCGAGGGAGGAGGCAAGGGCCAGTCGGAGGACCAGCCGCGCGATTGCGAGTGGGAGGACTGCAACGAGAGGCTCGACAACCAAGCCCAGCTCGTTCAGCACGTCACGAGCGGTGAGTGGCCCCCATTGACCCTATGCTTTGAACTCATATACCGCGTCGTGCGGTATCTGAGCTTGAGCTCCTTACATGGAATCCGTGGCTGACGTCTGTGCAGTGCATGTAGGAACAGGGCGACAGCCACACGTCTGTCTCTGGCGGACGTGCAACCGACTCGGTCAGAAGCAGGCATCCCGCCACGCGCTCCTCACACACATGCGCTCGCACACTGGCGAGAAGCCGTATGCGTGTCCGGAACCAGGTGAGTGCGAAGCGGTAGAGGACGAATTGGTGCACGACGAGGGCGAGGAACATTATGCGTCCTTTCCGAGGAAGTACCATGACCGTGGTTGAGTCACGAGTCGGTCGCGTCACCGTGCCCCTTGGTGCCCCCGTGGGCCGGGTGCGCCGATCTGTTGAGCGGCCGTGGCATGATCCACACTATCCGCGGTGCGCAGCGCATTAGCCAGCGCTAAACAACACGCTGGCGTGTCATGCCTCTTCTCTCAACACCCCATTCTCTCAGCTTCTCCTTCCCTTGTCATCGAACATAGCTGACAACCAGGCTGTGGACGCCAGTTCACCCGCTCCGACGCGATGAACAAGCACGTGCGCGCGATTCATGGTGCGGGTGGCGGAGGCCGTCGGCGCCGCGGGGCCGCGACCGAGGTCTTCCTGAAGGGCGGCGACGGTGACGATGAGCCGTCGGCCGCCATCCGCGATCTGGTGAAGGACGACGACCTGTGCGACGTCGTGCAGCGCCTGTACTCGCGCGACCGCATCTCCTACAAGCCGTCGAGCGAGGACGAGAAGACGGCGCTCAAGTACATGCGCGACAGCCGGCCGGGGGGCGCGCCCTCGCGCCGCCGCGGAGGGCCGAGAGGCGGCAAGCGCCCGGGCTCGGACAGCGACGAGTTTGACGAGGGCGTGTCGAAGCGCTTCCCGCCCGACCGCACCGTGGAGGGGTACATGACGGATCCGGCCGGCGACGCCGAGCTCCCCGTCATGAGCCGCAACAGGTGGCAGGCCAAGTACATCATGGCCAAGGCCAAACTCATGCTCGTCGAGGAGGAGAATAAGATGAGAAGGGACGAGCTCGCGTTCTGGATGGAGTACGAGGACCAGGTCCTTGGCGGCAAGGACAGAGACGTCGATATGTAGTACACTCGCACGTCCGCTCCGCTTCCACAGCATCCCGCCCATCAAGCTTATGCGATCCAACAGCAGTATCCCGGCTTGCAGCACCCCAGCTACCCGTTCATCCAGCCCTACCAGCGCCGCTGACGGAGCTTCTTTTCCATTTGGTAGTCGCGCCGGCGACCTACACTTCGACTCTTTCAGCTACGAAAACCTCCGGCGCGACCTACACTTCGACTCTTTCAGCTACGAAAACCTCGGCCGACCTTCACGTCAGTCCGAGCCAAGTAAAAGCAGCGACTATGCAACCTGTTGTACCGATACACATCATGCATGCAACTTGCGTAAGAATGGCGAGGTCGATTGTCTGATTACAACTACGTCCTCGTTGTTTTGGGGGGAGAGGGATGCCTGATTAACTGCTGAAACTAACTTCCTAAATCTATGAGAGCGCTGGGAGTGGCGCCGGGAGGAGCTGAGACGCTTAGTTGATCTGGGGCATGGAGACGGCGGCGCGGCTCGAGAGCGAGTCCTGGTGAGGCCAGAGGGCGGTGGTGGTCTTGCGGACGGTGTAGAAGTCGAGACCAGTCTTGCCGTAGAAGGGGATGTCGCCCATGAACGAGCCCTTGGAGCCGGACCAGTTGAACATGGGGAGGGGGACGGGGATGGCGACGTTGATGCCGATCTGTCCGGGCTCGGCCTGGATCTCAAACTTGCGCGCAGTGGCGCCAGAGTTGGTGAAGATGGCGGCACCGTTGCCGTACTTGTTGGCGTTGATGATGTCGATCGCCTCGTCCATGGTCTCGGCCGAGATGATGTTGAGGACGGGGCCGAAGATCTCGTTCTTGTACGCCGACATGTTGGTGTCGACCTCGACGACGGTGGGGCCGACAAAGTTGCCGTTCGGGTACTCGGGGACGACGTGGCCACGGCCGTCGAGGAGGATCTTGCCGCCCTCCTTCTCGACAGAGCCGATGAGCGACTCGATGCGCTCACGGGCCTGGGGGGAGATGACCGGTCCGAGGTCAGCGCCCTCCTCGAAGCCGCCAGAGACCTTGAGGCCCTTGGCGCGCTCGATGAGCTCGGGGATCCACTTGCGCGACTCGCCGACAAAGATGGCGACGGAAAGAGCCATGCAGCGCTGGCCGGCGGCACCAAAGGCGGCACCGGCAACGGCGTTGAGGGTAAGGTTCTTGTTGGCGTCGGGCATGATGACGGCGTGGTTCTTGGCACCGAGGTTGGCCTGGACACGCTTGCCCTGGACAATGGCACGGTCGTAGATGTGCTTGCCGGCAGTGTCACCACCGACGAACGAGATGGCCTTGATCTCGGGGGCGTCGCAGATGGCGTTGACAGTGTTGGCAGAGCCGTGGACGACGTTGAAGACACCGTCGGGGAGACCGGCCTTCTTGCAGAGCTCGGCAATGATCATGGTGGCTCCGGGGTCACGCTCAGAGGGCTTGACAATGAGGGTGTTGCCGGTGACGGTGGCGAGGGCAGCCGACCAGAGGACGATCATGGCGGGGAAGTTGAAGGGGGTGATAGCGGCGGTGACACCGAGGGGGAGACGACGGGAGTAGGTGTCCATGTCGTTGGTGACCTCGAGCTTGTCGCCGAGGAGGGTCGAGGTGATGGCGGTGGCAGCCTCAACAACCTGGAGACCACGGCCGACGTCACCCTGGGCGTCGGCGAAGGTCTTGCCCTGCTCAAGAACAATCGACTTGGCGATGTCCGGGGTGTGCTCGCGGATGAGGTGAAGGAGCTCGAACATGACACGCTGGCGGCGCATGATCGAGGTGGTCGACCACGACTTGTACGCCTCAGAGGCGGCGTCGACGGCCTGCTGGAACTCCTCGGCGGTGGTCTCGGGGACGCGGGTGACAACAGCCTGCGACGACTGGGAGGGTTAGCTTCTGGAAATCGAGATCTGTGCGCTGGATACGCCGCCGTCCGTGTCCGTGTCTGCTGGGCCGGGACTCGGAGGTCACCGTTTGTCAGGTCCCAACACGGTCCCCTTGCTCCCAGAGAACGTCGGAACACGACGATATCAGCTTATCTGTACTCACGGGGTCGCGGACCTCGAGCCAGTCCTTGGCCTTCGAGTCGGTGAACTGGCCACCAATGAAGTTCTTGGTGTTGCCGCCGGTGGCAGAGGTTCCAGCCCACTTGGAGGAGACCTCGTCGGCGTACTGGCGGGCGATCTGGGAGAGGGCCGAGATCTCGGCGGCCTTGACGTTGGAGGCCGAGGAGGCGTAGCCGCGCGCGAGGCGGACGGTGGTGGGGGCGATGCGAGCGGACCTGAGCATTGCGAGTGAGTGGTGAGAGGGGGAGGGGTTGGGGAGAAAGAGAAGGATGAGCAAGCCAGCTGGGGCGATATAAAGGATTCCCGCCTCTGTGAGCCAGGTACGGCTCGCTGCTTTAGCTCTGCTATCTGCGCACAAAGGCAAGCTCCAGGCGAGCGAGGTACACCACCGGCCGCGCCCCCCGCGCCCCAGGCTAAGTTGGGCCCGGCGCTCGGCTCGGATCTAATAGCCGAGCTTAGGCGAGATACTGCTCGGCAACGGTTTTTATCAGTGCCCACTGAGCAGCCCTGACCCCGCATCCTAATCTGTATTAGAAACCGTGTGTAATCTTCAAATAGACGCCGGATTAACACTTCGTGGTCCATGTCGAGTGCCGTGCCGCGCCTTGCTTACACGTTCCGAGGACGGTCGGCTTAACTTTTTTTCTGGGCACTAGGTCCAGCCCGCCTGGCATGGGCACAGACTCCCACTACCAGCGCCTACCTACCCCGCACGGCCAGGCGGCCCAGTTACGTTGCCCACTACAATGCAGGACGTGTAGCACCGTGCGGTATACACGGTGGTCGTGGCGTCTAAACGCTGTGTCGCTGGCTGAGTCTCGGTCCACTGGGTGTTCGCTTATCACGCCAGCATCACTGGTCAGTCGGCCGGCCGTGTCCAGCGCTGGCGCCCACACACGTGGAAATGACAACTGCGACAATGCATCAGAGCCTCGGCCCAGAACAACCAACGAATGGAGGCCAGCGCGCTCTCAAGCACTAGGGTTAGGTGTGGGGAAGTTGACGCCCATGTCGGGGTATCACTTTCGGCCACTCGGCTGTCTCGTCATGCCGATCTCTGGTGCCTCCACTGTATACGCCGGGTGCGGGGTCTGCGGCGCCAGCACCCAACAAACTTTCCACGGTCGGAGCACCGTCTGACACCATCGGTCCCCACGCTGATGCATGGCTACCTCTGTGCCAGCTACACGATACATGATACATTTTACATGGGTGGAAAACCTAAACTCCGCCATTGACACATGGCCCACATGCACACATGCCTGCGTCTTATCCCCGCTCGCTGCGCCGCCTCCCCCGCCGCGCTCTGCCGCTCCCTTCATACCGCCATTCCGCCGCACATCTGTGACCCTCGCCGCCGTTCCGCTACAGCTCACCCACGCCGCTGACGCCAAGATCGCGCCAGAGCTTCGGTCGCCCCTTGTCCTCCCCCGTAAAGTATGCCGCGGCGGACGGTTGAGAGACATCGTCGGCCCACTGGCAACTGTGCCCCTGCTTCTCGAGCAGGACCTTGACGGTAGCCCATGAGAATCGCACCATGCCGCGATAACCGAACACAGGGTCCAGCTGTTGGCGAAGGAATGCCTGTGTTTTGGGATCTGGCAGTCAGCTAAGTGTTCCTCCACTTGTGGACGCTGTGCGGTGATTCGTCGCTCCGCCGTTCATGGCGCTGGTTGCCGCAAGCCGCACCGGCACTTCGGCACAGCTGTATACGCTGCAATACCGCCCCCGCACTTACCAGATGGGTAGCCGCTTCCGCGAATCAGCTCCTCTGCCTCCTCATCACCGGCGCCAGCGGAGCCGGGCATCGGACCCTCAGCATCGACCCAGCCCTCAATGTACCGGTCGCGCGTGACTTTCGCGACGATCGACGCCGCGCCGACGATCTTGAACAGCGAGTCGGCCTTCGGGCATACAAGGAACTTGATCGTCGGGAATTCGGCAGACAGCTTGTCTTGCCATACCTGGGATGGGCCTAGGGCGTCGACGAAGCACTGCTGTTAGCTCGCAGACAAAGGTGGACACAGCTCTGAGAGGTGGGCTAGTCATGAAGAGAAAGAGTGAAGTTGGCATGAAAAGTGGCCATTGATGTTGCGGAAGGAAGACTCACCTCCTGCACGTTGATCCCCCGGTCGAGCGCCGCTCGGATCAACCCCATCGTCGCGTCCTGCGCCTGCTGATTCAGGTTGATGGGAACCTTGCGGAGCATGGCGGCCGAGATGGCTTGCGGAGCCAGAGTTGATGAAGAGTAGCACAATTCGGGGTGCACATCGAATGCCTCCCACAGAGACTGTCGCACTTGCGGCGTGAGAGCCTTGGAATCTGGTCGTCAGTAACACTCCGGCCCCGAGACTCACCATCGAAGCCGAGTCCCTCGAGTGTCGGCTTGAACGACATCGGGCAGAACGCGCAGGCATACACCATCGGTCCAAGGACGGCTGGAATGTAAGCATTGCTTTCAGTATGGCCATTGCAGAGGCTGCTCTGGTGACTCACGTCCTCGCCCAGCCTCGTCGATACCCATGATCCACCCGCCCTTGTTCGCATCGCTCCCCGGCGCTGCCTCAGGCGGTAGCTGAGAGTGGAAGACGTACGAGTCCTGAAGTGCCGGAATGGGTTCGAGGTTGACTGGGTCCGTCATTGTGGTTACTGTCTTCCTTCTTGCCTGTCGTTGCTGTTTGTTATTGCGATCTGTCGCCGCTCATGTCCAGCGACGCGTCGAAAATGAGGCGCGTCGCGCAGACTGATACCACCCGTCCGGTGGAGGTCACCGGGTACACCTCAATACCGACCACGTGGCGTACCGGGACGTCATAGCTCGATGTTGTCACCTTCTCCGATCGCTACCTTCGATAGATCTGACCACGACAACGGCCATGCCGAAGAAGAACAAGCGCGCAAAGGCCAAGGCTAAGGCTAAGGCTGCGCCGCCGAAACCTGCGCCGCCACCTGCAGAGACGCAAGAAGAGACACCGAGCGTGGAGAGCAAGAGCAAGGACGTCTCTGACGCCCCGGAACAACCGCCGAAACGTAAGCTTGAAGCGTCGCCCTCAGAGCTGACCAACAGCGGTTGAAGAGAAGGCTGAGTCTGTCGGTGGAGACGAGAGCGATACGACAGAGGACGGAGACGAAGCACCTGCCGAGCCGAACGTGGACGACAAGGCTGCTGACGCCACCGAACCGATCGCCGATCCGCCGAAGGAAGAAGAGAAGGTCAATGAGCCGTTAGAGCCGTCCACGACGGAGCCGAGTCCCGATACCCCAGAGGAGGAGAAAGGAGAAGAGGAGGAGGCGAGGTCCAAGTCTCCAAGTCCCAGCCCACCATCCGAATTCTCCAAAGACAACAGTGCCCCGGTCACATCCGAGGATGCCGAGGAAGACACAGCTGAAGCGACCACCGCGGCCACGACGGCCGAGAAGCAGGAGGACGAAGTGACAGCCTCTCCGATTGGGGAAGCGTCGAAGGAGGACCCTCCGAATGCTGAAAGCGTAGCGGACCCAGACAGCGACGCATCGGCTGAGGAGGACGACAGCGACGAGGAAGACGAGGACGAGGAAGGCGACGAGGATGGCGTCGACAAGGATGAGGAGGAAGAGGAACCCGTCGGCGCCGAAAGAGAAGCCGAGAGTGTTGGCGAAGACGAAGAGGATGATACCGATGGGGAGTCCGAGGATGACGAGGAAGACGAAGACGACGAGTCCGATGACGAGGACGACGATGAGGACGAGGAACCGTGAGTTGCCAATATTCTATCCCAGCTGACCACAGTGTGCTCAAGTACGAGCGAGTGAAGAATCGGGTACCAGAGATCCTGGGCAAGGACAGTGCAACTGCCCTGGACGTGTCATCCCGCGTTGTTGCGCTGGGCACTCAGAACGGCATGGTACATGTGCTCACGTACGAGGGAGCAAAGGTCAACTCCTTCCGGCCACATGCTGCCAACGTCACGGCCCTGAGGCTAGACGAGGACAACGACTTTGTCGCAACGGCCAGCATGGAGGGTGAGTTGTAGCATGGAGATCGTACGAACTGACATTCAGGCCGCGTAGTGATTCACTCACTCACGAGCACCGAGTCGTACGCGTTCGACTACAAGCGTCCGATGAACGCCATCGCGCTCGAACCTGGCTTTGCGAAGAGCAAGAATCGACGATTCGTGTGCGGCGGTATGCTGGGCAACCTCGTTCTGCAGGAGAAGGGCTGGCTCGGTTACCGCGAGCAGATCCTGCACTCGGGAGAGGGTCCTATCTGGGCAATCGAATGGAGGGGCAACTTGATCGCGTGGGCTAATGACCACGGCGTTAAGATCTACGACACAGTGTCACAGCAACGGATAGGTTACGTCGACCGAGGAGCCAATGCTCCGCGAGCCGAGCTTTTCAAGCCAACACTTGTGTGGAAGGACGACCGGACACTCGTGATCGGGTGGGCGGACTACGTGAAGGTTGTGCGCGTGCGCAACAGACCAAAGGGCCAACAAGGACTGCCACCTCTTAGTATCGAGGTGCTCTCGGTCTGGGAGGTGGACTGCATGGTGGCCGGTCTCGCGCCGTATCACACGTCAGGCAACGTGATCCTCGCCTACATCCCGCCGGATACGTACGAGAATGAGGCGACGCAGGACCGCGCTGAACAGCGGCGAAAAGCCGCGAACCGGCCAGAGCTGCGCATCATCGATCGCGGTGACGAGATTGCCGCCGACGAGCTGGCCGTGGCGTCGTACGAGCTCTATGGCTGCAATGACTACCACCTCGCCGCCTCCAAGCGACAAGACGATGTCGACGTCTTCCTCGTTCTGACGCCGAGTGACCTCGTACTCGTCCGCCCTCGTGATGCCGCGGACCACATTGACTGGCTCGTCGATCGAGAGCGCTACGAAGAAGCCCTCACAGCAGCTGAAGAGTTACAGGCCAAGCACGGCGGTGCACTCGACGTCCAGGCCATTGGGTTAAAGTACATGCGCCATCTGGTCAGCGAGGAGAACTACGAGCAGGCAGCCTCGCTGGCGCCGAAGGTCTTGAGACGAGACGCCGAGTTGTGGGAGAGTTGGATCTACAAGTTTGCCCAGCACAACCATCTCGAGGTAAGCTGTCTGTTCCCTGGCGGTAGCTGACATCAGGAAATCATCTCCCGGATCCCTGTGAAGGACCCGGTGCTAAGCCCGGAGGTGTACGAGATGGTGCTGAACCACCTGCTGCTGAACGACAACACTGTGAGCTAATACTTGCGCTGGCGCTAAGCTTACGTCAGAAACTCTTGAGCACGGTCAAGGCGTGGCCCACGGACGTGTACGATAGCGATAAGGTTGTGTCTGCCGTCCAGAGTGAGCTGGGCGCGACCAAGGACGACCCTATGCTTCTCGAAGTCCTGGCCGAGCTGTACATTGGGCGCAACCAACCCGCCCGAGCGCTGCCGTACTACTTGCGTCTGCGAAAACCTAACGTGTTTGACCTCATCCGTGACTACAATCTGTTCGACGCCGTGCGGGACCAGGCGTTGCTGCTCGTCGAGTTTGATCAGGAGCGGATCAAGAATGACCCACAGGCCAAGGAGGGCAAACATGGCGCAGCGATTGAACTCCTGGTCAACCACGCTCTGGCGATTCCAGTGAGTCGAACATCAGCTTTGGCGCGTGTCTTCTGCAGCTGACGTACAGGTCGATCGGGTCGTGAAGCAGCTGTCAGCGAAGCCGCAATACCTGTACATGTACCTCGACGGGCTATTTGACGCGGACCCCGCCGCGTGCCAACCGTACAGTGACGAGATGGTCTCCCTGTACGCCGAGTACGACCATCCGCGGCTGATGCCGTTCCTCCGCGCCTCCAACTTCTACGACCTGGAGCGTGCGCTGCGCATCTGCGAGTCGCACGATTACGTGCATGAGACCGTCTTCCTGCTCGGCCGCATGGGCAACAACCTCAAGGCGCTGCACCTAATCATCGAGCGGCTAGGGGACGTGCGTCTCGCTATCGACTTTGCAGAGGAGCAGCGCGACGACGATCTCTGGGAGGCGCTGCTCGCGCACTCGGAAACGAGACCAGAGTTCATCCGCGCGCTGCTCGAGCACGGCGGCGAGATCAACCCCGTCCGCCTGATCCAGCGCATCAAGGAGGGACTCGAGATCCCGGGCCTCAAGCCCGCTCTCGTCAAGGTGCTCCAGGCATCCAACCTCAGCGTCACATTACTCGAAGGCTGCCAGCGCATCCTGAACGGCGACTGCAGCGGGCTCGCCATCACGCTGCAGCGCGGGCAGGTGACTGGCGCGCATGCGACTCGTGAGTGCTCACGCCGCTCACCTGCACTTCCTTTCGTCCAGCTGACCCCAGCCACCTCAACGTGCGCCGTGTGCGAGAAACCGCTCTTCGACGCCTCAAAGACGTCCGGCCCCGACTCGCTCGTGCTCGTCTATCTCTGCCGGCACCCCGTGCATGCGACGTGCGCAGTCTTGAACGACGACACGGAGCTCCCCGAGCGACCGGAGAATGCGGCCGCGCTCCGCCTCCTGCTCGCCGACAATGCGCCGAATGCGGCGCACCTCTCGAGCCATCGCGCGCAGCAGCGCGCCCTCGGCTCCAAGCTCAGCTACGAGGCGATGGTGCGTGTGCGTGTTGGGCCCTGTCCGGTCTGCGCACACGAGCGCGGGCAGCGGACGGGGCAGCAGGACCGCATGTCTGTTGTTCCAGGACGGCCGATACTCGCGTGATCGTCGAGAAGGTCGCCGCCTCATTCCTGTATGAGACAGTCAGCACGAAGGAGCAATGGCGCTCGGCCAACTCGGCATACTCGGCACACCAAGATGTGAGCAAGGTGTGAGGCGTGAGTCAGTCTCACGTCATGTCTCACGCGTGTTGCTGGAATCCGAACAACGGCAACGCGTGGAAGCAGTGCACGGGCCGACCCGCGACCCGCAGACACAGCACGCAGGCACTGCTACGGCACCGAGACGCGGGCAGCAGTGGAAAGGCAGCGGAGTTATGTAAGAGTTGTATGCATAGAGTTACTGGAACGGCTTCGTCCCGATGCTGATGCAGTAAGCGTACGAGAGGTGAGGTCTCGTGACGCTGGGTTCCTTGCGCTTTCCTTTTCCTCCAAACCTTCCCTTCCGCCTGCGTGAGTTGGGGAAGGAAAGGATGGGGCAGAGGGGAAAGCCAAGGAGGGGAATAGCGAAGAGGGAATAGTGAACAGGGGTAAGAGAGAAAGCAATGGAATCAATATAGAAACTATGTACAAGGTATCGAATAGTCCTTGGAGATTTGTACCCAAATAGAGAGATGAAAAAGTGTCCGTTTGTTTGGCGGCTAGCGCGGTTGCGGCTTGCGCGTGCAGTGTCCAGTGTGTTGTTGTTCGATGCTAGGTTGAGGGTTGAGAGGGTTGAGGGTTGGGGCGAGGAGGGGCAAGATGAGCCGACGAGGACAGAGAGGGTCAAACAGCCGCGTTGGAGTAAGCCCAGGGAGGCTTGACCGAGTGATCAAACTAACACAAGGCAGAGAGCTCACGAGAGAGAGAGAGCGAGATAGAATAGCAGGGGTAAGAAGGGTGGGAACAGAGTTGAGTTCCGACGCGGCATGTGTAAGAGGATGCCGTTGTTTCGCGTTTCCGCCGAAAGCGCGGGATCGCGGGCCAGGGCAAGCTGCGTTTTCGCTCCCAGACATCTCTAGCTAGAATGCAGCGGGCAGGCGGGCAGGCGGGCTTCGGTCAGAGCTTCGAATGCTTGGAGCAGTTATGCCTACCGAGCATAGGCTAGCTCATGCCCGCTCTGCTGTGCGCTCTTGGATTCGATGGGGTTGGGTGGCGAAATGAGCGAAATGACTGCGGCCATGCGGCCAACCAGACCCGCTGCCTGCGGAGCAGAAGCGATAAGCAGCAGCGAGTTGGCGGCGCGATCGGACTTGCAGCCCTCGCTCGTTCGGGGCGAACAGAACACTGAACCCGACTGCGCTGGATGTACCAGGAGCCAACTGCGAGTCTGGGCTGACAGGCTGGCGGCTGAGACAAGTGGCGCCGTGTGTGGCGTGTCGTCGAATTCGGTGCCGTGGCGGTTCAGCCTGTCGCGAGGTCCTGGCGGCGTGCGCGGCGTCGTCCTCTGCGAATGTTGGCTGCTTGTGTGGATGAAAGGTGAGGCTGATGTCGTCGAGGCGTGGGGATGAGGCGTGAAGTTGAGGCGTGTGAGGCGACATGAGGCTGGGGTGGTTGTGGGAGCATGCAATGATTGGAGGCGATGGTGCGAGGCAGCTGCGACAATGTCACGAGGCAGCGGTGAGGCAAAGGGTGGTGGGCACGCTGTTGCTGCGCGGCATGAGGCTTAGTGCAGATCAAGCATGTGCTCGAGCGCCGGGCCGTTGCCCTCTGCCAGATCCGTGACGAGGAGATGCAGGCTGCCCAGCGCGAGCGTAATGGTACACAGCGCGAGGAGCGCCGCTATCCGCCTTGCGAGAGCGCTGGTGCCCTTGCTGCCCGGCTCAGCAGCGACGGGGACAGGTAACCGCCTGCTGTCGCGCTCGACGAGATCCCAGCTCGCGACAGAGGTAACCACTCCGCCGATGCGGTTGAGAACCTCGAGGTCCCAGTCACCAATCTCAGCGGAGAGGACAGAGGCGAAGGATGTGAACACACCAAAGAAGGCGATGAACACAGCCCAGACGCCCGAGAAGAGGCGCCTGATGTCGACACCGAGGGCGAAGGACGTCGCCTCGATGAAGCTCGGTTCCGGCTTGGCGGGGGCGAACTTGAAGCCGTAGGCGACGGAGAGGTGGCCGTTCGGGTGGAAGGTGTGTTGCCGCGCCTGGGAGATGATGAGCTGCGCGTACGGCTCGTTGATCGTCGGGGCGGGGGAGAGGACGATGGCCGGCGCAGAGGCTGATGGAGGGAGGAGCGTAACGTCCTCCATTTTGATCGATGCTATCGTATGTCGACGATCGGAAGGTGGTGAACGGTCGACAGTGACAGCTGGATGACAAGGGGAGGGTCGAGATGAGGGAGGAGGGGAGATAAAGGGAGGAGGTAAAGAACGACTGGACACTGATGGACGAAAAACAAGATAAAGCGCAACGCTAACAAACACCGAGCAGGCCGCCGAGCAGCTTGCGAGGGATGTCGGGCGAAGAGGCGTCGGGCGCTACGTTCGGAAGAATGGATGTGTGAGAAAGAATGCTAAGAGATGTCGAGATTGCGTTTGGGCGCTATTTTTCGGTGTCCAGATGGGTTCTGTGGACCCAGTCTTGGACGCTGGCAGCCGGAATGCGTTCGATGTTTCGCTCTCCTCGATGCTCGATCCCAGACGTCAGACAAGCGCTGAGGATTGCAGCAGCATCCAGGAGCCAGGGGGACAACGCAATTGGTGTCACTACGTCAGAGCCGGCGTACCAGGAACGGAGCAGGACGCGGGCAGCAATTGCAGGGTAATTAGGGAATCGCAGGGTCGAAGAGGGGAGGGCAGGGAAGGGGATCGATGCGGCAAGGCAGTCGAAGCAGATGCAGGCGGCGGCAGCAGAGGCGGCTAAGGCGGCAGGGGGGCAAAGGCAAGGGACGAGCGATCACTGGTAATATCACGGGTAGTACCGATGGGCTCCTGTACGATGCTTGGTTTTCGGAGAGTTGTACGGGGACGTGGTCGATGTCAGTGTGGGTGCGGGACAGGCGGGGCGCTGCACGGGCTCTCTTCTCGCTTGCTTCTTAAGACCTGCTTGTAGCCGTATAAAACACACTCGAAGCATGCTCTGTGAAGCTGTAACGGGGGGGCACAATCTTGTCAGAACGGGGGTCCTCGAGCTCGATTGACATCATCCACACCACACGCTACCGCTGCACCAGACGATCGTGCGTTGCGCAGCCCACGGCCGCCGCCATGGCTAGTGCGCCGCTAGTCAAGAGAAGGGGTATTGGCCGTGGTGGTGCCCAAACACCAGGTAACTGGCAACTCTAAACTTGTGGTAGCAGAGTTCTAGCGCAGAGCCAACGCGGCACCGTTCTCACACACTCGATCCACCGTCCTGGCTCCCTGTGCCTGCGACCCTGCATCCGGGTTCTTCCCTGAAATCATCCGACCTTCTTCAGGCGCGAGCGCTCTAGCCTTGGGGCCGGAGACAGAGTCCTTCCGCCGTACTGACCATACAGGTCCAAGGCGGCATGCACGGTCTCCGATCTCCTCTTCTGCATCGTGTACGAAGTGCGCGCCAGCCTCCTCGGACATCGGCATACTAACCGCACTGACTGTTGAATGCTGACAATGCTGACGCTCAGCCGTACGCCCAGATACGGATCGAAGATCAGATGCCAGATTCACCGAACACCCGAACTTTGATCTAGAAACGAGGTCCATGCCGTCGCCAGTGTGCTTGCTCGCTGCTCGACGCCCTGCAGACGTTCCCACACACACACGCAATGGCTTCCGAGCCGAGATACCGCAATGCCGGCTCTTGGTATTCTTCGCATCAACCGTATTTCGTCCTGACCGTGGTGGTGGTGGCGAGGGCGCTGAATGTATTTGGCGCCTGCCTTTCAACCACTCAGTCGCCTCCAGCGGCGTCCGACGCCACCAAAACATAGGTAAATGCGGAAACGGCCCGAAAGCGAAGCGAAGTTGCAGACAACCCATGCAATCCCACCCAGAGGTCGGAGAGTGGACATCCGCCAAGTCATGCACTAACGGCTCGACCGGCTTCTGTTAATTCACGGACTAATAAAACACGGCTAGCAGCACTACTGAATCGTACAATCTGATGTGCAGACTTGTCCTAAACTGCGGATCTGCCTTCGTTTAGCATCTGCCGTTGCGAACAAGACAGCGAGCAGCTTCTGCCGTGTAATGGATCTCGTCTGCAAGCCACGAGTCCAGACTGTTTTGGAAGACCGCTCGACCTACCAACCTCTTGGCAGCGAGGTTAGCCATGAGCCATTAAGAAGCGTTGCAAAGAGGTCAAGTGAGCATCAGAATGCCGCTGCCGATCGGGCTGAATGCTCCGAGCCACGGAACCTCAAAAAGCGCGGCGTTCGCTCGTACTGAAAATACCTGCTTATTCCAGGTAAACCATGAATCGCCTCAATAGCCATGAATACCCCGCTTCCTGGTCCGACCCACTGTTGCGCGCTGTTCATTTGCCAGTTTTGTACGGACCCACGCTGCTTTATGGGTCGAGCCCAAAATCCCACTCCGGCGGATCACTCTAGCCCCCAGCCTCGCGAGCCTCGGACTTGCTGGTCCCTGCGGCGGCCGGACTCTCGGCTTTCCGCTGTCCTTGCCCATCACTGGCGAGTTGACGGTGCTTGGGGTAAAGTTGAGTGGGCTTTGGATCGCCACGGGCCTTGGAAACCAAGTTAGCGGACGCCGCGTGCCTTGCGTCGAGGGCTCGGTCTGCAGATCGCGCCGAGCGAGCGGCGGCAGCGGAGGCAGACCGAGCACGCGTCGTTCGTGCTGCGCAAGGCGTCATCTATGCGCCGAGGTCGCCGAACGCTATCCACACAAGGCCTGCGACGATCCGCAGGTGGTGCATTTAGTGTCCAGACCAGTTACTGCTACACTTGACATTCACCGAAGTATATCCAGCTGTCCCATCCCCTATCAATACCGCTGTCCTGTATCAGCACTATTGTCGGCCAACGTGCACAAGCGTGCACTGTCTGCAGCACCAAAGACAGCCCATGTGCTGCGGGACGAGCATCTAACAGCACACCAGCTGCATGCCAATTGGCTCCAGTCTCCCGTCCTCATGCGGCACAACGTTGGTGCGTGCTCTTCCTCGTGGGCGGCATGCATAGCGCCCTACACCCCTGAAACGAAGTGTAGCGGAATGAGCTCCGAAATGACCAGTCCTAAGGCCTAATGAAATCCGACGGTGTCTGGTGCGCATGGTGCGGACAGGTGGGACCGCTGCCGTACTGATGAGCGCATATGAGCGCTTGATGACATTGACTGAGGGACGGGAATTGCCAGTATTGGCAGGAATCACCTAAGTGTACCTGGGTCAATCAGCGATACCGGCACGCCCACTATAGCATTATCGGATGCTGACTGTACTGACTGGGATACTCACTCGCTGCTCATCGCATGTCACTTCCAGCGCTTCACTCCCAGCCTAACCGCACCAGAGTAGGCGCCTACTGTGCGCAGAGGTTACGCCGGAAGCCCGTCCAAGCACACCTCTAGCTAGTATGCACCAATCATGCGCAGTCCGTGCCCAAAAACACCTGCCCAGCGCCTGAGAGCACCTGTGGCTTCACTGCATCCCTCACTCGACCCTCATGCCGCACGCCCGTCGCACCGTCCCTGTCGATCGCTCTTCGGTCCTCCCTGGGTGCAAAACTTCTTCGGCCAACTTTGCTCAACCACAGGTTGCCATAGGTTGACTTCAGCTGCAACCCCCGAATTCCTCAAGTGCCAAGCCCGACTAATCGATGCCGAAAGAGTACTGCTGATCACCGAGTAATCCGGCGGCTTCATTCCTCCGCTGCGCTCGCGGTGCAAACGTGCTTCAGCTGCAAACGGTAGTGTGCGCACTCCACTTTACAGCACGGGCGAGCACATGTGTTCTGGTGTGCTTGCACATGTGTTCGCCGGCATACACGGCATGCACGGCTGAGCTGATGCTAGCGATTTCGGACGGCTGGCCGAGAACGGTTTGACGCTACGATGCTCCAACGCTGCTCCGCACCGCACAGTCCACAATCGACAGAGCTACGAGATAAGACGTCAAAGCTAGGATGCTCTGCATGCGTGGCTGCGCGCTCCATGGTCTGGACCCGGCTCCGTTCCATCAAGCTCTGGGCTCATTCACAACGTTCACAAAGAGGGTGAGTGACCTTTCGAAGACTTCATCGGTTCCCGTACAATCAACGCACAAAGCATCGTACAATTATTGCACTGAGCTGATTGAATCAGACACTGTCGCAGACGAGACTGCGCAAGTCCAGACAATTCATAACTCTAATCTACACTCATGCTTATCGTCTGACCGGGCATACACTTCAAGCTTCACTCTCTCCAGACCTCTGCGTGAGAACGCACTCTTCATTAGTCATGCGCTTAGAGCTTGATCACTCTGGGTGACTCGCCGCTGTGGAGCTGGTGAGTAACGATCAACTGAAGTACCCTCAAGCAGCCTCCCTGCAAAGTAGCGTCTGATGTTGTGACCCACACACAAATAATGCATCATTGTTTGTTTCAGACACCGCCTGCGACCAGCGCAGACGAAATGTTCCTTTCTATGGTACTGATTAACGCTCAACGAGCGGGACTCCCGGTCGCGCACCCACGCGACAGGCTACGTTAGTTATAACTATCTATCTACGGAAGGGGTGAGGAGTAGTGTGTTGTGATTAGATGCCCATACCCGAGCGAGCGGCCGAGATGAGGGGGAAGCCCTCGAGGTCGCCGTCCATGGCCCAGACAGAGCAACCCTTGAGGCCAGCCTGAGCAGCGAACTGACCCTTGAGGTTGAACGACTCGGTGTCGTCGTACGTGATGATCTGGCCAGACGCCTCAGACTTGAGCCAGGGAGTAGACGAGCACTCGTCCCAGTTGCGGGTGAAGCCACCAGCGCCAGTGAAGCCGTTGCCGTCCTTGACAAGAGCACCCTGGTTGAAGATGGACGCAAAGGTGATCTGGCCAGAGGACGTGCCACCCTCGTCGTTCTTGATCGTGACAGCACGCTTCGAGACAGGGTAAGGGTAGGTGCGGCGCTGGAGATGGTCGGCGCTGGAGATCTGGATGTAGCCGTAGGCAGCGAGACCGAGAGAGATCTTGTGCGCGGGCATACCAGCACCGGTCCAGGCAGCGACAGCAGCGTAGGCGTTGGCAGTGGGCTGGGACGAGGTCTTGCAGCCGTCCTTGAGGGGTCCGTTGGGTCCAGGCTCAGTCGACGAGCCGTAGATGTCGTAGTTCATGATCAGGATCCAGTCAAAGATCTCGGCGAATCCGGAAACGTCGGACATGGGCTGGCCGCTGGAACCGTAGAAGGGCCAGACCTGGGTAGCGGCAGTGATCAAGGCAGGAGACGGGAGAGCCTTGCGGAGCTCCTTTAGGAAGATGAGGTAGTTGTCCGAGTCGCTGGCAGACACGGCGTTGCCGGCCGCACCAGGAGCGCCGGGGTACTCCCAGTCGAGATCAATGCCATCGAGGTTGTACTTCTTGTAGGCGGAAACACAGGCGTCGACAAAGTTGGAACGGCCAGAGGCGGTGCTCATGATCGTGGAGAAGTGAGCAGAACCAGTCCAGCCACCGATGGAAAGAACGACACGCTTGCCGGCCGAGTGAGCAGAGTTGGCGAGACGGGTGAGCAGGTCAGGACCGTTGCCCTGCGAGAACTGCAGGACACCAGAGGCATCAGGCTCAGCGAAGGCGTAGTTGACGACGTCGAACTTGGACCAGTCGATGGACTCGGGGGGAAGCTTGTTGGCGGTCCAGTCGGCCCAGTAGCCGCTCAGGATCCGGTCACCGGTGTCACCAGTGGGCTTGGGAACGCTGGGAGACGACTCGGCAGTGGAAGAAGGGGCCTGAGAAGGAACCTGGGAAGGAGCCTGGGAGGGGGTCTCGGTAGCCGAGGCGGTGGCAGTGCCAGAGGGCGTCCACGCGCCATCACCGGGACCGGGAGTCCACCAGACCGTGGTCGAGGTCGTGTCGGGCTGCCACCAGGGCGAGGTGCTCGTGGGCTCGGTGCCTTCGTCTGTGTCAGTAGGGCTAATCCAGTCGTCAGAGTCGCGGCTCGAGACCGAAACCCAGACCGAGGAAGCCTCGGAGCTGGAAGCGGACTCGATCGAGCCAGACGCCGAAGCGCTAGGCGTGGGGGACGCGGATGGAGACTCGGACGTGCTTGAGGCAGTGCCCGAGTCGTCGCTCGGCGAAGGAGAGCTAGCGGACGGGGTCTCCGACGCCGCAGCAGACGAAGCGGAGGCCTCGTTGCTGGCTGAGGCGCTGGCGGACTCGGTAACGGAAGCGGAGGCGGAGCTCGCCGAGGCAGACTCGGAAGCAGAAGCAGTGGCAGAAGCCGTCGCGGAGGCACTGGGCTCACCAGGGGTAACCGAACCGGCAGAGGCGGAGACGATGTCGGAGGGCGCAGTGCCTGAAGGAGCGTTAGAGCTGCTCGGTTCGGTCTCGTTGCCGGAAGGGAGAGCGCTGGGGAGAGCAGAGGTGACGTTGGCGCTCGCCGAGGGCTCAGGAAGGGTGACGTTGCCGGAGGGGAGCGCAGTGGGGAGAGCGGAGGAGATGTCCGCGCTCGTAGATGGCTCCGTCTCGTTGCCCGAAGCAGTGGGCAGAGCGGACGTCACGTTCGAGCTGGCAGAAGGCTCGGTACCATTGCCCGACGGGGAAGCAGTGGGCAGAGCAGACGTCACGTTGGCGCTGGCAGAAGGTTCCGTCTCATTGCCCGAGGGAAGAGGTGTCGGGAGCACCGAAGTGGCGTTGGCGCTGACCGACGGCTCAGTCACATTGCCAGAGGGAAGGGCAGACGGCAGAGCCGAAGTCGAGTTGTCGCTCGGCGACGGCTCAGTCTCGTTGCCAGAAGGCAGGGCCGAGGGCAGCAGAGAGGTACCGTTCGCAGTCGGCGAAGGCTGGGTTCCGTTGCCGCTGGGCAGAGCGGTGGGCAGCAACGAGGTGGAGTTGCCTCCAGTGGGAGAAGGAAGGGTCTCATTTCCGGAAGGGGAAGACGTGGGCAGAACGCTCGTGGCGTTCGCCTCCGAAGAAGGAGACGGGAGAGCAGTGTCGTTGCCAGTGATGCTAGGGAGAGGCACCGCGGTGGGGTCTGAGGAAGGGGCACCAGTGGGGTCAACCCAGATGGTCTGGGTCGTGGTCATCGGAACAACGATGGTGGTCGTAGCCGTAATGGGCAGGCCACGCTCGTCGAAGCCAATGACATCGCCGGGGTAGAAGTAACGCTTACCTTCCTCAATGTTCTGGCGGACGGCAATGTGCTCTCCCTTCTGGCGGAACTGGACGTAGTGGTCCCCGCCAGCGGGTTCCGGGCTACGCTTCACAGGGTTCAGCTCGCCCTTCTGGCGGAACTGGACGTAGTGATCACCGCCAGCGGCGTTCACTCCGGCCAGCGCGGGGAGAACCAGCAGAAGTGCGTTGAGCATGACGAAGCGTGAAGGCACACAACACGGGTGGGATGGGGGTTAGGGGGTTGGGGAAGACCGGCTTCCGATGGTTGACAGCGCAGCTGTGTTGGTTGACGAGGCCCTCCGGGGGTTGTTGAACGCGAGGTTGCACAGCAAGCCTGGCGAGATGGGTGGTGGGAGTCAAGTTAGAGGTGGTGGGTGAAGAAGAAGAAGAAGAAATGGGGATCGGGGGAAGAATCTCTTTTGACCTGCGCAAGAGCAGCGAGCCCGGCGACTACGCCTCTGCAGCTCCTACTGGCTGGCTTACGCTAGCTCATTACTCTCGTCTACCCCAGGCCCTTAATCCTCCGAAGCCCTGTCGGGCTCATCGCGTGGGCGTGCACGCCGCCCGTGCAGGCCGAACAATGCTGCAGGCTCTTCACTGTCAGCTGCTAACTAGAGATGGGTGTGCAGATGGCTGACCAGGTAAATGACAGTCCACTGAATGGGGTAGCTCACATTTGGGCATACCGCTTCAGGGTCAACGTCGCCACCACTAAATAAAAATCAGACGCGCCATCACACCTCTCTTGTCCGCGTCCCTCGGCTCGCCCGCCTTGGCTTCTTGGACCGCCTTGGGTCTCCTTGGCTCGTCGTCGGCGCCTGTAGAGCCCTTGGTCTGCAATATCCAGGAACTTTGATTACGGCCTCACCCTGCCGCTGGCCAGTAGGAGAGTGTCGCGCAGCAGTCACCCAACTCCCTTGGACGAGCATTGCGGTGGTTGAAACGTAACGCAGCTTAGGAGCCGTTGACGACGGCCCCTAGTTAAGGCGGTGTGCAGTCTCGGGTGGGCGAGGGACAAACCAAGTGGGTCGACGAGCGCTGGAATCATGTTGGCAGGCTGACGACAGCATGTTTGCGGCTGACATAGCCCACCGGTAGGCAGCTGCGAAGAAGCTTATCCTCGGAGCATTGTGGGGAAGCCACGGAGCCTGTTGCAGCCGGTGCACGGCTTGACGGTGACGACCCGCTCGAGACGAGCACCGCGCGCGCAGTGCTTTAGTGCGATCTCTTGTCAGGAGCATGACGTCGGCGGCTCCACGGACGCGGGGTCCGGGTGTTCCGGGACGTTCTGAGGGATCCCTCAGACAAAACCCACCGGTTAGTCAGACATTTCTGTGCGTCTAGAACAAAGAAGGAGTAAGCTTGAGAGCTTGAGAGCGACCCAACAAACCCACGAACAAGCTTGATCGTTCTCGGTCCTGGTGACTGACAGTCACACACTCGCCACGAGACATGCATGCTCAGCGCATACGGCACACCAGCTGCAGCGGAGCCAAAAGATAGATGGCTGCTCGTTGCTTGTTTACCTCTGTGGCTCAGGAACAAGTGTCCAGATCTACATGTGCGTGTGCTTGGCTCGTTTGATGAACTCAATTCCAGTGCTAATTAAAGCCAGCCTGGCAACGACACCATGCTCGGCACACTTTGCGTGCTCTCCCACTGGCTCCGATCTGCAGCTGTCCGTGACAGTGGTGTGACCGTGCTCAAGAAGAGCGGGAGGCGACGAGGGGTATCCACACTTATTCGGCCCTTCAGAGAGATGAGTAGGAGGCGGACGGTGCAGTTAATGCTGGGCTGCGGGGTGCGAAGTCTAATGCGTGACGTTTGATAGTAGTGAATGTGTTTAAGAAAAGAGGGTCGTACACTGGTTGCTGGACGCTAGTCGCTTGGGCTCACTTGACCATTGAGGGGGTGGTCAGCCTTCTATCCTCTCCACGCCATGTTCTCCACGGACGTCTCGGCGACGGCGGTGGCCCCGCGCCTGGCAACTCGGCCCCTTCCAGAAGTAGAAATATCGCAGGCTGGAGGCTACAGACTGACTGAATAGAGATGAACGCCATAGGGCCTCATCCTCCGTTCAGATTCGATCGAGCTCAGCGGCGGCGATGGCGAGCACCTGATTGTTTGGGCTGACGGTCGGAGGGACGTGGCTCTTACGTAAGACCACCTCGCTTCTGATTTACATAATCATCCCTCCATCGATGAGGCGCCACCGCTCTGTGCCAAGGAGAACAGCTGCAACGAAGTCGTCGTGCGGCGAGCTCTGAGGCGGATGGTCAAGGCAGAGCACGCAGGGGATGGTGGCCTGGTGACTTCGGCACCACACGCCAGATCGATCCTTTGCATGCCGCATCTCTCTGCAGAAAACAGTCCCTAGCTAAGTTCTCAAGGCATTTCTCACCCTCACACGCTGCACCAACCGCCTCGTCCGATGTGATGACGGTTACGTGACAAGCCCCACAACTGAGGCTCTTTTACGGTGCACACTCCATCTCCCAATCCTGGTTGGTGTTGGAGTCCACGCACCTCCACAGCTGGACGTCTCCGCTCATATAATTGCCGTCCTTCACATCAAGGCACATCACTACTGGTCAGCGCAGAGTGGAGGGGCAACTTACGAGTCTCAGTAGGCCCAACGGTGAGAGAACCGCGGCCGTCGGTGGTAAGGTGATAGAACTTCTGCCATTCGTTGACCCCATCGCTACACTCGGTGATGGAGGCGAGATCGCCATTCTTCGGCGGTGTGGATGTAGCTGCTGTCAGATGCGCCCGGGAGACGACCTACCATTGGCAGCCATGCAGCGGCCGTAGTTCAACTGGTTCTGGAGCACCCAGGTGTCCGTCGCCTCGTCCTGAACCCACTTCCAGTACGTGCCGCCCTGGCCGTTGCAGCGCTCCCTTACATTAGCTGAGCTATCACATTTCCACTCACATTCTCAACTTGAACTCGTAAGGGGGTGTTTTCTTCGTCGTCACATAGTTTATGCAGTAGTTGGGCTGGCCAGCGGGGTGGATCAAGACTCTGGTGGGAAATGGCACGAGTTTGAAGTCCGCCATCGCCAGGGTGGCGAAGAGCACAGATAGGTAGGTTAGTTGGAGCATAGCGTGTAGGGTTTCAGGTCGGCGGACACGAGCTTGTCCTGGTCTTCAGTGATCATTTTGTACAAACCAGGCTGGATCCTCAGTGTCTTGGCACCGTGGTCGATCCCTGCGACTGCGGATCATATGACCAGCGCTGCTCGGATCGATCCGACACCGCGAGGAAGTGATGATGCCACAGGAGACGGCAGAGGACGGAAGCAAGAGTCGCAATGTCCGAGGCACCCACTTCTCGTCGGCGCGTGAGTACGTACGCAATTATCTACCCTGCTCTCCACATTCCTTCCAAAGCTCAGCTACTGTACGTCACGTTCGGCGACGGAGACAATGTGCAGTGCATCAGGTGCAAATAAGCAGTTACAGAGCGCATGGGTCAGGGGGTGCTTTCGGCGTACGAAAGGCCTCTGCGTACTTGTGGCGGACGTCTGGCTCTCGCTCTCGCTGAGTTTTGAGCTAATGCATCACGGGCTAATGTTCGAGTCATATTGTTCGATGTCACGTTCACAGTCTTGTCAGACTCGCCGGCTTCGGAGGCTATAGGGGTTCGACGACCCATTGCTGGTTCGTGTTGCCGCCGACGCAGTACCACATCTGCACGATGCCCTTGTACAAGTCACCATTTCGAATGTCGAGGCATTGCTCTGGGGATCAGTGAGAACTCAGACACCGACACCCACCTTTCTGCTCTCCGGTGCTGGGGTCGATCATGGGGTTGCCCTTGATCTGGTTTCCGCGGAGGTACCACGACTGCCCCTGGTCGACCTGGGCGAGGTAGCAGACGTCAAACTTGAGCGGCGAACCGGCAGTACCGCGCGGGGGGTACGGATCGTTGCCGATAACTGGAGCGTCAGTGCAGCAAGCATTGGAACCCACAGTATCGGCTCGTGACGCAGAAACTGTAGTAGGTCGAGGGCCCCTCGTCGTCGTCGGGTACCTCAATGTCTGCAGCGGCGAGGTTTTGGAGCAGGATCGTGTCCTTCCCGCCCTCATTCGTGCGCATCCAACGCCATTGCTGATGCTTCGTATTGTCGTAGCAGGGCTCGCTGCGGTCAGCCGGTCTTCTCGAGCTGAATCACCCACACAAGGATGCCGAGCGTGTACTCCGAATCTGCCTTTACGTTCTCGGCGCCGGGGACGCTGAGGCAGTAGCTTGGGTCGGAGGCGGGGTGGACGAGGAAGCCGCGCGGACAGACCGCCGCTGAGACGGCAGTCAACGCAGAGAGGAGCACGGGGAGCAGCATAACAGTTTGTGTTCGTGGTTAGTGCAGTAGAGTCGATGAGGTCGGTGAGGCGTCTCTGCAACTCATTTCTGTGGGCCATTAATCATTGATCGAAGAGTGGAGTCGGGTGACTCCGAACGACGTTCCATAGGCACCATATCGACCCCACTGAGTTCGGGTCCGATGATCAAACGTTATCTTGGCCGATTGAATGGGTCCATAGTCTTGTCCTTCGTCATTCTCCCCAAATCGTGCGCTGTTCTCGTCACCGAGCCGCCTTCACCTTTCGTTACGAACGTCGGCAGGGTGCATCTCCGCTAATTCAGGTCAGCTGGTTCTGCGGTCTAGTAGACCTTGGCCTCGGCTTTGGCAAACCGAAGCGCTTCCTTCCATCATCCTATGCACCCTGTCATCAGCACGGAGCCTGCCCGGTCTCCGTCAGTTTCCAGCACTGAAAAGCATCGGAGAGCATTTGACCCGCAGGCGACTGACGGGCCTGCATCCGCGACGGGCCTGCATCCGCCACAGGCAGATAAGGGGGACCGTGTGAAACCATGGATCTAGCAATAGCTTCCTCCGACCTGGCGCTGGTCAAGCCGGACATTCCAGGTATCCCACAGCACCGAGAACGAAGCAGATGCACATGCTGAAGTGGCGTCCGCGGAAAACAACCCAACTCGGGCTTCGAACATGATGCCTGTCGTCCCCTGCCCAAATTGCACACGTAAGGCGGCCAATTTCCTAAGCGCGTAACGTGAAACCGCTGCATACAAGTCATATTAATGCACACAATCTATAAACCATACCAAACAACTAAGAGTGGGAGGACTGCTTCGGGATATCCTTCGGCTTGGACTTGCCATTACTCGCCCCCGTCCCCTCATGACCGGTGATATCCTTAATCTCGTCCGAAACATCAGGCAGAGCGACGCGGTGCCAATCAGCAAACCTCGACAGATCATCAATGACCGCGTCACAGGGGCACTCAGCGTCGGGATTGTTGTGGTCGTCGACGAGGTCCAGGAGATTCTCGGGGTCGACGACGAGCACCTTGAACCCGGCCTTGCTCAGGCGTTTAATGGCTTCGCGGATCATCTTGCGTGCGACGCCGTCGATGGAGTACACCTGCCTCAGGTCGACGACTACGGCGTCGACGGAGCTGTTGCTCAGCGCGGATCGCCGCGAGAGGATACGCAGCACGCGTTCGGCGGACGTGAATGTGATGGTTCCCTGGAGACTGAGGACGCCTGCCGTGTGCTGCGCCTTGCCGCCGGATGCGAGGGCGTCGGCACACTCGGGCGACTCGAGGATGTAATGCCGTCGCACGACGGAGCGGGACGGCTCCGGCGCGTGCATGATGTGCAGGCCCATGTCGTCGCTGAGCTTCTTGCACATCCTCACTCCGCGGACCGAGTTTCCGTGCGTGTCGAGCCGGGGCGAGAAGGTCGCAATCCCCAGCTGGCCCGGCAGCGCGCCGAGGATGCCGCCCGCCACGCCCGACTTGGCCGGGAAGCCGATCTGCGACACCCAGTCGCCAGCGCCGTTGTACATCCCACACGTCATCATGACGGAGAGCACCTGGCGCACGACGTCGGGGCGGCACACCCTCTCCCCCGTGATGGGCTGGATGCCGCCATTCGCCAATGTCGCGGCCATGAGCGCGAGGTCGCGACAGGTGACGCTAATGGCGCACTGGCGCGTGTATCCGTCGACGACCTCGAGAGGCTCGCCCGAGATGACGTGGTAGTTGCGCAGCATATTCGCAATGGCGCGGTTACGGTAGCTCTCCTTCATTTCCGAGGCGTAGATCTTCTCGTCGATCTGGAGCTCGCGGCCTGCAAAGGCGCTGAGACCCTTGCGGATCAGCTCGAGGCGCTCGGGCTCGGAAATGTCCGGCGGGCCCACGAGCGTGTGCGTCAGGATCGCGCCGGCGTTGATCATGGGGTTCAGCGGGCGGCGCGTGTCGCTCTCGAGCGACAGTTCGTTGAACGCCTCTCCCGAAGGCTCGACACCGACACGCTGCGTAACGTACTGCAGCCCGTGGTCCTCGAGCGCGAGCGCGTACACGAACGCCTTGCTGATGGACTGGATGCTGAACTCGACATCGGCGTCGCCGGAGCTGTACACGAATCCGTCGACTGTCGAGATACACACGGCGATACGATCGGGATCCGCATTGGCGAGTTCGGGGATGTAGGAGGCGTTCTGGCCGGGATTGTCCACTGAACAGAACTCCATCACGGATTTGAGATAGTCGCTGACTGGGGTCTGCATCTTGGCGCCCTTGAAGGCGACGTTTGAGCGCGAGGGACCGCATCCGTCAATCTTGCGGCCGATACCGTCCACCGTCCGGACATCGGTGACGGGCGGCGACATCGCCATCGGCGCGGGTGTTGGGCTGCCATCAGCATGGTCCAGGTGTGAGCCAGCTTACAGGTCATCTGCGGGGCGGAAGGCGGTGGGACAGCTCATCTCGGTGAAGGAGCGGGGCGCGGGCTCAGTGAATGAGCGCACTGGCGAGGAAGATGGGGAGTAGGGAGCCATGGCTGGTCTCTTGTTGCTGTATTTTATTGCTTTGCGGCGACTTGATCTCTTGGCGGGAAGGACTAGGGTCGGTGTTCGGTGATCTGCGATGGGTCTAGAAGGTAACCGTGAATCGTGAAAGAGAGCCGAGAAGGATTAGTCAGTAAACGTTGCCGTTGAGAAGATGGATGCGATTCAATTTCTTGGCATGCTTCAAAGTCCATCGCATATGCTCAAATGCTCGGCTGCGCGCTGATTGTATGTTTCATTTCTAGGGGGTGACGTCAATCCGATCTCTGCAGTGAGCCTGGGCGCCGATTCCAATGTCCTGATTTGCTAATGGTCCGATCCTCCGATCAAAGGTCCACGGCTTGACGACGAGTGTTCATGCTTTGCAACGTTTGTCACCTAGACACCGCAAGCATGGCGGGCCGGCGGACCGTAGATAACTGGTGTCACCATCACTGGTGACCCACAAATACAAGCTGCGGTGATCGCTGGAAGTCACTGTCAGCACGGACTAGAGATCTTGAGATCTACGCGGTCCGTGGCAAACCAAGTAACCGCCGCCGCTTAGCCGCGCATACCGCTTAAATGCACCGCAGCGAAGCGGAGTCACTATGCCGACTACTAGCCTTGGCCACCGATTACCCCGAGCCTAATTTTCCAATTACCACCGACCATGAAAAGTAGTGAAATTTGGCAATTAGGTGATAGTCCGCGATCCGAGTCGGATCAATGCACACCAGGGGTTAGTCACAGTTGGGTCAGTGGCGGGCGGACGGTGGCGATGTTTCGCGGTATCTGGTTGAAGGAAGGTGAATGTGGTACAGCATACAATTTTGTTGCGAGGCATCCCTTGTCAAACACAGAGTCACCTTGGATACGAGCCAGAAGTTCTACATCGGATGTCGGGCCGGACTGGCTTGTGGGGCAACCAGCTTCCAGTATTCCGGCTGATCGCGTTGATCCGAAGTGTTGAGGTCCGTGAGCAGCTGAGGCTTGGCATGCACACGCCAATGCGCGACGCCACCGCTGAGGCCTATCAGATTGCACAGAGCTGGAAGGTCAGTGCTTCTCAGAACGCCGTGCCTGTCTATGTGGCGGATAATGAAGAGGCTACCAACACCACTTGATAACCTCTGTAGACACAGATTGACGCGAGGCAGGATAACGGCTTACACGAGGCACACCGGCTGACATGAGGCAGCAAGGCTTGGCGGATGGGCACAGGGCCGGTGCGGGGTCAGTGGCGGACGCTCGGTAAAGCAAGCTGGCATCGTAACAATAATGCAACATGCATCTGGGAGTGACAGTACAGATACGTGATATCTATGGCCGTTTGTGTGGCCGTTTTTGTTGTGTTTACCATGCAAGCCTGACTATGACATGACATGATTAAGCGTCCCAAATGAAGAAAGATACTCTAGATGTGGATTGCGGCGTGCAGTGGTCTGCACGCCAGCAGAGCCAACGGTGCGCTAAGACGTTTAGGCGCCGTTGACCTTGGGGGCGTCGTCGAGGGCGGCGTTGTGGATGGCGACAGCGCGTCCGGAGGGGTCAGACGAGACACCCCACTCGGACTTGGGGATCCAGCGGACGGCGGTCTGGGCGGCGGCGTCAGAGGGGAACTGGCCCTCGAAGATGTCGCGGATCCAGTACGCCTCCTTGGTGTCGGGGGTGGAGATGGGCCAGCGCTCGGCAGCCTTGGCCATCTGCTCGTCCGAAACGACCTCGGCGGCGTGGTCCTTCATACCGTCGATCCACGAGTAGCCGACACCGTCCGAGAACTGCTCCTTCTGGCGCCACAGAATCGACTCGGGGAGGTACGGCTTGCCCTCGGGGGCGCAGTCGAAGGCCTTGCGGAGGATGTACTTCTCCATGTGCGGGCGTCCGTCGGCGTCCTTGGTCTGCGAAGATCCCTTGGAGAACATCTTGGCGGCAGGGTCGACGTTCATGGCGACCTCGAGGAACTTCTTGTCCAGGAACGGCACACGAGCCTCGAGACCCCAAGCCATCGTCGACTTGTTGGCACGCAGGCAGTCGGCAGTGTGGAGGTTCTTGACACGCTTGACGCACTCCTCGTGGAAGTCCTCGGCGTTGGGGGCAGCGTGGAAGTAGAGGTATCCACCGAAGATCTCGTCACTTCCCTCACCAGACAGGACCATCTTGACACCCATGGCCTTAATCTTACGCGAGAGGAGGTACATCGGCGTAGAGGCACGGACGGTCGTGACGTCGTAAGTCTCGAGGTGGTGGATAACCTCGGGGATGGCGTCGAGACCCTCCTGGACGGTGAAGGTGTACTCGTGGTGGATAGTGCCGAGCATGTCGGCCGCCTTGCGGGCGGCGACAAGGTCGGGGGCACCGGGGAGACCGATGGCGAAGGAGTGGAGCTGGGGCCACGAAGCGAGGGGGATGTCGCCGTCAGGCTTCGAGCCGTGAAGGCGGTACTCCTGGCGCTTGCGCTCCTGCTCAGCGGCGAGCTTGTCGGTCTCGCGGGCGGCGATCGAGGCAATCAGCGACGAGTCAAGACCACCGGAAAGAAGGACACCGTAAGGAACCTCGGACATGAGACGCTTGCGGACAGCCATCTCGAGGGTCTCGCGGATGGCGGTAAGGTCAACGGGGTTCTTGGGGGTCTTGCCGGGCTTGTCAGAGTCCCACCACGACGGGTTGAAGTAGCGGGTCATCTCGCCGACGTTCGAGTCGTAGTAGTGTCCCGGGGGGAACGACTTGAGGTTGTCGCACTCCTCCTGGATGCACTTGAGCTCGGAGGCGAAGTAGAGCGTCTCCGGGGCGGCCGAGTTCCAGCCCATGTAGAGCGTCGTGATACCAATGGGGTCACGGGCGGCAATGAGGCGCGAGGGGGTGACCGAGGTGTCGAGGAGAACGAACGAGAACATGCCGTCGAGCTTGTTGCACATGGCGGTGATGTCGTCCTTGTTCTCCTTGTACAGGTACATGATCGGCTCACAGTCGGAGTGGGTCTTCCACTCAGGCGGGTTCTTCAGGCTCTTGCGGAGCTCGAGGTGGTTGTAGATCTCACCGTTGACGGCAAGGAGGATCTTGCCATCGTCGGAGACGAGGGGCTGAGCGCCAGAGTCTGCCGTCAGCCAAAAGGTCCGTAAGCCAGTGCATAGCCAGTGCACAGAACTGAATTTTCCGTTCACTTGCACAGTTGAAGAAAGTACTCACCAACACCGACAATGGCGAGACGCTCGTGGACGAGAATCGAGTCTTGGGCAACGACACATCCGGACCAGTCGGGGCCACGGTGCCTCTGCTGCTTGGAGAGGGCGATGGCGCGGGGGCGGTAAGCCTGGAGGTCACCCTCCTTCTTGTAGACGCAGAAGATACCACACATAGTTGGTTGGTGATGTGGAAGGAAGAAAGAGGAGAGTGGTTGGTGGCCAGGAAATAAAAAGTCGGTCGTCCCCGCGGCGGCAGGGGTGGTTGCTTGGCTGGAGACCTGACTAGGACCGACGAGCCCAAAAGTTAAAAGCCCAGCGTACGGAGATTTCGACTTAGATCGGCCCGCCCGCCTGCCCCGCTGGGCCGCTGAAGCGCTTGCCGACGAGTCCGGCAAAAGATCCCGTTGATTCATCAGGCGCGCGCTACACCCGCGCGCCAGCCCTAGATGCGAAACCCTCTCGCAGCCCTGCCAGCCCTGGTTGCCCGCGCCAAATCGGCCATCAAGTAGGCAACCATGCCCAGCGAACGAGTCAAATTTGTGTGGTCCAGTGCATGCGTGGCGTCTGTGCGCAGACACACACACACAATGATAGGCTAGTCACGTGACACATTCTCCACGTAAGCGACACACGCAGCCTAACCCCTCCCCGGTCGTGACCAGAACGTCGCAGATCCCCGGGGCTAGGCCTAGGGCTGGGACGCATTCCGCCGCTGTATGCGGGGCCAGCGAACAACAAACGGCCGTATCACTCGGGCCACGCGGGCCAGTCGACAATCCAGCCCCTAGCTGAACCCCTGGCTCATCATCCCGCTGATAACGCCCAGTCGACTCGACACATCGTAGGCTGATATCCGATGCCCGGACGGCACTTGCGGGACAGGACGGGTGAAGCAGTAGTACGAGTCGAGGAGGACGAAAGGAGGTGTAACGTCGATAACGAACCGTGTTGTACCTTGACCGTGGGCTTATATTCGATGACCTATGGTGCTGCTCGCCTGTGGGGAGACCTTGCACCGGGGTCCGATCGCACCACCGGGCACCGGACATGACCTGCAACCATAGCACACCACCCGAGTCACGAGTCACGAGCCAGACTCACACCACCACTGCACGCAATGTATTCAACCCCACGCTCCTTAATTCTTCCCCACACTAACCCTGAGCATTGATCACACCCACACACCCACTGCTGCTGCATCGCTACTCACTCGACCAAGACCGTCTCATGTCCCCGCACCCTCATTGACCACCACCGTCCTTGCACCTACACCACCACAGCAACACCCCCAGCACACCCCGTCGCCTGTTTGCTCCTGTGCTGAGACTCCTCCATCCCACCATGCCCACCGAATCCCCGGCAGCTCCCCTCCAGGGGAGCGGCGGCAACGGCGCCGGGCCGTCGCTCCCCACCCCTTCGTCGCTAAAATGCACTTGGTGCGGCGCCGCGTCGTCTGGCCAAGCAGACGGCATCATCTTTCTCGGCCAACAGATGGAGCGTGTGTGCGCAACCTGCATGCGAACTGATCAATTCGAGCTTGGCGGTATCACGACTGGTCTTGGCCTTGATCTCGCGGGGTCTAGCAACCTCGTCGCGGCGTCTCCTTCCTCGGCCTTCGACTTCTCACGTCTCCGTGATGCGATCCGCGCGCGTGGTGCTGCGTCTGAGAGCAAGAATGAGGACGGTGCCGCATCTTCCTCGTCCCCTGCGTCGCCGCAGGAGCCCACCCCAGCTGCTTCTGTCACTCCACTCGTGATCCCGGGCTCTGCTCGTGCCCCAGCTTCGCCCACCGAGGAGACAGCCGCCGAGAGCCCGACGCTTCATTCCAAGTCTCTCCCTGCCGCCCGAACTGCCCCGTGGGCGACCGCCAACCCCACCCGGAACGCCCCCGCTGTCGCCCCGATGACGCCCGCCAAGCGCGACACTGTCGAAGAGCGTGCCTCGAACCCGCTTCTCGAGGTCGGTAGCCGGGGCGTGCCCTCGACAGCGCGCGGCTGCTTATACCCCGGCTCAGTCTTCCGCGGTACCCAGTCTTCAGGCAGGAACAGCTACGATGTGCAGATCCAGATTGCCGACGTCAACTTGAACGAGTACACGCTCTGCGGCTACCTGACCATCTGGAAGCTGACCGAGGCCCACCCCGAGCTCACGACGTACTTTGACGCCGAGATTATCGGACCCAAGTACGGCTTCGTGACCGGTCCGCGTTACGGCGCCAAAGAGCATGACGACATGCGCCACTGGGGCCGCTTTGAGGAATTCCGCCGTCCCTCCACCCGAGCCGACATTGTCCGTCCAGAGCAGCTGCTCCGCGACCCCCTCCCCGACACGAGCAGCGGCGAGATCCGCCCCAAGGAGCGCGAGTTTGTCTTTCTGCGTATCAAAGAGAAGTTCCTGGTCCCGAACCACCACGACCGCGACATCTCGGGCGCTTCGTTTGCAGGTGAGTGCGGCTAAAGTGGCATCGCGACAACAGTGTTGCAGCTTCAGCTGCACTGTTGGTTATGCTAGCTAACACCAGGCTTCTACTACGCTATGGTGGATCTGTCGCCTACGCTCGAGCCAGCGACGCCTACCTCGCCTCTGCTAAAGTCGCCACGCTCGCCCGGCCGCCGCCTCAGCTCCTCTAACACGCGACCTGAGGCCCCGCGCCGCCCTTCGGTGAGCGAGCGCCGGCAGTCCACCTCCGGTGCGCGCCCCGATGCACCCCGCCGCCAGTCGTCCCGCGCGCCTGCGCCTGTGAGCAACGACGCAACGCTGCGCGGGTACTACTTCCACTGCCTCAACCACGAGCCCTTCCAGGAACTCAGTCTCGTGCACGTCCCGTCGAACAGTGCGGGGACGTTTGAGCTGCGCTAGGCTGCGCAAGGCCGCGCGACACCGCGCGAGGCCCCGCAGCGACAGAGGATGCCGGCGGACGCAGCTTCACGACTCTGTCTGCTAGACGACTCGTCCAGCCGTCGCTCCCCCATCGCCCCGTCGATTGCCCAGCTCGCCCACTCCTGCCCATGCTCTGCAAGCTCTGCGCTACCCCGCGGCAATATCACCACTCCAACGAATATCACGCACACGCTTATCTGAAAGAATCCGGAATCATCTTGTACATCATCTTCCCCATCATCAGGGCACATCTCCATTGCTTGCCTTATCGAAACGAATCTGAATCACCCCGCCGTTGTAGTCTAGTTGTCGCAGTTAGTAGGATACAGGAAAGAGAACGAAGTGTATGCAGAGTCAGAAGTGCTCCTTTGTCGCCGCCGTTCACCAGATCGAAAGGTCGAGGAGCGATTCTCACTTTTGAACCGCTCATGCCGATCCAATCCGTGAACCATCGGTAGACCACCGTAGCCTGTGAGGGCTGAACTGGACGAGGGGTGGACAAAGAACCGACGTACCAAGGCAGATGCTGGAGCTGCGAGCTGCGGGGCTGCGGGGATTTGGTCTCTTCCAAGATGGCGTGAAGGGTAGCCAACTCCTTCGCCACACGCCCATCCTGCCACAGCCCGCACCACGAAGCTCTCCGAGACTCTGAAAGGCCGTGGGGTGGCTTTCGCTGTCGGGGCAAGGGCGCGCAAAGCAGAGTTTTGCTCCTCACACAACATGAGCCTGAACGAGTGCCACGAAGTGGGAGAGGTTTAGACTTGGAGAAGGCGGCGCGGTGGCTTCTCGAACGCCCCGTTCCTACCACCGCGAGCGTCTTGGAGTGTTCATCGGGCCGTTGATGGTCTTAGATCACTGTCTGCACTGTGACGCCGCGAGGTTAACCTGGCGGTGCACCCGGCGGTGCAGCCGAATGGCAGGGTCAACACGTCGTTCTCGGCCCAACCCCACGATTGCCACCGTAGCGGCCGATTGGGCATGGTCGATCAGCTTCTCCGCGATCTTCGCCTCAGGTGATTATCCTGAAGAGTCTTGTTGCATGCAAAGCTGCAGACACCTGATACTGCTGTCAATGCATCTGTGTGCGTCGTCTGGGGCCTCGAAGGTAGCTGCTGCACGAGAGGTAGATCACTGATGACGACTCACTTAGATGACGATTGATTTTCGCTGGGGCAGACGTGTGGCTTGGGTTGTTGTCAAACGTGGCAGTTGAAGTTTCGTAGGCTCAAAGGATGATGAATCGAAATTGCTATGATCCGTTTCAAACTGCTGCTATCTGATCATCAATCTGATATCTATGCAGCTCTAGTCATATAGTACTTTCTAGAGCCTAGAGCGCTGTAGATCTGTATTGCATCGCCGTCAGCGACGCTCACGACCGTCGGTGCAGTGACGTTGCGATGCGCCTGCGACAGTTGTTGCGGCAGAGTCAACACGTGACGCCTGCGGGAGTTAGTGGCGCAGCATGAGTGCTGCGAGGCAGACGGTCAACACTGTCGACTGACATCGACGATTGTTGATTAACAACAACCATCTCGTCTCGGTCATAGTCAACCATGCCGCCGTCAACCAGCTCCAGCGTAGGCAACGTTGTCGAGGTCGTCGACATCATGGCCATGGACTCCTGGGGAGGCCCATCTCTGACAATCTGCAATGCGTCCGGCATCGAGATCGCGGTCGTCCCACTGCTTTGGACTCAAGGAATCGCTAAGACGTACGGCGACCTGGCGGAGATTCTGGAGCCCGTCTTCGAGGATGAACGTGACCTGGGACACGACGACGACGATACGCCCTGGCAATGGCAAGTTCTGCCCAGAGGACAACTCCTGTCCAATGAGGAGAGACTGTACGCGGGCGAGTTTGTTCTGCGTCGTTCGGGCGTGCGCAGCGCGTTGGTTCCCTCGTTCGCTTCTGCACCCCCGACTTCCACGTCTCGATCGGAATCCTCCCAGGCTTCCAGCCATTCAGACAAGTCTGATGGTAGATCCGAGAAGTCCGCCAAGGTAAGACAACAGTCCATCCGGGCGGCACCAACGCATAGGCGTTCCGCGACGCGGTTGTAGGGCGTGATACCCGCTGCGTTGTGACGGGTGTTATGGAGAACGTTGAAGCAGCGCATCTCGTCTCACGCCGAGACAAGCAGGTGCGCCCAAGCTCGACTGTGATTTTGGATGCTGACCGCAGTCTCATCTGCGAGCTTCCAAGCGTGCGGGGGCGTCGTCTTTGCCAACCGCCGGCATAACCTTGTGGATTCCCATCCACAGGATGTACGACAGCCATGATATCGCTTTTTATCCGCGTGTGAGTCATGCTTGACCCGCTGCAACGCTGACTTCAGTGCAACGGTGATACGGGGGAGACCGAATTTGAGATGCCCTGTTTCATAAAGCCCACCATCACCACGCAAAATCGACCCTTCACGGCGGCGCTGGCGAAGCTCCACGGCAAGAGGATCAAGTGGGACGGGGAACGGCCAAACCACCCGTCTGCAGCGCTAGCTCGTATTCGTTACGCCCAGACACTCGGACAGCGCTTCTGCTTGATCAAGAAGGTGATAGTACCGCCTTGGAAGCCAACCCGCAGGAGCGTGCCGTCGCCAGAGGTGACGCCGCGCGCCACCAAGAGGGTCAAGCGCGACTTTACCGCTGCCGAGGATGTAGGCAGCGATTCCCCGAGCCCGAGCCCCGCTGCTCACCGCCACAGCGACCTCGAAGGTGAGTTAATGATGATGCCCTACACAACCCCGCGGTGTGGTTCCCCCTGGAATGCTGGTATATGTTAAATCACTTGGCTAACACGCAGTCGACATCGGTATCGTGCTCGCGAGCGCGATGGCTGAGCTCGGATACACCGAGACCATCGCGTCCGATTTGGCTGCGGCCGTCGCCCGCACCGAGGCCGCGGTACAGCCTACCCTTCCCCTTGGCTCCGACGTTGAGTCCGCCATCGCCGCCCACGGCAAGGCGTACAGCACTGACAAGGCGGAGCAGCTTGAGAGTGACGACGTCGGGCAAGCTTCAGCTGTTCAGACACTGATGGCTTACCCTCTCCATCAGGACGAGAAGGACGGCGCCCTTAGCCTCGAGGTCGCGGCGTCGAGGCTGATCGGCCGAGCGCTGGCTGAGGCGCAACGTCTCCTCCAGGCGCGTGACCCTTCCCTCGCCGCCGTCGACGAGGGAAACGCCCTCTGTGCTGCCGCCTTCGCTATGAAGTCGCTTATCGTCAAGGGTGTCGATGCGGGTGCCGGTGAAGGACAACCTGCTTCAGTCCATCTTCTGGCCCTTGCGGCCGAGTTCAAGTCATTGTCACCGCCGCCTGCCACTGCGTCCATGCCCGACGGTGAAGCAGAGCCAATCCCTTCTACCTGAAGATTGACGTTCAGTCTTTTAGCGTCATGCGCGTCATAAGTTGCTTCTCAAAGCCGTTCTTCTTCCCTACCACATGCCTCCTCCTTCCTTCTAACTTAACACGCGGCTCCCATAGCCCGCGCCGCACTTCCTGCGCATATAATGAAACATAAGTCATGCATTTCATCGAGATCCATCCCGCCTCGCACCGTCGTGCGGTGTCTCCTACTATCACGGTATGTGTATCGGTTTCGTTCTCGGTGCCATCAGATTTTCGGGGTGCCATCGAAGCTTGGAGGATGCCACTCCTCGATTCACGCTTTCCCACGGTCGAGAGATTAGCATCGCGGTCGGTGCTTGATCAAATATTCCCACGGTCACCAGCATGAGACACGGGCAGCGTTTTAATCTCCATCCCCGATCGATCGCTTCGGCTGGGTTTTTCCTGCGATGCCGAGTCAACGGGCAATGGCGGAGGGATGGATGGATTGGAGGAGCGCAGGAGCGCGGGAGGGATGGACCGCGGAGTGCCCGGAACGTGCAGGTATGCATGCGGTCTTCGTCGATGCGCTCTCCGTGCTCCCCATTAACACGTAACTTACGATAACTGCACGATAACTGCACTCGCTCGACTCACGATCTGGAGTCTTCCCCTCCGCCCCAACCCTCTTATCTCACCCGTGACTTTCGCGACTCACCTCCACTCTACTCTCTCCTCGACTCGCCCAAATCACATCGCACACTTTGCAGCTCGTTCCGCTCGCTGCTTTGCCTCATCGTCAACATCTCGCTCCTCGCCCCGCCGCTCGCCGCTCGTAAACAAAATGGTCAAGAACCTCGTCGTCTTCGACTTTGACTGGTCCTTCGTCGACCAGGACACGGACCGCTGGGTCTTCGAGGTCCTCGACACCAAGCTCCGCCGCAAGCTTCAGGACCGCAAGAGCGCTGGTTCGCAGTGCATGCCTGATGTTGTGTGAGTAGAGCTGCCTTGAGGCGGAGTCGCCGCATCTCCCAATGATCCCTCGCATCTCTCTGCCCCTGGTCGAAGCGATGAACGGGCTCGACGACTTCGGTTCGATGTCGATCTGTCCGAGCTATCGACGGGGGGTCTACAGCCTGACGGCTGAGGTTTGAAGCACATCGCTGCATGCTGCGCGTGCTCTGCGATCAGATCGGCGGGTAATGCCCTTTCCGAACGAGGGCGCAGGAGGCGTCAAGAGCGTGAGCACGTGTGTGCTCGGCCCGCCTCCTTTCCGTGTGCTGTTGTTGTTCCATGCTTGTCCTCCCCTATCACCGTTACCTCATCGACGGCCATGTCTGCGCTGTCTGCGTCCTTCCGTTGCATTCCACGGCATGGCCCGAGTGGCTTGTCCATTGCAAGCTCGGTACAACTCACCCCTTACCGCTCACCGCTCGCCCTGTTTCGCAGCGCGCTGACCACAGCGACGAGACTATGCAGGACCTCTTCAACGCCGGCTACAAGAAGGACCAGGTTCTCGACGCCCTGCGTCAGCTCCCCGTCCACCCCGCCATGAAGCGCGCCGTCACTAACCTCAAGAACCGCGGCGAGACCACCTTCCTGTGTCTCTCGAACTCGAACGAGGTCTACATCGGCACCATCCTCGAGGTGAGTACGGCCTTAGTTGAAGCAGGGTTGTGGGCCGATGGTACAACGGCTTTTGTCAGCCGCTCACTCGCGTCCGATGTGTCCGCCTATTGCGGTTTCCGCCCCGACACCTTGCTCTCCACCCCAGGGCCACATGCCACCCACATTCGCTCTGGTGCCTCGCTAACAAGTGACAGAAGCACGGCCTGACCGACCTCTTCGACCAGGTCATCACGAACCCGGCCAAGTGGGTCGGTGACCGTCTGCACATCGGCCGCCGTCTGCCCGCCGACGGCCCGCAGCACGGATGCACCGTCGGCTGCCTGCCGAACATGTGCAAGGGCGACGAGCTCGATGCCTGGCTCGAGGCCCATGGGGGCAAGGACTCGTTCGACAAGATTGTCTACGTCGGCGACGGCGGCAACGACTTCTGCCCCCTCCTGCGCATGCGTGAGGGCGACCTCGGCCTCGTCAGGAAGAACTATGAGCTCGAGAAGCGCATCGAGCGCGAGGGTAAGGAGAAGGGATGCAAGATTGACGTCACGCTTTGGGACCAGGCGTGGATCGTCGACGAGGTCTTCTCCAAGCTCTGAGCGCCGCTCGCGAGCCGGAGGCGAGCAAGCGGTGGCTACAGCCTCGTGTGTTGGTTTTAGAGATAGAGTGGTAGACGTAAAACTGTCAAAACAATGATGGAATCTTGATTCTTGGCAAAGTGTTGCTGCTTTTGCGAAGATCTGTTCTCAACTTGCGGCTATGCCCCGTTTTCTGACCTCTGCTCGAGGAGAGCCGCCTGGTAGACCGTCCTCAACTGCAGGGATGCGCTCAGCGCCTGCGACGCTTCGCGGGCACGCAATGGTCATGAGATGTGCATGCTAAGAATGTGTTTATATCGTGTATCCTCCGTCCTTGCTCTGGGCGTGGAGTGCAGACCAGACACCACGCGCGCTCTCGTTGCCCGGTCCGGCCTCGAGCGTATCGTTCTTCAGATTACGGATCTTGGCCCCAGACGACTCGAGGAGGATGGCGACCTTGTTCTGGATCTGGTTCGCCTGCAGCCCGTTCACGCAGATCACCTTGTCCCGCCCGTTCACGTAGTGTCCTCGGATCACCGCCGCCTTGCCGCGCGGCAGCTTGCGGACGACGATCTCGACATCGGGGTTCTGCGCCGCGAGCTCGGCAAAGGGCTTCGCGAGGTAGGCACTGGCGTCAGCTTGGTCAAAGGCAAACATGAAGCTGAGGGGTGCGTGATGGTGTCATTCTGCTATCTCAAACAGGATGTGGACAAGTGGTAGCCTAGACGTAGAGCAGACAGGCCCAGAAACACAGCTTCCTCGTGGCTTTCTCGGAGACGCCTTGGACTTACCGGATACCACCCTGTGCGGGCGAGTCGGCGTCGTAGTCGAAGATGAGCTTGCGAATCGGCTTCTCAAAGTGGTTGTACCCCGGAATGGAGACGGAGCGGAGCTTTCCGGCCTGCTTAATGATGGCGGACATGGCGGGCCGAGCCGATACGGCGATGAGAGGAGAGGGAAGGAGAGGTGAAGGGTCGAGACAAGGAAGGGGAAGGGAAAGATGTCGTCCGGCAAGTGATCGAACGAAAGGTGTAGAGTTGGAGCTAGTGTTCCGTCGTAATCTCTGTGTTCCAGTCGAAGCGCTGGCGAGGTCGTGGACGAGTCAAGCTAGTGTTTTGGAGTTGCAAGCAAACAAGGCAATGTTCGCGCGAGCATAAGACGAGGGAGTTCGACTTTTCGTCCGAAACCAGGCGGATGGATCAGTTCCCACGTGGATTTGCTTCCGTACAGCATTTCACCAGTCCTCCACCCAAGCTCTACTGCACGAGATTCACTGACCATTATTGTTGACACAACGGCCTGTCTCATTTGACCATCCAAAAGGAGCACTCGACGCCATGGTGCTCCCCCGCACAATCGACCCGTCACCGCACGATCCGCTCCTTCTCCGGCCCCTGCCCCCGTCTCTGCCCTCGGATCCCTCAGCCCTCGTCTCCGAGCTCGCCTCGCAACTCCACACCTTCATCGATGCCGAGGGAGATGTCGACCCGATCCTGCTGAACACGCTCTCTGCGGGCGTGCGACACGCGACCCGCTCTGCTCAGACGACGGTCAATGCTGGCCGAGTGCACTCTGCCGAGGCGCGGGCGGGGCTCGATGCCGCTGACGCGGAGCTGAGAGCCGTCATGTACGAGTTGGGCAAGGTGCGCGAGGCCATCGCCGAGTGCGACGCGTACGTGCCCGAGTACGAGAAGCTGGATCTTGTGCCGGAGGATGATTTCCTGGCCTCAGTTGAGCAGGAGGTGTTGGCTGGATTGCGTGAGTACTTCCCTTCCTTCCCCATCTTCGTAACATCCAGTTCTCGCGATTATCACACCAGCTGTGGATTCTGCGACCAAGCTGACACCCAGCCTCAGACGAGCAGGAGAAACACTACGCCCTTACCCTCCTCCGTCTCGAATCCGAGCTCTCAACCCTCGTGGCGCGCGAAGGGCTCCTCGCCGACCTGACAAAGGAGAGAGACTCCCTCGTACGGGCTAGGCGCGAGGTGCGCGCCAAGTTCGACGCCGTCGACGTCTGGCTCGCCGACTATGCCAAGACCACGAACGCGATGGCGAGCAAGATCAGGGACGTGACGCGGGTCACGAACCCGCCGAAACCGGTGAAGAAGGAGGGCGAGGCGAAGGGCGAGGCGAAGGAGGAGAAGGAGGACAAGATGGAGATGGACAAGTAGACTTGTTGTACGAATAAAAGACCAGGCGTGGGGTCTGGGAATGTATCAATACCACATGGAATGATCGTGTAGCTGGCCAGCTGGGCGAGCACGGAGGGACGGGATGGACGAAATGGACGAGGGAGCGAACCCAGGTCGGTCAGCAGACGGCCGCTCGGGGCGAGTCTACGTCTTTTTTGCATACCGTTACAACTAATACACATTTCTAAACAGCTTTTAAAGCTCGGAGTTGTGGGGAAAGAAAAACAGGCATGACTTGGGGGAGAGAGGGATTATACTTGTTGCGTTTCCCATGAGCATGAGGGGTGTTGTGGGCGTGTGATGTGGGCGTGGGTGGGGTTGCGTACGGGGCATGGATGGGGTGCGTGTAGTAGTGCGTGATTCACGTGAAAGGAGGGGAGCGGGTGAAAGTGGTGAAGACAGTGTGGGGGGGGTGGGGGGGGAGGGTGCAATGTGTATTGTGGGGGTCTCAACGAGTGTTGCAGTAGTGTTGCGAGGTGCGCGACGTAGGTTTGGCTCAGGCGGTGTTGCCCTCGCCTCTACTCCTAAATGTGTCCTCCGAGGTTCCTCCGCCTCGCAACGCTCGCAGCCGTGGGCGCCGTAACGCTGCTCTCGCGTTCGCGCTCGCGCTCGCCGCCGAGCGATGTGCGCGGCCGCACCATCTTGCGGTTGGCCGGATTCGTGCTCGGCAGATCACGCATGCTCGACGTCTCGGGCCGCGTCGAGCTGTTCCACGGCGGGCGCTTGCCGCCCACGGGAACAGAGCCCGCCATGGCGGGGGGCAGGGAACGGCGCACACGACTGGCCGGTCGCACGGTCACATCTTCGCGAAGCCGGTTTGCGAACTTTGCATTCGCGTTGCCCGCCGTCGTGGGTTGGGCGCCGAGGGAGCGGCGCACGGTCGGCTTCGTTCCCGCGCCAGTCGCTGGCTTGATGCGCCGAACGGCTGGACGGGCATCGCCCCGGAACGCAAAGGACATGACGGACATTGACTCGCTGGCGTCGTCCCCTGCTTCGGAGAGGGGATGGCGGGATCGCTGCAGTCGCGTCGGACTGCCGTCGCCGTCCTTCAGCGGCACCCGCGTGGGGGACGGCTCGGCCATGTCCTTTGTCGGGCTATTTGAGGGCGGGAGCTTGGTCGGCGTCGCATTCTCGGCCACTCCGCCTAGCGTACTGCGACGCGGGAACCCGAGCGACAGCCTTGGCGCTGCGGCGGGCGAGGGGGTGGGCCTCGCCTCGTGCCACTCGTGCACCTTAACGAATTTGTACAGGTTGCGCGTCTTGAGGCTCTGGTGCCGGCGGCTCATGGCGGACATGCTGCTCATACGGCGCGCGGCCTTCTCGCTCTTCTCCCTGTTCTCGCTCATCGTGCTGATCGGCAGCGTCGTCGTGCCAATCAGCTCGCATAGGAGCGACACGTCTGTGAACCGCACGACCCACAACTCGGTCGACTTGCCCTTAAGAATGTCGCTGAGCCGGTGGTGGCTCTTCCGCTCCTTCAGGGTGGGCGCGCGTCGCTCCGACGTCGCGGCCGTCGCCTTGGCAGACGATTCGGAGACGAGAAGACGATTTGGCTTGGGCGCCATCAGTGTCTTGTTCTTCTCGAAGCCGTCGATGCGCGCCCAGGCGTCACGCGTCTTCTCGCGCTCCTCGTTCGTCGATTTTTCGTCCTCGATGCTGCGCACAATCTTCTGCACCTCGTCCACCATGGCCAGCGTCGCTTCGTACTCCTTCGTCGACGGAGACGTGTTCTGAGGTCAGCTGTTGTCGAAAACGGTCAGCTTACGTAGAGCAGGTTCTGGAACAGCAGCGGGTACTTGAGTAAGCGCTGGAAGGGCTTGGAGAGCGCAATGCTGAGCCCAGGCTCGCCGCGCTCAGCGGCCAGCTCCTCGAGACTCTGCAACAGCTTGCCAAGGCGTCCCAGCTGCGTCTCCTCGAGACGGCGCGAGGAGCGGCGCCCGCCCTGCGCAATCGTTTCAGCCATGAGCAGTGCCTCGTCGATCTGCGCGAGCGCGCGCTCCAGGTGCAGAATGTACGTCGCATACTCGCGCAGAATGTCAGACTGTTCGTCAGTTGGAGGCTCAATCCCACAACTTACATGGGACGTGAACACATTGGCGAGGGAGCGGACAAGGGGAAACTGCTCGTTGTAGCGCTCGCGCAGCGCATCGATCTGCTTGATGTGCCCCTCCATGATGCCCGTGGACACGACGGTGAGCACCTGCTCCAGGTCATCGGGCAGCGTGACGGGCCCGTTCATTACGGACGAGAAGGAGGAGCGCGACGTGATGCGCGAGTGACCGCTGTCGGTCCCGCGCGCGTGGAACGAATTTCGGTGCTTCTGCGTGCCGATCGACGTCTGCGTCGCCTGCCGCGACATTGGCGGTAGGGGCGGCTTGGCCGTGTCCGTCGATCGAGTCAGCGCCGCGTAGGCATCGGCACGCCCCTCGGGCGAGGACGAGCCATGGTGCTGCGGCGGAGGCGCCGACGGTCCTTGTTGCCCCGGTACGTGCTCACGGAACGATTCGGTAGAGAACCGCGCGTTAGACGAGAACTGAGCCGCAATCGGGAGGTAGGGTTGGGATCCGCTGGCCGGGGAAGGTTGCAGGGGAGAGGAGGAGGTCTGGAGGTGTTCGTGCGAGCCGGATGATGTCGAGGGTGATAATGTGCGCGTCAGCGCTAGTGGGTCGGGAAGTGCCAGGCTGGGGTCGTCGCGGGGAGGAAGAAGTGTCTTGCAAAATGTCTCGTTCAGCAACAAAAGGTCTCGGACGTATCTGGTATCAGCGGCGGTACACAAGCAGACTCACTTCTCTTCACTGTTGATAATCTCCCAAAGAACCTCTTGGCGTGCGCGCTCTCGGGGGCCGAGGTTGGCAATGAGCTCTTCGTCCATGATGGCGCTCCAGCTCTCGGGCTGGGGGAGGTAGCTCTTCTCAGACATAGCGTCGTTGTCTTCCGAGTTGTCGGCGAGGAGGCTGCTCTTTGTTGATTTCGTCGGGCTCTCGTCGACGTTGGACAGTGCAGACTTGCGGACCTGGTGGCTCGTGGTGGAGCTGGAGCGGGAGAGCTGCTTGCTGGGTGACTCTGGGCGCGAGTTGGTGGAAGCAGTTCTGTTGAGGAGATGGCGAGTGGGAGACCCAGATTGCCGACGTGAAGGCACTCGTGCAGGGAGCGTCGCGCGTCGCAAGTCTGTTTCGCTTGCTGTCGGCGGGGGCGTGTCTGTCCCTCGCGACGGGCTCTGAAACGCGACCTTCTTGACGTTGTCAAAGCTCACGCGATGCCGCGGCGAGCGTGCACTCGCGCGGTCCGCCGCGCCGCCGACAGTCGCAACGGCGCCCCATTCCCCCATCCCATCAGACGCGAGCGGAATGTCGGGAATGGAAGGGAGAGAATGCGAGTGGTGCTGCGGCTCGTCCTTGGAAGGCACGGCGGGGGCGGGTTTCGTGTCCGAGTGTGCATGCGATGAGGCTCTGCTCGCGACACTTGCGGAACGCGCGTGCCGCGTTGCCGCCCGCGCCGCCGTGCTGCTGCCTCCACCTGAGTGCTTGGTGTTGCTCTGTGCGCTCGCTGTCGAGCTCGGCGTCGGGGATCGCAGTGCGGCCTTGGTGACGCCAGTGACGCTGGCCAAGCCCGAACGGGGCCGCAGGGACGGTTTGCGCTTGACGCGGACAGTGCTGTCGTCGTCATCTGGGACAGGCTTTTTCTCGTCGAAACTGGGGCGAGGTCGTGATTTGCCCGGTGGTGGGCCCGTGCCAGGCGCAGCGGGCTTGAAGCGCGAGAAGAGCGACTTCATGGCCGGCGCGCTGGGCCTGTGCGGAGATGGACTCGGGGGGTGGAAGGGGAGGAGGGAGAGTCGGAGGGGTCGTCAACGGGGTGGGATGGCGGATGATGGAACGACGAAAGGCGAGGGAAGACGTCGTTGCGAGTAGGTGGTGTCGTGATTTGCTGTTTCGGGTTACTAGGTTACTGGGAGGACGTTGTGAATGGGTTGGATTGCAGGGTGACTGGCGGGTGACGGGCGTCGGGTCGGTGACGGAGGAGGATGAATGGCGGAGGTAGAGGGTGACTACGGTGGTGCTACGGTGGTCGAGAGAATGGTGCTACTACCAAAGGCTTACAATGGCGAATGCCGTGAGCAGCGAGCGAGCGAGTGAGTGAGAGATCGGCTCGGAAGCTTGTTTCAGCCAGCTGCCAGCCCATCAATCGACTCACAGTACAAGTGTTACTTCTACGGCCCGGCTTATACCACTTCATACGCCATGCCCGCGCATGCACCGGAGGGGGGCGAGCCTGTAACGTCTGTTGACGCCAGCACAGAGCCTCGCGCTCAGGGAGAGAGAGCCTTTCTTTCAGGCGCGCGCTGACCCTCTGTCCTGCCTGCCCTCTGGGTGGCGACCGAGCGAGCTGACCACTGGCAGAGTCCGCGTCGGTGCTCGAGGAAGGGCATGAGCACCGCACCTTGTCTCCTCCTCTGTACCGGAGGATTTCCACACGCGATGGGAACGTTGTGCCCAGCACATGGGAGTTAAGGTTCTGATCGCTCCCCCCAAGATTGAAGAGAATCATTCTTGCAGTGAGAGAGCTGCAACATGGATCCAAGGGTAGTCGACGACCCGAAACGTCCGTGTGCATTCAGCTAGGGCGCTGCTATGGCTTGGAATGCAGGGTGAAGCTAAGGGTCCACAAAGCCATACCTGAGGTAACCTGCCGCCTTGCTGGTAGCCCAAGGTTCCAGCGAGTCCTTCTGTGATGCGAGAGAGCTATGTATGCACACTTGGAACGTGTTGACCTTCACGACGGAGCGATCGCAACGTCATGCTGTTCTTCGCATCGCATTCAGAGGTGACATTTGGTAATGATGAATGGTGGGCCGAATGTCAGCATGCTCAGCAAAAGGCACCACGCGACCCACCGCGCGCTGGGCGCTAGTCAGCTATAGTCTGGCCGTACGGGCCGTTCACCGACCGCCTCCGTCTCATACGCCGTTGCGTTCCTTGTCCCCGGCTCTGTCCCAAACACACATACCAAGCATATGTATACAACTTGACATGCCCGCTGCCCGCTCCTTCTGTGTACCCTTTCTTCTGTCCCTCGTCCCGTTGTTCCCAAGATCCCCATCTGGCTCTGCGGGCACACAAACACCTGGCCGTGTGTGTTCTTGGAACTGGTACGTTGTTCTGTACGTGATCGCTCAGTCGAGTCTGGGCTGTCTGGGCGGGCTAAGACTGTGGCACCGCATGTTTCATGTACGCAATCGCCGTGGCTCCTGCGTTCCAGACGATCCAGACCAGCTCCTGCCCATGTCTTCCACCCGTCAAGGAAAACTGCCTCTGCGCTGCGCACTGCGTACGCTACAGTACACTTCATGTGCCACTCACAGAGCACGTCAGTCCGCACCTCGCGGGCACCTCGGTCATGGCCACCTCCAATCGACATGCAGCACCGGACCAGCCACTCCATGAGCAGCCAGAACGCGGGTTCTGGAACCCGTTCCGTACAATTCATCTTCGGATTGGGTTCAAAGTCAGCCCACCGTTGGTCTTTTCCGTATTCTGCAATGTTTGCTTGCTGTCGACCTTCATGTACTGTCAATACAAAGCGTCGCCGAGCTCCTGGCATCCTGACTGGGGGCAATGCCTTCTTGCGGAGAAAGACATTCCCGTCTCGCCGTTGGCCAGCAGATGAAGGGTAAGGACAACCGGCTGATCGGCTCCCCGGCTCTTTACAGCGCCCCGGTTTGTACCCCTCGACCTCGCCAAGAGTCTTGACTGTGGACGACTCGTCATCTCGGCCGGCGATCACCAAGTACGGTCCAGGTCAAGCGAGGCGCCATGTATGCTGTGTTGTGCATGTGCCTGGGATTTTGTGGCTGCAGTGGTCGTGCTCGGCTTGGTTGGGAATAGAGTTGTATGGCAGCGTTGCAGAGCAATAAGGGACGGAGCATCTCTGACGTCATTGCCGGCTGACTGGTTCATGGCGATGATCTCCATTAGGAAGGTGCATGAGATTGAATCCTAATTGAATTCCAGGGACGGACTCAACTTTTTTGTAATGAGACATTAGGCGAGACGACGAATCACCAGTGCGCTTTGGGTGGATGACATATGACGCTCTACTCACCCGGTTGTCATTCGTGCCGTCCATCGCATGTCGTACGCTCGATGTCGGAACGACGTCGCTGCCTGCGCGCCAGTGTCAGCATGCATGAGCAGCCTGCCAGTACTAGTGTTGTGCAGAGGTGAAGATGGAGGAACAGCCTCACTGTGTTTGACAGTGGCGAGCCTGGATGCTCGGGTGAGCCGCCTGGCGCCGGCGCCGCCGCTCACTCAGGCATGCAGCCAATATGCAAGCTTGCTTCCCTGCGCGACCCTCGGCCCTCATCCATCTCACCGCCGTCATCATCGACCTGACCCTCGACAACTGACTGACCCTCAACTCCACTCCTACACTTTCCCTTCGTTGCATAGCATTCAAACCCAAACACAACACACAACCAACACCAAAAAGAGAACCCCTCGTGTCCTTGTCACCACTTTCCTTGATCCCTCGATTCCAACAAACCACGAGACTACTGCAGAGTATCCATCAGTCATTGGCCACTTGTCGTCGATCAACATCCGACTTTCATTACCCTTCCAAACCCCAGCTTGGCCGCTTCCGGACACCTTACCCCAGCGCCCCATCCCCCCTCACGCGCGCCCATACGCCTGCGCGCCATCGATACGTACCCTCGGACTGGCCTGCACCACGAGCAATCCGGCGACCCGCCCTCCCCTTGAGCAAGCGACCCGCTGACATACGTCATTTTGAGAGTAGTAGCTTGCCGCAGAGAGACCCCCTGACTAGCTGGGCACTCGACCCCAACCGGCACCCAGGAGCCAGGACCCAGGCCTTTTTTGTCTCCACACACCCAAGTCCTCAGTTCGGTATTCTACCACCCTCCCGCACCGCACTCCGACATTACACTGTCGTCACCACCACCCACCTACCAGTCGTCGTCGTCGTCGTCCCCTCACTCTCCTTCTTTCACATCCATTGCATCTGTCAACCCACACATCTCGCCGTCGCCATCCACCCACACTTCGTCAGCACCGCACACCCCCGACTCGGAATCGATAGTATCTCTCTCGTTCGCTGGCCATCCGGCCCATCCAACAACATCGCCATCCTCGCGAGCTTCAAATCAGCTGCAGCTTTTCCTGCAAGTCTGTAAAACAACCGCTGCGACAACCCCAACCACACACGCCAGCCCACCGGCACCATGGTCGGGCTGTTGGGCCGACCGTCGAGGTCATACAAGGATGTGGAGCACAATGTCGACGGCCTCGCCCCCGCCGGCTCTCGTCCGTATTCGGCGGGCATCGGCGAGCCTCCGCAGCCATCCATCAACAAGCTCACCAAACGAGCTCCGTCTGGTGCCGGGGGACACACCGTGAAGACATACCGGCCATGTAAGTAGCGTGGAGGCGGTGGAATGACCAGGGGGTGGCTTCTTCCCTGGCCGCGGCGCCGCGAAGGCTGAACAAACTGACATGACAGCTCTTACGGAAATGCACTTTAAGCGCCAGCAAATGCATGACCCGTTCTCGACATCTGCGTTCAACCTCGGACGGAAAAACAAGGAGCAGGCGCGGGCGGGACAGCGGGCCGAGCTGGACCACATCCTGGAACCGGGTTACAAATCGAGCTTCAACTATGATGACGAGTCGACGAGCGTCGCCGGCCCGAGTCGGTTATCCTCGGTTCGCACCGCCGGCGGTCTCAGTGCCCTGTCGCGAAGAACAAGGGACAAGCTGAACGGCGAGGACAACATTCACCGCTCGGGTTCGACGGCCAGCTTTGCCAACGGGAATGCTGCCGGAGGGGCAAAGAAGTCGGGCGTGTACCTCGACGCCACCGGGCGGCTGCACGACACTGAGTACGACCCGTTCGCGGGCGTGGCCGAGCTGTCGCGACGCAGGTCGAGACGGCGGGGAGCTATGCGGAATCGACGCAACTCGGCGAGCTCAAGCGACACGACGTCGTCGAGTGAAGAGTCTGGCCAAGGGCGGGGCGCGCGGACACTCTCTCGAGGCTCGATGACGGATGATCCAGACCGCGACCGGGAAGAGATCCGCAGGCGGCTGGATCAGGAGCGCCGCAAGCTCGACGAAGTCTCGGGGTATGCGGCCGCGCGGCGCAGAAGCATGATGAGCGACCGAGCCAGCGGCCACTACAGTGGTAGAGGTACGCCAAGTGTACGGTCTGGCTATGAGGACGCTGGCTCGCTGCACCCGAGCATCGCGCCGTCAGGCATGACGTCTATCACGGACGGTCGCACGCCCCGGGCAAACCAGCCGTCGCCACTGTCCCCGACGCTGTCCAAGTCGAGCAAGGCGCAGAGTGCCGTGTCGGGTGGCTCGGGTGCCAGCTCGCGTGCAGCCGAGTCGCAGAAGAGCATCGAGGACTCGCCGCGCAAGCACACGGAGACCGTCCACTCTTCAATGCCGCGGACTCAGCGCTCGGCGTCTGACCGGACCATCACGCAGAAGATGAAGGATCTGGGCCAGGCGCAGGACTCTGGAAACATATCCGACGACGAGGCCGAGGGCGACAACGGGTTCCAGGACGCGACCGACGATGTGAACCACGTCGAAGAGGAGGGCGCCGTCGAGGAGGAGCAGCCGCCGCCAAGCTACGAGAGTCACCAGCCCCCGCCCCAGCCCGGACGCGAGGCGCCGCAACCCCAAGAGCCCCAGATGGAGGAGGAGGGAAGCGAGTCCGAGTCCGGTGACGAGTCCGGGGAGGAGACCGCGTCGCCACTAGACCGGGAGCGCGACGTGCGGTTTCACGAACCGCAGATGGAGCGCATCACGTCGCTGCAGTCGCCTCAGCACCCGTCACATGAGCCCATCCGGCGAGTGCACTCGCACACTCAGACGCCCTCGCACCCAAAACACCCTCGGTCGGTGTCGTCCAAGGGCCGCCTCGAACGCCCCGCTGGCCCAGCCCGGACACAGTCGCACGACTACGAGCAGCGCCCGCTGTACGCCGAGGTCGACATGGTGCGTGAGCTACCGCTGCTGAAGCCACGGCCTGCGAAGCAGCACTCGCAGGAGGCCGCCATCGAGGTCATCAAGACGTACACGCGGGAACCGAGAGAGTCGAGAGAGGCAAAGGAGCCCCCGCCAGTACCGAAGAAGGATAAGGGCCCGACGCGGGTAACGGGCGGGTTCGAGTCGATGCCGCTACCAAAGCAGCGCGTGACAGGGTTCGAGGCGCCGCGGCGGCCCTCAGGCGCTCCGAGCGGGCACTCTGTCGCCGCGTCTCACCTGGCCAGTTCACACCTGGCAGGACGGGCGGGGAGTATTCGCTCCGGCGTCTCCGGTGACTCGGACGACCACGAGCGGAAACGGCGCCCAAAACCCGCCGAACGCCCGCGCGAGCAGTTGTTTCCCGAGACCCCAGCCCAGATGAAACGGCGCGAGGAGCGGGAGCGCCGCGAGCTCCGATCAGGCAAGACGCCAGCCGGCCGATTGGCAGCCGACAGTGTAGCCACCTCTTCTCGGTCACGTATCCTGCCCGAGATTGAGATTGTGGACGACGACGACCCGCGCATCATCTTCCCGACCAACGGGCCCTCGACACAGAGCATAGCGCGAGGCCACACGTTCCGCGCCCCGTCGCTTTCGCTGTCCAACTCGCACTTCCCCGGCGACCATAGTGGCCCCACCAGTCTGCGGTCCGACCATCGGCTTAACGACGACACGTCCTCCCGCTCGATAGCTTATCACGATAGCAGCAAGGCACCCAGCGCTATTATAGAGGAGAGCGGCGGCGGATACCTCCCCTCCCGGTGGGCGAGTGGCGATAAGGCCCTCAGGCTCACCGAGGAGGAGAAGGAGAGGTACCGGCCGCGCGAGTGGGGCGGGCGTAAGGGTGATCTTGGTGGGAGGCCGGATCAGTGGCAGTGAGTAACGCGGAGCGAGCGCAGCGAGCGTTGCGTTCCGTACAACGCGACAACGCGAGCAAAGCGAGTGTTGCGTAGCTTGCATAGCTTGCGTAGCGAGCAGAACGTTCCGTACGGAGACGGCTACCTCGATGCTCGGCCTCGCTCAGCTTCGCTCAGCACATCGCAGTACAACCATGGCGGCAGCGCTGACCCCAGCCCGACCGCGAAGGACGAAGTGAAGCGGGGCGTGAAAGATCTATCGACAAACGCCCGCTTCAGCATGTTCCGCGCCAAGAAGAAGCTCCTCAGGAAGGCCGACTGGTAGTCCCTTTGCATCACTCTCATTCCGTCGTCCACCTCGCCGTCCTTGATCCGACCAACGGTAGCAGGTGCAAGTGGCGGACATAGCATGAAGCGTATATCCTCAAGACGAGGGCAGTAGCCGCCCTCTTCACCTCCGTGACGGGGTAAGCACCACAGCACCACAGCACCAAAGCACCACAGCAGCGCCGCCTGACGCCGCCTGACGGCGGCGAATAGACAACAATTGCATCTCTAGACGTTCCCCGACCCATAACACTATCCCTACGCTTTGGCCCGCACATGGTGGCCTTGGCGGTTGCATGTATCTTTTCTTGCCCTTTCGAGTGGGCTGTGAGCGGCGAGCGGAGCGAGCAGCGAGACAGTGAGTGGTGCAGCGTCCATCGAGCAAGCGTCCATGACTCCGCAGCAACACGACGGCCAACATCGCTGGTATGGCCAGTATGGTCAGCATCCTGGCAGAGCCAGCGGAGAGCGGCAATGTGGCCGTGGACTGCACCTCGCTACTGCCGAGTCAACTGGTCCATGGGCAGCGCGGCGATCTGGAAACGGCGACGGCGATTTCGGCGCCCGTGATCCGATGGCCGCGATACCGACCCCCGTGCTCCGGCCCAGGAAGAGGATGATCTGGGAGATCTGCGAGTTTATCCAGACATTCATCCTGAACAGTCTGGGCTCTGGACTCTGCGGTGTGTGGTGTGTGGTGTTTTGACGGCGGTATGATGCGCAGTGAGTCTGGCCATCCACTGCGGAGAAGGAGGCGACGCAGACGGCCCAGACGACGAGCTGCCACACTGCCATGGTGTCGGAGCGTGTGAGTGCTTCCCGTACTTGGCCCCGCTCGTCTTGATCGTCTTGGCACTCTCTCCCCTCTCAGGCCTCCCAACCTCCCAATCGCTCAGTAGTCACCTACATGCAGTGCTTGATCGCGTGGCGATCTCCGGCAGTGTGAAGGAGTGAGGGGGTGTGATAGGACATAAACAACGCACCCCCCATACCCCGCAGGCAAATTATGGCTTGGCATGCCATCCCGCGGAGCTGGCGAGCCTGGCCCTTGGCCTCTACCTCTACGTCATGTAGATGGGCTTGGCGCCGTGCACGCACGTTTGCACTTCTCACCCATACCTACCTCTCTACCACCTCCGCCAGCTCTGCCACTGCGCGAGCCACTGCGCGAGCCACTGCGCGAGCCACTGCGCGTTGCGAGCACTGGCAGCCGTTCAGACGACCATGTTATTCTGCACAAAGAACTGACGAACAAGGTCCCCTGGGGCTTTACTATGGCTGTGTGCCATGTGCCACACCCTGCTAGGGCCTGCTCCTCGCTGCGATGTCACTTCGTCGATGTCGTGCAGCCGAGGCTAGTAGTATCTCCATAAACAGTATCTCCACACAGCTCCCTGTCTCGTGGATCGGGGGCTCGGACTTCAGCATCGGCGCAATCATCGGCGTCTCGGCGTCTCGCAGCCTCGTCTCGAGGCAGTCCCAGACTGCGGGGGATCGACGGGCGACGTATCCTCAGTAGTGATATACTCTGCAGGCGCTCCACACTCCACCCCGGAGCACACTGCAGCCGTGCTCCTAGCTCATTTCAGTGTTTATCTGCGTCTTATCTGCGTTCGTTACGACCGTCTTATTGCTCATCATCCGAGCATGGTCGGCCTGTGGAGCTGCAAGTTTAGGGACGCTGGAGTCGGTTTGAGTGGATACCAGTTCGTCTCCGGGTTCCTTGACACCCACTCGCCGCTTCGCTTGGAAGGACGAGGGGAGGGGGAGAGGGTGGCGGAGCATCTATGCGCTCTACCGCCCTCATTACGCTGGGCATACCTTCTGTCTCCACCATGCGCGACTTTCGTCATATAAAACTCGCTCATGCGCGCGCGCATGTATCATCCTTCTAAGACCTAATGAGCGAATAATCATGTACCTCATCGTATACGATACCTCCTCTCCGCTTCTGTGAGGTGTGAGGCGGTGCAGATCCATTTCAACGCATGGAGAGTCCGTGTGTCTCCTCCGCCGCCCGCGCTGTCGGTATCGAGCACGAGGCACCCAGCGTAGATCTTGCCAAGCCCTGCTCGAGTCTGAGTGTCCAAGTGTCCAAGTGTCCTCGGCCCAACGTACAGGTCATTCTCCTCGTGCTCTCGGCACACACGCCCTGCCAGACAGTGCCACGACAAAGCACGACAAAACTACAGAGCCTGCCCGGATGCCCGGATGCCTGGGAAGAGGGGTAAGAGCCAAGCACAACCTTTCTCCGGCACGAAGCGCAGGCAGCGGGCAGCATATAGCATACGGGGGGCTCGCGGCTCGCTGACGCTCGCGAGTGTAGCGGGGCCAAGCCATTCTCAGGCACGGCCTCGCGGCTCGATCACGCCAAGCGCTCCAAGACATGGCGGAGGGGCCAAGGCTTGGCACTCCTCTGGGGAGGGCCGGAGGGAGTGGAGAGTGGTCAATCTCCGCTGCCTTCTGTCCGCTTACTGTCCCTTGGGCTGCGCTAAGAAGCTCAAGCTGGTGGCTCACATCATCAGCTAAATCGCGCAGACGCCCCGCGTGTAACCACCCAGTCACCAACCAGCGCATTCCCCAACCCGTTGCACGAATCATTATGAGCCCGCATATATGCACCGCGGCTAACTCAGTGTTCTGTCCATAAGCCGGTCCATAGTCGAGCCGTGAGTGCAAAGAAGCAGACTAACGGACGACAGACGGCCGTGGGGAATCGCTCTTATTTTACACCGCCTGTCGCTGCGGGCGTGCTTTAAATAACATGTTTGCTTTGCCCCAGTAAAGAAGAACGGGGCGAAGAAGAGGGGGGTCTATGTTAAGAACGTGCCCAATGTGAGCTGCCCGCAGTTGCACTGGCCAGCCTGCAGCCTGCCCGCTGGAAGCGATCAGCGTTGGAGCAGGCCGTGTCGACGTAGACCCAGGTACATGGTACAGACTCTCGGACCCTCATACGGCCGTCTGTAGCGCTGGCTGATAAGAGGACGGGCGCTGGGTGGTTGGCCGTGGTGGAGACCCACGCTGCAACACGGAATGATTTTCCAATCCCCTTAGAAGCAGAGCGTCTTTTTAATCCCGCCGCCGCCCGCAAAAGGCTCGGCCTCGGGGGGGGGATTAGACTGAAGGAACAAAACTCAGGGCCCAACGAGGACACCCCGGGGCCAGAGAAGAACGGATTTGCGCCAAGGAGCCAAGACTGCCAAGGCACTCCTTGGCTCTTGGCATCCGTGGTCCCAGGCCAAGACCTCCCAAGACCTGGCCAAGAGAACTCATCCCTCAAGGAACACTTAACCCCTTATACCCACCCCCATATTCATCCTCTTGCCGCCTCTCTCTTCTCTTCTTCTCTTTCTCACTCTTCCCACTTCTCGTGTGACACCAACTACTCCAACCAACCTCACTCACCGCGACACATCGACACACTTTCATACCACCCACTCGACCTTTCTTTCCGACGACACTTTTCACTCGACACTCACCGACACTCACCGACACACCCACACCCCGCCGCTGACACAGCAGGCACACTCACCATGTCCACCTACCCCTCTCTACCCAATCCAAACTACCTCCATCCGACCAGCGCCGGATCAGACTCGGCATCCAGCGTCGACCCCTTGACCCCCAAGAGCGCCGCCGGCACTCCTGGTCGCCCCTCGCCCTCGGACAATGAGCGCGACGAGCTCGACGACGATACCAAGCCTCAGCAGGCCGCGCCCGTCATCAACGAGCCAGGAATCGACTGCAAGTGGAAGGACTGCACCTATGTCGCCCCGGGACCCGAGGACCTGTACACGCATCTGTGCGAGACGCACATTGGCCGCAAGAGCACCAACAACCTCTGCTTGACGTGTGGTTGGGAGGGGTGCGGCGTCAAGTGCGTCAAGCGCGACCACATCACGTCCCATCTCCGCGTGCACACGCCACTGAAGCCCCACCCGTGCTCCGTGTGCGGCAAGACGTTCAAGCGCCCCCAGGACCTGAAGAAGCACGAGCGCATTCACACCCAGGAGCACCACCAGTTGCACAAGCTCTCCAAGGCGACGACCTCGAGCGACCCCGAGTTCAACTCGCGCTTCCCTTCGTCCATGGGTCGGGATAGCGACCGCCGCCACTCGCCCGCGGGCTCCCTCTCTCCCGGCTCGTCGCCCAACAACCCGACTTCGCCCTACGACCACGCCCATCTCGGCGGCCTGCACGGTGGTCGCGGTGTCCCCTCCCCCTCTGTCCTTGCTGCTCTCCACAAGAAGCAGCACGAGGAGCTCATCGCCCACCAGCAGCGCGAGCTCATTGCTCTCCAGCAGCTCGCGTACCAGCAGCAGCAGAGCTCGGCGTACGCTGCCCAGCTTGCGACTGAGGCGCTTGGCGCCAAGGGTATGAAGCGTGGTGCCGACGAGGCGTTTGACACGTTTGTCGAGGACATGAAGAAGCGCAAGATGGAGCCGGTGTACGATCTCGACATGATTTCGCGTCTCAACTCGCTCATGCCTCCGGGACTGCCTGCTGGATACGGTGGTCTTGGCGGTCTTGGCGGTGCGGGGTTCCCCTCGGCCGGCTCTTCGTTCGCCTACCCTTCTCTTTCTTCTCTGGGCGGCATGGGCCAGAACGGCATGGGCTCGTCTCCCCTCCCGATTCCCGAGATCCGCACCGAGGCCGACCTCGCGCTCTTCAACCAGTTCATGGTCTCGCTTGGCCGCGAGGCGACCTCGGGCGCTCTGCCGATGGAGCAGGCGTCGTCTGCGTCTGCGTCGTCCATCTCGCGCAACTCGCTCTCCCCCGTGTCCGAGAACTCCCCGATCGAGGACCTCTTCAACCCCTCCGAGCTCGCCTCGCTCGGCCTCGCCGGCATGCCCGGAATCCCGAACAGCAGCTCGCCGCCGATCGCGGCGTCTCTGCCGAACAACGGCGTCTCCCTTGGCGGCCTCTACCCCTCGCTCGACCAGCTCGACGCCGGCCGCCCCCGCGCCGCCTCGGTCAGCGAGAGCGAGAGCCGCAACCGCCCCATTGCCGGCCTTCCGCGCGCCGGTTCCGTGTCGGGCCCCGCCTCGCGCCTCGCCAACCTGTCCAACCTCGCCTCGCTCCCCGAGGCGTGGATGGGCTCGAACAACGACAACTTTGAGATCGGAAGAGCGTCGTGTAGGGAAAGA